GTTCAATTCAGTCCAGTTCAAATCAGATCGGGGGTCGCTGAACCAGTCAGATCAGATCAGGAGGGTCTGACTGAACTGATTGATCTGAGAGCAGCGCTGTTATGAATAGCGTGAAAGGTCTTCGGGTTCAGTCTCCAAGCGTTCCCCGACGCATTGCTGTCGCATCGCTGCTTACGTTTGTTTCCAACCCTTGATTTCTGGCCCTATACTGTGACGCTTTTCATCGTTAGCGAGATGTCGGACAGCCAGGAAAGGGTGACTTACCAGTGAACTGAGACATGGCTCGCTTCAGACAGAAGGCGGAGTCTCAACGCCTCGACCTGCTCCTGTATATCGCTGTGGTCCATGCCTTCATCGTGCCATTTCCGCAGGAGCATACACTCGATGTCGTTCAACACGCTGTCCAGACAGTCCTTCACTGGCATCAGCTCCCAATGCTCAAAAGCATCGAGGAACCCAACCAGCTTCATATCAGCCTTATAGGCATCACGAGTGACGACAAAGGAACAGCCGTTTCGGTCGCCAAGTTCTTTTGCCTGTCCAGCCACCCAGTTCCAAGAACCGATTGCCCCATCATTACCCTTATAAATGAATGGTCTGTCCCAAAGCTCGACAAAGCCACCTTTAGCCAAACAATGGAAGGTATTGCGCAGCAGACTTTGTCGGTCTCTGATATTGCCCAAGAGCTTCTGGCCGTGGGTCAAGTCGAAAACCCGCGGCTCTCTATTCCATTTCGTAAGATTGAAGTCGTCAAAATCAAAGTGGCAATTTGGCTGTTCGGCAGCCTGCTTAGGCGCGATGTTGATTGCGCATATGTCGGCATCGTCGTAGCAACGTGCAACTTGACTAATTCAAGTATAAATAGCTTCCGATCAAAGAGGAATAGGACGGACTAGGCATACTCCCCCCAACTGCCAGACAGGGCCTGCAAGTCGAGAACTCGTCTGACGCCGTCAACTGGGGCCTGGAAAGGAGCACAGTCCTGATTCGAATAACGGTAGTCAATACTGTAGTGAATCGTTAGAAACTCCTGATTAATTTTAAAATCAGCGACAACTTACTCAAGTTCATTCATGAGAAAGAACGAATCGTCGACAGCACACCTATCAAGTCAGTGAGTCGGTAGCAATAGGAAGCACAAAGACACATACCATCTCCAGCCGTACTTGGGGTTTGGAAAGAGTCTTCCACAGATGTTGAGGTAGTCTGTCGCGTCAGATGGCGGACTACAAGTGCTGCACCTGGTCGGCCGCATGTGAGCAACGTTGGACATCAGCTCTGCCGAGGCATATTTCCATCTCAGTGGCCATGTCGTCGTAGATATAAGAGTGTGCGAAGACAGAATAGCCGCGACCGCCCACGAACTCTTGCTTCGACTTTGCCATGTCGGAAATAAAACCACTCCAGGAGAAGCCGCCTCGAACATGTCGGTGGATGGCCTAAAGCCTGGGGCTGCGTATCGGCCGCTGGCAGAGCGGTGAGAGGATGGGAAGCGCGGGAGTCGATGCCGCACGGCTGGGCTCTCGCAGGGACTGTGAGTCCAGTTCCCGTCACCGTGTGGGAGAGGTGGCGGGGCCTGACCGAGTATCGGTTGACTTAGGAATGGGGCAGCGGCGCGGAGATCGGACGAAATAACGGGAGGCGCTCTGGCCAATCCGGAGCATGTTATGGGTGCGAAGTGACATGGAGGTTGAGTAAATCCCGGTGCCGTCAGCAGACCTCACCACAGCACAAATTCGACTTCCGAACCGGGCAGTGCTGGTGGTGTCAGTCTACATTGAGCGTGGTAGCGACGAAGCACTGGAAGCCGCAATGAGAGAGCTCGACCGGCTAATCAGAAGGTTCCGAGACGGAACGGGAACTAGAACGTCGATCTGGCGGGTGACTTCAACGCCACGACGAGCTCTGCGGAGGAGAAGATGTCTCACCATTGAAACAAGGCGAAGGAGACCGCATCATCAATCTCATGGACGAACACTCCCTTTGCAGCCTCCTAATCTCTGCCCACGGCGCATTCTTGAAGAGAAACCTCGTCTCCGTTGGGCGGGCTTCTACTGCGATTTCGAATGCCGTCTCGATCGCTCTGTGATCTGATCCGTGGTCACAGGGATGAATCCTGCACCTAAGTAGCTGGTCTGCTAGTTCTGCAGAGGCCAGTACCAGGTCGATCTTGCTTTCTGCGTCCCCTGACTGCCATGTCTTCGTGCCTCTTGGGAGGACCAGGGTGGCGTCGAACCTAGAGAACATCCCCTGGGATGACAGCGTCCAGCAGCAGACGGGTAGGCTCATGGTTCGGCATACGATCTACTCGGGCTTGCCTGCGCTGTGGTCGTGACGATCGACTTGCGTTGAGGGACATCAATTTGGTCTCGCGCTTGTCTCAGTTTTTCAGACAGCTGGGCGCTGGTGTCTTCTAGTTGGTGATGTAGCTCTTGACTCGAATCGTGCTGCCTGCTAATCACAATCGCGTGGTTCTCCGATCGTGTTTCGTTGCTCGGTAATCATTTTGTGCATCTCGTCCCGTTGTTCATTGATCGCCTTCACAACCAGCTGTAGCCCCGACTTCCCCGTCTCGATCCGACCGTTGACTCCATATCCAGTTCCCACCGCGCGTGTTCCTCTCGACGCGGCGGTCCGCGTAACCTCGCTCGTAGTCGTCTTTGCCACGGTGGCTGCGTCTTCGATCAATTGCATCGCCTCGCGCACTTTCGCACTCGGTTTCAGGGTGCGGCTCGGTCGCTTCGGCGAGGGTGGTCGGTCGGCCACCTCGACCACGATCTGGTCCTGCGCCGACGCTGCCATCTCGCAGTCCCTCGGTAGCGCCGCTTGAACTTTCCGAGCGTCAAAAGTCTCCCAAGTCGGTCCCAGCATATCCGCAGTCGGGTTTTTCGTCTCACATACCGCTCGGGGATATGCGCTGGTATTCACCAATCCGCTGCACGGTCGCTGACCTGCTGACCATCGGCGCGCACGGACCAGCCCAGCATGCGATGCGCAGATCTCCACCAGACCGCAGTGGCTAGGCTGGTAAGAATTGACGTATCTTCACCACACCGGCTGACCTCGTCGCTGACCTCGCCCGGGCCTAGCGGCGAGCTACAGCGCCTTCCAGCAGGGTAGCCACTGCCAGAAGCGCTAATATCACTGACTGGGAATGGATGGATGGATGGAATTTATTTCGCCCGGAGGCACGAAGCCTAAAGGGCCTTGGCACGCTAACTACATCCAATTCGTTGACGTTCAACCATCAACTCGTACAAGCCCTCTACTCTCTCTCCCCTTTTCTCACGCCACCTGTTGCCTCTTGACTTAGTTTAGCAGATCAACTTGGGGGCTGCGTTCTCCAAGTGTTCAGCGTCCTATCTTCAGCAGCTAAAGCGGGATCTGCTGGCTGAGGCTGTGTAGTGTTAGTGGAGTTCCGCTACTGTGATTGTCCCAATCTTTGTCGTTCCTCGTCAAGATCCAATCTCCCTGTCGCCATTGCGTACGTGATCGTTGCCCGGACTGCTTTCATGTCTGACTGGGAACGTAGCCGCTGACCGCACGGTCCTAAAAGCGGTGCATGGTGGCGGTAAGTGGCTGAATCAGCCACTAAAACCACATGGTGGATATACTGTTGACATCAGTAACCAGCTTACCACAATTATTCACATGGGTCTTGTTCTTTCCGATACCCATTTCCCCAAGTATACTACGACCGGTACATACCCCATGTTATAGCCATCCAACAGCTGTACCGTATTGATAAATAGTGTCAGGGTCAACTTCAGCGAAGCCAGCGTGGCCTGCTGTCCGCAAATCTTGGACTTCGCAAATAGCCAGCACATGCGCTGCCTCTTGCTCATCGGCTCCCTTGACTTGATGTTGGCGATAAGCGGCAGGAGGACGCGATAGATCCCGTTAATGTCGTCGTTAATGTGTCCTTGCACCGCGACACAATCTCTTCTAGCATCCTGACTGTCTCGCCGTCTATGTGTCGCCCGGCGTTGATCCTGTCCCTGATTCTCCGTAGAATCATGGTGACAGAAGCAGTGTCGGCGGCGATGGCTTTGACATTGGCCGTCGCAGCCCCAAAGTCGCCGCGTACCATGGCGATCGCCCGAGTGATCTTGAAAGCTCGCCGCTGCGATAGTACCGATGGCACTGATGAGGCCAAACGACCCCCGCCATGGTACGTCGCTAGTGTTTTGGAAGTTCTTGTCCTTTCCGCGCCTTCAAGTTGCGAGTTTCTCTTTTCTAACCCGGAATCCAGCCAGCCTCCTCACCCGGGTGCGCTTTCTGCATGCTCAGAAGGCTGGCAGCTCGACTCACAGCGTGGAAATCCTTCACAGTACAATACTCTCATTTCGATTTTTTGGGCCGGACGACCGGCGGCCAGGGGCCCGAGAGCCGCTTGTTGAGTAGATACAGAGTCCGGCGATCTCGAGTTTCTCCGAGTCGCACTGGGAGCAAGCCCGTTAAAGACCGAGGTGAGGTTGAAGTTACAGATACCTACTGAGATACACTTGAGCAAGGCAATGAGATATAACTTGGTAACCATTGGACGTTGCCGGTATCAGCTGTAGCCCTCTAAGCTTCAAGCAGCGTCTTGGATTGACTCCAGCTCATATGCAACGACATGGACCTCGCGTTGAGGTTGAAGATCTACATACCGTAAGCCTGTTCCTCAATTCTGGAATCCTACATGCACAAGGCGGTGAAGGCAGATGCCCCGCACTTGGCAAGGGTCCTTCGTTGCCCCGCCCGGGCCCCGCAGCAACCCGCTAATATCTTATCAGGCAGGCCCGCACTGGAGATTGAGAAAAAAACCTAAAATTGTTCCTGGGTGCTCTCTGCCACAACCCGCACCAGCGCGACTCTCTTTCCTTTCCTTTCTTCTTTGTGATACCCCTTTTCGCGATGGATAAGCAAAAGTTGGCCGCTCTCCTGTTGGAGACACAGATCCGTGAGTAGTTTTATTATCCCGATTTGCCTGGCGCTTTGCCCGACAGTCTTGCACGATACCAAAGCACCTTCCCTCCCACCCAGCAAACATCCTCTTCCAAGCAGCCACGTTCCGATGCTGACGCTTCTGCCCTCCAGCCAACACCCAAAACCTCAAGGCGGTCACTGCCGAGCTGCAGAAGAATTTCTATACCCATTCGGAGTCTCTTTTGCTCCTCTGCGAACTCGTTGCGTCGCACGAGGACCTCAATGTTCGACAGCAGGCAGCCGTACAGGCCGCTCGGCTGGCGGCCAAGCACTGGGAGAAGATCTCGAAGGAGCAGAAGCCCGCAGTGCGCCAGCACCTCGTCCAGGCCACCATGAACGAGCAAACCCCCAGGGCTCGTCATGCCAACGCCCGTCTTGTCGCTGCGATTGCCGCGATCGACCTTGAGGACGGCGAGTGGCCCGACCTGATCCCCGCTCTTTTCAACCTTGCGAGCAGCAGCGAGGTCTCCCAGCGCGAGGTCGGCTCCTACATTATCTTCAGCCTGCTGGAGGAGAATCCGACCTCCTTTGCCGACCACATCCCCAAGCTCCTCGAACTCTTCGGCCACACCCTCCGCGACCCCCAGAGCGCTGATGTGCGCATCAATTCCATGATGTCCATCGGTGCCATGCTGCTCATGTTCGAGCCGCTCGAGGACGAAGAGTCGGTCGCTACCCTGCAGACCCTCATCCCTCCCATGGTCGATGTTCTCAAGGACGCCGTCCAGTCCGGCGATGACGAAAAGACCGGCCAGGCCTTCGAGGTCTTCCAACAATTCCTCGCCTACGAGTCGGCTCTGCTTGGCAGGTACCTCAAGGACCTCGTCCAGTTTATGATCGACCTGGCCGCGAACAAGCAGGCAGAGGACGATGTCCGGGCGCAGGCACTCGCGTTTCTGGCACAGACAGTCCGCTACCGTCGCATGAAGATCCAGGGCATGAAGGACATGGGCCAAGAACTTACTCAGAAGAGTTTGTTGATCCTCACTGAGATTGATGACGATGAGGATGATGACGACATGGGGCCTGCCCGTTCTGCCCTGGCTCTGCTCGATCAGCTGGCCAACGACCTGCCGCCGCGTCAAGTCATCGTGCCCCTCCTCGATGCGCTCCCCAAGTTCGCGACTTCCGCCGAGCCTGGGTACAGGAAAGCTGGCATTCTCGCCTTGGGGACCGTGGTCGAGGGCGCCCCCGACTTTATCGCGTCCCAAGTCAAGGCCATCATGCCCTTTGCCATCAACCTCTTGAACGACCCGGACGTTGGTGTCAGGCACACGGCTCTGATCGGCCTTGCTCGCCTGGCTGACGATATCGCCGAGGAGCTCTCGGCCTTCAACGAACCCATCATGACCGCCCTTGTCAAGAACTTGCAGGCCGCCATGATGCCCGCCTCGGACGAGAAACTGGCCAAGAAAAATCTTGAGATCATCCGCTCCGTCTGTGGCGCTCTAGATGCCATGTCTGATGGGCTCGACGCGGAGTTCATGAAGCAGAACGCCGGGGAGCTAATCAGCAACATTGGTGCCCTCATCACCCACGACGACTACAAGGTCAAGGTTGCTGCTTCCGGCGCCATCGGTGCCATTGCTGAATGCCTCGGCCAAGACTTCCAGCCTTACTTCGAGCAGACCATGCGCGCCCTGGGTCCCTACCTCGCCATCAAGGACTCGGAGGACGATCTCTCCCTGCGTAGCGGCGTCTGCGACTCCATCGGCCGCATCGCCACTGCTGTCGGCGCCCAGGCCTTCCAACCCTACGTTGTCGACCTGATGCGGTCCAGCGAGGAGGCGCTCCAGCTGGACAACTCTCGGTTGAGGGAAAGCAGCTTCATTCTTTGGAGCTCTCTGGCTAAGGTGTACGAGAAGGAGTTTGCGCCCTTCCTCCCTGGAGTCTTCAAGGGCCTCTTTGAGAGCTTGAAGCTCGAGGAAGAGGAGATCAAGCTCCGTCTCAGCGAGGAGGAGAAGGGCATCGTAGGCACGGACAACGAGGTCATCACCGGAGGCAAGAAGCTCAAAATCAAGGGTGCCGAGGGCGGGGACGAGGAGTGGATGGATGACGACGACGATGACGACTACGAGGACTTCGGCGTTTCCGTGGAGGCGCTTGAGAAGGAGGTGGCCATCGAGATCCTTGGCGATGTCATCACATATGCCTGCGGCACACAAGAGATCACCGAGTACCTCGAAAAGGCGGTCGAGAGCATCTCGCCTCTGGCCGAGCACGGTTACGAGGGTTGCCGCAAGGCCGCTGTGGCCACTCTTTGGAGATCATATGCCCGCGTCTGGCAGCTCATGGAGCAGGAGACCGGCATCAGCTGGGAGCCCGGTTTGCCGCTCAAGCAGACACCCACTGTCACGCTGGTCAAGCTTGGCGAGATTGTGTCCAAGGCGACACTTGCACTGTGGCACGAGGAATCCGATCGGTATGTCCCAAACGTATTCTACTCTTTCTTCTTTCTACATGATGACCACCTTACGTTATTACCCAGCTCACTCAAACGCATTAATGCGGATGCTGAGGACGCGTGCTTATCTACTTCTGACTGCCTTTGTCATTCTGCCTTCTATCTGCAGTTTCTTATTGCGGTCCGTGCTAATGGCTGCAAGGTCTGTCGTCACCGAGATCAACCGCAACGTGGCGGCTACGCTCAAAGCTTGCGGCCCTGCCATTTTGGCTCAAGAAGACTTTATGAAGGAAGTGGTCACGGTCATCTCCACCATCATCACCCGGTCGCACCCATGCCAGCAGGACATGGGCGACGATGATGAGGAGCAAGAGGTGGAGGGCTCGTCCGAGTACGACTGGCTTGTTATCGATACAGCCCTCGACGTTGTCATTGGTCTTGCCGTTGCCCTTGGCCCAGGCTTTGCCGAGCTTTGGAAGATTTTCGAGAAGCCCATCATGAGGTTCGCCGCATCCGAGTCGGAGAACATTGAGCGGTCCACCGGTGTCGGTGTCATCGCCGAGTGCGCTGCCAACATGGAGGCGGCCGTCACGCCGTATACCGAGAAGCTGCTCAAAATACTCCTCAAGCGTCTGTCGGACACGGACCTCGAAACCAAGAGCAACGCGGCGTACGCCACTGGGCAGCTCCTCCTGAACTCGACCGACAGCAACACGTACCTGCCCCACTACAACACCATCCTGCAGAAGCTCGAGCCGATGCTGCAGGTCCAGGAGGCGCGCATCAAGGACAACGCCGCGGGCTGCATCTCGCGCATGACCATGGCGCACCCTGACCGAATCCCACTTCCCGAAGTCTTGCCCGCCCTGATCAACCTCCTTCCGCTCAAGGATGACTACGAGGAGAACTCACCCGTGTACGAGTGCATTCTGAAGCTTTGTGAGTTTCCCAGCTCTTTTGGAGCAATCCTGTGTCTGGCGCTAACCAAATCCAGACGAGAACCACGAGCCCACCATTCAGCAGCTCACTCCCAAGCTGATTCCAATCTTTGAGGCTGTCCTCAGCCCGCCTGAGGAGCAGCTTGACGATGAGACTCGCGAGATTGTCCGCAAGACTGTCTTTCTGCTGTACCAGGCCAACCAAGGCCTTTTCAGCAGCAACCCCAACGTGCTGAAGCTTGCGGGGGTTCAGTGAGGTGTGTGACAGTTGAAGTCGGTGGGGAGTTTACCTGGGTCTGGTGGGATGGGCGAACATCTAACGATGATTAACTGGCACAATGAGTGATGAATTCCGACCTAATGATGGGCGCACATAACATGAGGGGCTTAATTGGTGCCTGGGGCAAGGCTGTTGGGCCATTGCGATATAAAAGTTCTCATGGCCGTCTCTATAGTCTCAAACCCACTGACAAGGGATGGTGCCTCCTTTTAGAAGGTCTGGTAGCTTGTTCCTGCATCTCAGTACATGTTTTCTGCCCCCCTTTTTGGCTAAGGCCGATTGTTTGCCTGATGGGAGCCTCCAGTAGTTTGTTGAGAATTGGGGAAAGCTTCCCGCGGTCCAAGGTTCCCTCCTCGCGGATGGAAGTTGCGTCGAGGGAAAAAAGCGTTGTTGGTGATCATCAGACACGTGGAGGTCGTTCTAGGACGGGGCATGGGGTAGAAGTGGCTCGTGGAGGGCCGAGGAGTCTACAATGAGGATAAAGGGAGGATCCCAATGGCGGCTTCGTTGGGGTGAAAAGTTGACATCGCGTGTGGCATGAAATAAATAACAAAATGAGAGCACGGTCGGAATTGGCAGCCAGGGCGGTAAGTGCACCTTGGAGTGATCGAGACGCCTTTGCCGGACATTGATGAATTGACGCCCCACACATCGCATCAAATAACTGCATCACATTGCACTCAAATCCATCAAATGCTGGCTGCAGATTCAGAGATTTTGATGCAAGTACGCTTCGATACAGGATTGACTGTATTTCATTGATTCGATGCGTGCAGTTCAATTGAGCGATGCGATGCGCCATACCATGCGGCCTACAACGCCTGGGCGTGGCAAGTAAAACATGCAGGGTTAGGAATGCTTCTGGGTGGAAGCGGGGTCACTGTTTGGGACATCAATTCATCAGTGTCCAGCAAAGACGTCTCTATATATTATTATTATTATTATTCCTACACCGCTGTGCCCTAGGGCGTGCCGGACCTTTAACAACTTACTATACAGGAAAATCGCGCCCTCGTGGGCCGGGTGAAAAACCCATATCGAAGTCTCTATATATTCGGGGATGACAGAGAGCAAAAAGTAACTGATATGTAAGACATATCTTAGGATAAGCTGCATTGGACGGGCTGGGAATCGAACCCAGGACCTTTCGCATGTAAGAACATGCTAAGCGAACGCTCTACCAACTGAGCCACACGCCCTAACATTTTATTCCGTAAGCTTTTGACGGCCTCTATCAGAAGGGAAAAATCAGACACAACTCTTGAACGGAAATTGCCGTTTTAGGGGGTGGAAACCTAAAAAATGCCAGGTGAGCTTGGCATATGTTCTGGAGACTCTCTGATCTTCGCTTGCAGCGCCGATTGCCTTTTGAATTATGTGGGCGAGGGGATCAAGGGGGATTGACGAGGGGTATATTTCTCCAGGTGGCCCTCGTCCTTGGCGTCGGCAAACTGGACTGCCTTGCCGCGCAGGACCGACGATATTTCGCGCTCCAGGTTGCGCACCCCCGCCTCGCGGGTGTAGGATTCGATGATCTTGGAGACGATCTCTTCTCTTCTTCAACCCTATCCTGTACGACCGAGGCGTGAATTGTCACTCCCACTTCCCGCTCCTCCGGGCCGCCAAGTTCAATGGGCCGGCCACGCTGGCACGGGCACCGGCTGCTGGCGCCGACCCCAACTACAGCTTTGGAGCCCGCGTGTCGCGCAAGGTCTGGAAGCTCGCCAACGACACACAGCTTACGAGCCGTGCCTGGTCCGATAATAACCCGACATACTGGCCGCCCATAGACGCCAGACGGGCTCGCTCTCTCCGGGGGCCTGACGCACACTGGGCAAGGAGCATCACGCCCGGCCTGACCCAGCTCGATATCGTCCTCCCGACCTAGGCCATTCCGGGCCCCCCCCAACATCGCAGGCCAACGATGGAGCCTCCGAGCCTCCACGAATCCGGCTCTGATTCAGGCTCCGATTTTAGCTCTGATTCCAGCTTAGACGGCCACGTCGTCCGCTCGTACAGGTCCTCCATGTTGCTTCCAGGGAGGGGCACAATGGCATTGTCGACATGCTGCTGGACCGCTGCGCCTTAATCGATAGCCTTTGGCGCTGGTTTTGTGGCTGTCGGACCGCTAGCTCTCTCTGGCATACCCTCGTGGACCCCGAACACGAACCGATTTCATGGCAGCAGCGCGGCCCAATCCCTTCCGAAGCCGAACACCCCTTCACGTTGCCACCTGCTCTTCTCGCCGCGCAACCGCCAAGTTGCTTGTTCGCGCGGCGCACAAGTTGTCCGCGGCTTCGGCTGCGGGAATCTCCCAGGCCACAGCCCCCTCCATCAAACCGCCGCGGCTGGCTATGACGATTTGGTCCAGGACGTGTTGGACACCCGCCTAGACCTGCACGTCGACGAACCAGACGAGGAAAGCCTTACCGCATTCTGTTGTGCCTTTGCTAACCGACACTGGGAGTCGACGATCCCCCTGCTGCTTGCCCGCGGAGCCAGCATCAACCTGTAGTCCGGGATCTCTCGACGTTTCGAGTCTTTCAAGATCACACCGCTGAGGGAGGCTTGACGTCTCGGCCGCTTCGGGGACGCCCTCAGGTTGATTGACCTCGGTGCCGATGTCAACTTGGGCATCTTCGAGGATAGAAAACTCTTGGGACACTACGAAGATGATGACGACTTCGATGGCGATCGAACCCCACCTCCAAGTCCGACCGTCCGCGACACCCACATCTCGCTGTTGCATGTCTGTAGCATGGACTTCTGCAGTGATAGCCGTCTGTATCCCCACCGCCCCAGCGTCTGGGCTCCCGCTTGCCTGCAGAAGCTTTCTCGGCCGAGCCTAATCGCTCGCCTGGTTTGCTGTCGGTGTTTCGCCCGACTCACGACGGAGCGCGTGGAAATCTCGGGAAACCCCGCTGGCCGTCGCCGTAAGCCACCTCAACATCGCCGCCGTAAAAGCCCTCCTGGATGCCGGCGCAGATGTCAACACCCGCGGCGCTTATGGGAGGATCCCTCTCATGTGTGTCGTCCTCCTGCCTGAGTCCGAAGTAAACTTCATGTTGCCAAACCAGCTGCCGTATGTGAGGCCCTAATGGACTGATTGTCCTGACAGGTGGACGATCGCTAGGCTCCTCCTGGATGCTGGAGCCCGGGTCAATGGCCAAGATCCACAAGGGAACACCGTCCTGCACCTGCTCTTCTAGCCAGACTGGGATGGCGACAGCGGGTCCCGTTGGTTTTTAGATGAGGGACGACAGGGCTCGGGAATAGCTTCGCTTTCTGCTGGCCACTGGCACCTACCCGTGCAGCTGCAATGGCCAGGGTAAAACCGTTCTCCAGAATCTTGTTGAGGAAATAGACATAGAAGTCTTGGAGTTGTTATCGGGCCGTTGTCACATCGACCTGAGAGACCGACTTCCCGTGGACGAGATTGCCGACATTTTTGTCGCTGTGCCCTTGACAGACACTCGAGTGGAAAGGCGCGAAAACCCCCTGCACCGGACGACTCGGCCGAGCATGAGTCCGCCCCAAGGCTCTTGATCAACATCCTGATGAGAATGGACGTATCCCGACGCGTGGCCTCACACACCTCGTCGTCAACCGCCTGGCGAAAATAGGCTATTTAGCGATCCTACCAGAAGTCGCCGAAATCCTCTCTTTCAAGGCCCTCGAGATTGGCAATCCCGGCATCGAGGCGAAACAGGCTTTGCTGCCCCTTGCGATACTGACAAAACGCTGGCATATGGCTTATCAACTCCTCGAGGAAATGCTTGAGGTCCGTGATATCAACGAGCGCTGCGATACTCGTCACGTCAACGCCCCCGCCGACACTCGCGACCAGACGCTTACTCTTTTTCGTCACATGCTCCGACTTCCACGTTGGCGACTCACCAAGCGTCGACATAGAGTTGGTCGAAGCTGGCGCCAATGTGCATCTTCCTGTCCCTCGACAATACCGGACGTCGACGGCGACGTCGACGTGATGAAGTCCCTCAAGCTAGCAATGACGTATCCAGACGCCTTCAGTATCGACTAGATGCTGCACAGCCAGCCGATCCGAGGGAACCCGCAGACGGCAGCGGCCCGCTATCTCCACTGGGCCGTGACGTTGATCTGGCGCGAGAGCTTGCCGCCGAGGGCAGGATGCCTCACTCCGTCGTTGTCTTCGAGGGAGGCCAGTTACGCGCGCTCCTCGCTCGGGGGGCTGACACGGCCCAGCTTGACGACCGAGGCAACACGCCGTTGTCGGCGCTGCTGCGCAGAGTGACCGCCGACGTGGTTCGGCTCCCAGATGTGTGCCACTGGTTGAAGCCCCTGAGCAGGGGCGCCGATGTCGACCGGATGAATGACGACGGTCTTTCGGTGGGCGACTATATCGAGTTGCTTAGGAAGATGCCGGAGGCAGCTGAGGTCCTTAGTGTGTGTTCGGAGCTTGTCACGCTAGTGGGTGGGAAGAGGGTTATTAAATGGCTCAAGTAAGAGCCATCTCAACCCCCCAGAGGTTACGAAAGAAAAGTTCTTGCAAACCCCGACAGAGCCGCGCCTTGTATACACATAATACTTCGAATACTCCCTCGTCTATCAGACGGCCGGGTTAAACTCGGCCATCCTTTGAGCTGCCACCCGGGAGCTGACGTGATCCTAATGGGTTTGCACCAGAGCTGGGCAAGCTGGCTTGGTCGTAAAATGTTTCCAAACGCTCGCGATAAAGAAGGGTCTGCTCTCAGCCTCCCCAAACCTGAAAAGGCACCATTGGTCCATCGAACCTCTGTGCCGCTCACCTGCAGCCGAAGCTACGGTGGAAGGAGCCCCTTCACAAGGATTGTTCTGGCCCATAGACTGCCCTAATCTGCTGATGGGCGCTATATCCGCCAGGTCAAAGGCAGCAGTTATCCGGACTCCGTTCCCTTCTTCACCCTTTGACTCGTTGGCAGTTGAGTCGCATCATATCCAGTTAAACCAGCTCTAGGTTCGCCGAACCACATACTCGACAAGGTTCTCCCGAGTTACATGCTGCATTCTTTCTCCGCCAGAGACCATGAATCGCTGGCTTCGTCCATACGCCGGCACCTACCGTCTCGCGCCAAGCCCAAAATTGGATCAGAAGCAGACCGAACGTCAAGAGGTGCCCAGAGACAAAGACTCAACACCCGGAGGCGTCGCCTGCGAGTTCAAGGGACCACTCACCGCTAAGGATGTTCCAGTCGTCTGGCTCTGACCCCGTAGAATCTTCAAGGAAACTCGAGGAAGATATATATTCATGGTGCTCGGTTAAGGCCTTCTAACCAGCGGCAATCGGCGAACTCCTCCACAACACATACCAGGTCATTGCCAAACCCGGCTACGGCAGTGCCTCGACGACATGGCTCTGCCGCGACCTTCAAAACCATCGCAATGTCACGCTCAAGATCTACCCGTCGGGCGAGGCTCAAACGGCCCGCGAGGTCGCCGCTTTAAGGCACATCAACATTGTCCTCGCCACCCGTCCGCCCAGCAAGCATCTCGGTGCAAAGAGCATCCGGACTCTGCTCGACAAATTCGACATCACGCGCCCCAAGACGTCACGCACGAACCTCTGCCTCGTTTTTGAGCCTCCAAGTGTATCTGTCGGCGAGGTCAGGACACTCGTGTACAACGGCCGGATGCCCATCGACATGGTTAAGTCTGTCGCCTTTTACGTTCTACAAGCCTTCGACTTTCTCCACCGTAAGGCCAACCTCGTCCATGGAGCTATACTTCCAGCCACACGGGTTCACCGCTTTGACAACATACACTGACCTGAGGAACTAACCTTGAACGAAAGACATTCAAGAATCCAACATCCTCTTCGCTGCGTCAGAACCCTCCGAGTGGCGCGACCTCGTAGACGCCGAGATGGCCCGAGCCCAGCCCGCGGAAGGTCTACAAGCACCACGCCATCTACTCGAGCCGGGTGGTAGGGCTGTCCACTCCGTCAATACCGGTGCTCTGCGACTTTGGCGAAGCCCGGTTTGGCGAAGAAGCCTACGGCGAGCACGCCATGCCCGATCTGTACCCCGCGCCTGAGATCCTCTTGAGGATTGGGTGTGGGTGGGGGTTAGAATCTGGGCGCTGGGGCTTGTGGTAGGTTTCAAGTTCTCCAAAAAGCAATGGGTTCGAGGGACGCGGTCAGGTAAACGACATATGTGAAGCTGTGAACGCTGGTTGAAGGACGAATCTCTTCAACGACACCAACGGCGGGCAGAGTAAATCGGCCCTGCCGCATATGGCGTGCATGGTCAGCCTCCTGGGCCCGCAGCCGCAGGACTTGTTGGACATGACGCCTGTGACAGAGGAGTTCCTTGACAAGAGCGGTACGTAGCCGTTGTTCCGTGAACCCATGATTTGTGGCTGACTCCCATGATTTGCCAGGGCGACTAAAACAGGAACACCAAGTGGCCGAGACGTCGTTGGAGGGCTGAGCTCACAACCCTGGAGGGCGAGGTCAAGGCTGGTGGTGTCTTGCGGTTCTCAGGCGAATGCTTCAATGGGACTTGGATAAGCGCCCTTCGGCTCAGGACCTGCTCAAGGATCCGTGGCTGGTTATCTGCAGGTTGATGCCGAGCCGGAAGGGGAGGAGGCAGGGGAAGAGGAAAAGTCATGAGGCCAGTCCTGGTTCCTATCAAGGGAAGGCAGGATATGCCAGCCTCGACGTACCATCAATGGGCCAATGGCACCTCCGAAACATGGTCTTCAAGGGCGTTGCCATCTGATTGTCAGTGTACCTTCCATTCCCGTGCTGGAGTTCTGGGATGGCGATCCATGCGCAGAACACGTGCCTGGAGCGAGGTACCATGGAAACGGAGAATCGGGGTACTACCGTGTCCTCCGCCAAGAGACACCGCTCAGCGAAACAGAACCAGCACAGGGTCGGCCAAGGACGAAGACAACTCAGCCGTCACTTTCTGACTCGCCTCGCATCGGCCTTGAGCTTGGGCGGAGCCAAGTTAAGCCCTAGATTTATGGGTATCATGGCGGGTAAAAGTGCGAGGCTGACAAAAGTCCGATGCAAAAGTCCGATGCGGGCACAGCATCTGCACCTGGCAGTATATGACTTATGCTTCCTTTGTTGAGGGCTTCGGAAAGGAGTATTATTGGGCGCAGGTATCGAGAACAGTTACTAAACAATCTGACAAGGTCTGGTACAGTCGGACAACTCGACGATGGTAATACGGGGTGATGATGCCGTGGAGTGTTTGCAATTGTCTATAAAGGTACGGCGTCTCGCCTCTTTTTGTTGAAGTTCTCTCTCTATCGCTCAACACAAGTACTCAACTCAAACTTCCCAACATGCAGCTCACCACCATCTTCCTCACCACCGCCCTGTCCTTTGCAGTCAGCACCTACGCTTGGGCTCAGGCTGCTGACGGAACCTGGGTGGCAAACAACCGCTGGTACAAGCTCTCCTACAAAGATTTTGGTGATAGTTAGTCGCTTCTACGACCTAAAATCTCTCATTTTTCTTACATGTCTGGTTTTAACCCAGGTTCACGAAGCATGCACCTGGAGGAACACGAACAACGTGCACAATGAGGGCGACTTCTGTGCCTACTGGACGAACAGCAATGGAGGCATGTTCCGAGGCAGTAAGTGCTTCCTGTCACCACTTACAACTGGTATTATCCTAGCATTCGAGCCAATAACTTGTCCTTTAGAATGCGATCACTTCCATAGGGTTGTCAATGGCAGGCTGCAGTCCGTCATGGATTGCCGCTAAATGCGGCGCTTCCACGGGTGGGGTCGAGTCGCGGATGCAAACTGGAAACGTCGGGTTCTTTGATTGGGCCAGATTCAACACTGGCATTTTCCATGTCTTCTAACCTGGTAACCTCGTCAATCAACTCTCAAACAAGAAGCCTTTTGACTCCCGTCTGCAACTGTGGTGGTCTGATATGGTGGCGATTCGGGCGAGCAAATCCCCGACAACAAGGTGACCTTACACTTAATCTCTCTCCGCCTAAGCCCCCAACACCGTCATCTTCTTCCCCAACCTTTCCGCCAGCCACCAGGGGATTGCCAATGACCATCCACATCAAAGCACATCCCCCCCTTCCAAGTCTCCGGTGGCGGATGCTTCCCAACAACAACCCGACCACCTCCCTAGCCTAGCCCACTACTCTTGGGAAACTATCCAGTCGTCTTTCTTTTATCATTCTCTTATTCGACTCCTATCCTTCTTCGGTTTTTTATTCTTACCTTCTTTCTTTTATCTAACATACTTGCATAACGAGAGGGCCACCTTTCCTTAGACCGCAACCACTATATAAGTCTATAAGTCAATTCAACCACAACAGCTCAAATCAATTGAGACTACTCGGAATCAATTTACCTCAGACGTCTTGCAAATTACTTGACAAGTTCTTGCATTGTGGCCGGGCTTCTTGCAGTTGCTGCAGAGCCGAACGCGTGGCTCAGCCACGGTTATACAACCACCACTGCCAGACCTTTCCTCGTAATCCGACCACCAAGTCCCAAGTTGCCCATCAAAACAGTCGCCTTTTAAGAATTAAGTGATCCTCCATCCTACAAACACGGTTTTTTAGTCCTGTGTCGCTTGCTTGACTACTCATTTACCATACGAACCTCCTTGGTCTCGGCCCGGAGAAGTACCATCTTATACGCCAATTTCGATATACCCTTCGCTTATAAGTCGATTATGTCGGAAATACTGATGGGGGAGCTACCTTGGTGATGTTGGATTTTTCCGCTTTAGTGTGCTGGAACTCAGTGTCGCTTCCTACGCGTTGGAATGTGTCTAGGGGACCTAGGGTATGGCTAATCCGGGATGCGAGCTTGGAGGAGATGGGTGATTTGCTTAGGGTCGAGGCGACACTATTGAATCGGGGTCGAAAGGAACGATGCCGTCTACTCCGAAGCCTGCTCGTTCGTATGTTGTTTGCCGTATTAGAGGCGTGGAATGCCTCGACAAACGCGTCGAAGAAGTCGTCCGTTATAATGTAGGTAGGTGATTTGCATCCCCGTCATCCGCTCGAGTTACTTGCCATACGAGACATTGAGCGGACTCAACCCCCCAAATCGAGAAGCTGAAGTAAGTGAGATGAATGTGGAGGCATGCAAAGTGTAACAATGGTGTGACCTTGCAGAAATCATCGAAGGCGACCGAGTGGTGGCTTCCATGGCCGTTGAGGACGATTCGGTGTAAGCCGAACTACACGTTTACCACGTCAGGATCTTCGCATTGGGTTCAGTGGTAATTCCAACGTCGAAAACGCGTCGTACGCTCGTCATGCCGGTCCACGAAGTTGTTCGCCCATCGGGGTCCGACGCGTGAGCGTCGCGCGCCGCACGAAGACGATCGGCATTTCTCGTTTTTAGAGAGCCGGAGCTGAAATCCTCGCGCGTCAAGGTTGAGTACCCTCTCAAGAAGGACCTTATCTCTTCCAAGTCGGCCAATTTTTGAAGGTTGGCTGGTATTTCGCGTCGTGGTTGCTTTCCAGCGCGTTTGTCATGGAGCGAGCTTCATGGGATCTCGTACATCGTAGCAGCTTTTCGTACGGAAAGTTTATGGTCTTTTTTAAAAGAGCTTCGAGTGCAAGAAAAGTGCCACTCTCTTTTGGAAGAGGTTGCATTGTGTTTTGTGGAAGAAAATCCGCGATCAAATTCGAGAAGCTGCAAAGTGAAAAAGCGGCCCACTACCTGAGTTATGCGAGTACGTTACCCGGTCCAGATTCACGGTCTCGGCCCTTCCCAACAACGACAGCTTCTTGTGTTCGTTGTTGTTCAAAGAGGGCGGTTTTTTGTTCTCATAGCTACCAGTCATCGACCCTTCTGAGCAGACAGAGAACCTTTTATGGAAAAGTTCCAGCAGGCTGGCAAGTGCAGACCCGTAATCCTGATGAGGGACGGCTGGGCACATCAAGTTACACGGCGCAGGCTGCGCTCGGGGTATCAGATGCCGGGCGTTGTTGTACGCCAATGGTAACGAAGCGTGAAGTGCAATTCTCTTTTGAATCGAGATCAAAGGATGGGCGGCCGCAAGAGTGCTGTTCCATTGTCCACTTCCACTCAATCAACCAGAGCAGTTAACCAGTCAAACGCTGGAAAATAGAGCAGACACAATGAACTTTGCTTACCACGTTGCGTTCCCGACAAAGCCGAGGGCAGGTATGGCCCGTTGTGGGAATTTCGGAGCATCGGGCAACACTGATGCTGCGGCGTTTCCCAACGAATTACTGTACATTGACGATTCAAGTGGTCTATTGAAGGCATTTGCACTCACCAGCGCCGTCGCCGCCGCGAAACTCGGCTCCTCACCTGGGTTCTAAACCGAGAGTCAATCGTGGTGGTTGTCTTGCTGCAAGCACGTCACGGGATAATCATCTCATCTCCGTTGCCCCCATCTTCTTTTGTTCTTTTATTTGTTTAATAATTCGGCGCTTCCGTCTCATTCGACTTCGAGCAACCTTCTCTCCAAGTTGGCGCTGAGCGTTCCTTATCACCTACTCATCTCAGATCAAGCCTGAACGAAGCATCGCTGGACCAAGAAGATGTCTGTTAGCGGTCTACCACCCTCAATTTTGACAAGTGGCATTTGTGGCTTACTTAGGTACCGTGCAGGACCAACCCTCACAATTCCAACCACTTGAAAGGTATCGGCAGTTGGAGAGCAGCCTCCCAGGTCCCCGAAATCAAGAGACTCTCGAAAGTGGCCATGACCTGAAAGGGGTCGATCTCGAAACAGGTATTAGTTCAAAGTGTACTCCTCGGGCTGAGAGGGCAAGATGACAATAGCTCCACCCATGCGGTGGCCGGACGAACGCACGAAAAACGGTCCCTGGAATCACCTTGGGAAATAGAAAAATGTTTGTTGCAGTGCCAAGTCAGCACCTTCGGCAGTGTTGGGATTTACCCAACAACAAATAGTTAGCAAAGTTCGGAATACAAATAAACTTTCTCCAACCTCTATCTAAGTGCCGGTGTCCTGCTATCCCACCCTGTATCCTCCGCATCCCTTCCGCCTTCACCCCCCATACGAGTTCGAGTACCTGCCCGCCGGCATCTCGTACCCATACCCAGTCCGGGGCCCCGTCGTCCCGGGTGCCACGGAGCTGTCGCTCTCATACTTGCTCTGCTGAGACGACGGAACCTGCACCGTCTGGGGAAGATGCACCGACAGCATCTGCAGGCTCTCGGCCGTGTTGCGCCCGCTCTCCACGCTGTCCACCGGCAGCATGCTGCTGTCCTTGTAACCCCTGAGCGCGCGGGAAGGGTGGCTCCACAGGAACACGACGGCGACGATAAACATCAGCGCGCCGTCTAGAGCGAGAAGGTACGCCTCGTTGGACATGAGCACGCTGTCGCTGCCCATGCCGAACTCGATCATGCGAAACACGGACCGGACCATGATCAGGACACTGGATATGTAGAGCGCCACGACGTGCTGCCGCCAGGGCCCCGTGACTGAGTATGATTTGGGAGTTGGGTTGCTGCTGATGCGCACGTGGAAGGCGACGGCGGTCACCATGAAGAAGCCGAAGAAGAGGACTTGGATGGCCAGGCCGCCGAGGATGATGTACTCGCCGCGCTGTTGGTCCTGTTTCGACTTTGCCTGGGCCATGAGGCCGCCGCCTGGAGGAAGCGATTAGTTGGAAAATGTCAGAGACGAAGAATGATTTGATTCTACTTACCACCACCTTGTGCAAAGAAGGAAAGGACATCGCCAGTGACGAATACCTTGGTCATCCAATTCGGCCGGATTAGGGCGTACTTTTCGGCACCAAGCAGCCGGATTAGCCGGGCGAGGATCATGTAGATGGAGGCAGCGAGCAGGGCCGGGCCGAGGAGGATGAGGAGGGTTTGGATGATGTAGGGCTTTAGCGTCCATTTTGGCGTTTCCGTCGCGGAAATGGCTCGACCGACGTATCCGACCGCTTCGACTGGTGGCAGGTTAACCGCCATTCAAGTTTTCTCTTCGGGGGAAGGGTAGTCAAAACGTACAGATACACCCGATGACGAAGGGAATAAAGTACCAAACCCTCTTGTGCACGAGCAACCATACATGGCCGATTGCGACAATGGCGAAGAGCACAATAAAGACAATGTTGGCTGCGAGACTGGGGTCGTAGTGGTAGAACTTGAAGTCCGCAAAAGCTTTCTCATTGTCTGCCATGATATCGCCGGGCTGGAATATGCTCGAATTAGAGTCGTGTACCAAATATCGTTCCTCGAAATATCAATACAACACTGCAGCCTGCTTGAGGGGTTATGTATCGACGGAGGTAGGATGAATGAGAACGTCAACGAAAGGGCCAGCCAGAATTGACTCTAGGGCCATCAAATGTGGGAGAGGATAAAGTTTAAGTTATGGGACGAGACCGCGGCCCAAGGGTGCCGTCCTTTTGGACGCGCGTCTCGTCCATGTAGACCCAAGGAAAAGAAAAAAAATATGATACCAGTCTGCCCGGATCTGATGCTGAGCCACGCTGTCAGCGCCTGGACAGGCAGGACAGCCCATGTTTAAGAATAAGTTGATCCACAACACTCGGCAGCGGCGATAGGCGAATACGCGTATCGTCGTGTTGGATCCGCGTCGAATCAGCGGGCTGTCCCGGGGGGCCAGGCCCACCGAAATGCCACCCTTCTCAGCGGGCAACCCGGCACGGGATCTGTCGTTGCTGCACCGAGGCGTGTTCGGGAGTGGTTCCCGAGTGAATACGCGGAAAGTAACCTAAAAGATCTAGCCACCCAGGCCCTGGTATTCACGCTGACAAGTTTGCTGATAAGTTAAACTTTTTTCTACCCGAAAGTGGGCTCCTAGTACCTTTGAAAGGGGAACCAGTGGGGGATCCAGAGAATCCAATTGCTCCTCTGCCACTCCTAACGCAGCTTGTGCAATGCTTCCTCGAGGCTGTTCCCAGTCATGAGTTTGAACACTTCGGTGTACCGCGCCTTGGTTTTCTCGACGACCTCGGGCGGCATTTCGACATCGGGCTTTCCTTTCTATTGCCGTGCGTCAACTCATTGTCCCAGGACACTACAACAATGCAGAGACATACCAGACCGTTGTCGGTCAACCAGTTTCTCAACACCTGCTTGTCGACTGTCGAGTGTCAGCATATCACCGCACGAAAAGCAGGGCAACGGCACGCACAGGAGTCTTGTTCACGTCCAACTAAGGTAATGTTAGTACTTGTCCACTTTTAACCTGTAGGGAGAGGACATACTTTGGTAATCGGCCTTGCTCCAGAAGCGCGAGGAGTCGGGTCTGAGCGACATATGTCAGGATTTGATGCTGCACTTCCCAGGACTCGCAACCAGAGAGGCGACGTACGTAAGAACCTCGTCAACCAGGTAGATCTCGTCCGTCTCCTCGTCCAAGCCGAACTCGAACTTGGTGTCGGCCTGCATACAAATCATTAGTAACCGTTCAGCGCGCTAATGTTTATAAAACTTACAATGATGATGCCCCGCTCCTCGGCATAGGCGGCGCCGGCGTTATAGCAGGCCAGGGCCAGCTCCTCGATGCGGGCGGCGTACTTGTCGCCGACGATGCCCCTAGCCTCGTCGGGCGAGATGTTGATGTCCTTATCGCCGAGCTCAGCCTTGGTGGAGGGCGTGTAGATGGGCTTGGGGAGGCGCTCGCAGCGCTTCAGTCCGGCGGGCTGCGGCAGCCCATGGATGGTCTGAGTTTTCTCGTACCTGCGAGGTAGTCAGCAGGTTGGCGGCTAATACTGGCCTCTGACCAAGGACGACTCACTCAGCCCAAGCACTACCTGTGACATAGCCGCGTACTGTCGGATGTTAGCTGAATGTGATGAAGGGGGTGCCTGAGGGAATGGGGAGGAACGTGCCGATCGCCTCAATGGGGAAAATCTTCAGACGGCTTGGGAACTCGCGTTAGCACTATCAGGTAAGTTGCGTAGGGGGTCCTAAGATGTTTGCATACCGCACTGTCATTGAGCGGCCGCGGAGCATCTGCTGCTCATCCTGGGAGAGGCCCGAGGTAGCGGGCGGGCCGAGATGCAAGAAGTGATGCTTCAAGCCCGGTACGCTGGACGAGAGCACTTCGAACCATTTGGCCGAAAGGAGGGTCAGGATGACGCCCTTGGTGGGAACGCCGTTCTGAAGGAAGCCATGTCAACATCTCGCCAGCAGCCACTGCAGCTTCCTTTTGGCTCCGTCTCATCAACAAGAGCATGGTTATTGACTGACCTTCAATATGACGTCATAGGCGCTGATGCGGTCTGAAAGATCGGGAGTCAATTGGAAAGTTTCATGACGATAGTGGGAGAGTTCAGGTAGTAAAGGGGTACCTTACCCGATGTGACAAAAAGAAGGGTGGGCTGGTCGCCGTCCGGAAGAGAGAAGAGATCCCTTGTCACGCGGTCGTTAGAACCAGACCGACAAGGGAAGACCTTTCAGGAGAGGAAAGGACGAAATTGGACGACATCGCCCGCACGGTAATGTCGAACGGGAAAAGGGGCCGATGAAAAACACACCTGACTTTGCCCTGGGATATGCGCTTGAGCGATGAGAGGGGAATGCTGGTGAGAACCTCAGAAGCCATTGCTGACGGTGACTCGGTCCAACTAGAACTTTGGGAACGAAGGGATAGAGAAGTGGATTTGCTGGGCCTGCACTTCAAGGGTGTGGGGAGACAGGTAGAAGATGCAGCTCCTGATTACCCAGTACACAGGACGTTGGACAAGCACCTTGACCCTTCTCAGGCAGTTGCACCTATGACTCTGTGTCCATGTGAAAATCTGGAGGAGGGGCAATCAAGCGCGACATCGGCGTGCGGGGCAGTCCAAGTGGGGCTCTCACACCAACGCCGCGCTCTTCCCACTCTCCCCACCAAGTCTAAAAACTCTATCGATTTTCAGCTCCTCCGCTCATGCTGGAATCGTCGACTCGCGAGTTGAGACACGACACGAAGACCATCGCACGTGGCGTCGACCGTTTTTCATGTATGCCGAACGGGCGCTGCTTCTGTGATTTCTCTGGTTGTGCGACACGACGTTGTTGGTTCAATCATAACACGCCGACTGGACTGGCTCACCGAGTCGCGAACAGGCTGCTCTGCGCTGTGCGCTGTGCTAGGTCTCGGGGAACAATTGTCTGACGCCGCGCCGCGTTGAACCGTTCGCACCGTCAATTTGATGATTCTATATCGTCGAGATGTTGAAGCCTACAACGGATTGCACCTCTCCAGCAGCAGATTTACCTACTCCCGCGCTCTCGGCACTCGGCCGGTGTTTGCCCATGCCGGATTTTCCGGTCTTGGCAACTGGCACCGCCGCCGGATATTCCGCCGTCAGATGAGCAATTCTGGAATGGCGGGCGTTGGAGCCGGTCCAGAGCATCCGCATTCGTTGGGAGTGGGCCAAGGAGGAGAGTGGACTACTGAGCAACGGCAGGCATGTGACGGAAATGGGACAACATGTCAGCCATCACCATTGCTTCCTATATGACCTGGCGGCTCAGGCACTGTCTCGACTTAGGCCGTGCATTGAGCTTAGTCCATACCGTCTTGCTCTCCGGCCTCACTCTCGATCCTGAGTGCATCAACGATGTCATCATTAAACGGGGAACCGAGCTTTGCTGCTTTTGTCTCTCAACTCACCCTGCGAGAGAAGGTATCATTGCTGTCGGGCAACAGCTTCAACACAACGCCGGGCGTCGAACGTCTCGGTATCCCTCGAATCAAGGTCCGAGTGATACTGAATATCGTTCTTTGTCGTGTGCGCCTTGTTGACAGTGGGCCAGGTTGCTGACTCGATCAATGGAATTCGGCCATCTTCACTGAAGGATGACATGACAACTGCCTCCTTCCCTAGCACAACTTGCCTGGGCTCAACATGGGACAAAGAGCTGCTGCACCGCATGGGAGAGCGGCTTGCTCACCAGGCCAGGTTGAAGAGTGCTCAGGTCGTCCTTGGTCCCACAATCAACATCCACCGCGATCCTCGAGCCGGCCGCAATTTCGAGTGCTTCAGTGAAGACCCTTTGCTGTCGGGCCAGCTCGCAGCCGCCATCGTCAACGGCCTCCAGAAGCAGGGGGTCGGTGCTTGTCCCAAGCACTTCGTCTGCAATGACTCCGAGACCATGAGGCACTTCTACAACGTCGCAGAGTCCCCCAATTGTCGGGGGCTGAGGGAGATCTACCTGGCAGCGTGGCAGCACATGTTGCGTGAGTCCGATCCTGTGGCCGTCATGACCGCGTGAGTACCCCGAGCCCAGCACTCTTGCTCGTCGAACATGCCATCTCATAAGAGGATAGGTACAACAAGGTCGACGGGACATTCTGCTCCGAGAATGGAACCCTCATCACCGATATCCTGCGCCGCACATGGGGATATCGTGGCGTCACCATGTCCGACTGGTTCGCCACGCGGTCAACTGCAGCCTCCATCAAGGCGGGCCTGGATCTTGAGATGCCCTTCCCAATTCTCAGAGGAGCCAAGCTCGTCCAGGAAGTTGAGTCCCGAGCGGTCACAGTGGCAGAACTCGATCAACGCGTGCTCAAGATGCTTGAGCTGCGCGACAGAACCAAGGATTGCCACAGTGACGAACCGGAAAGATCCGAGATCAGCGACGAAACGAACGCCATTGCCAGAGAACTTGTCGCGAGCGGCATGGTCCTTCTGAAGAATGTAGCCGAGACCTTGCCCCTGGAGCCCTCCCAGCAGCTCAAGGTGGCCGTGATCGGCGAATTCGCCAACGATCCCGTTGTCACCGGCGGCGGAAGTGCGTCCTGCAAACCACAGTACAAGCAAAAGCCTCTCGACTTCCTCCAGGAGGCCTTCAGCAAACACGGCACCGTCCAATACGCCCCAGGCGTCCGAACGCGACGTATCATTCCAGTGGCCCCGACCGCCCAACTCACCGCTGCCGACGGCCGCCAGGGCGTGGACGTCTCCTACTTCAACGACGACAACCCATCCCAACCCATCCTCACCGAATTCCAACCAGTCCCCCACGTCTCCATGCTCGGTCAGCATGAATTCAAGCCGTCCCTCCACGTCCCCGGTTCCCGCCTCGAGCTCACCACCACCCTGACCCCCTCCACAACCGGCACCCACACCCTCGCCGTCCGCTGCACCGGCGCTTTCACGCTCTCGGTCAACAACTCGCCCATCCTATCCCGAGCCATCCAACCCGCCATCACCACAGAGCAGTTCCTCTTCAACCACACCCTCCTCGAAACCCGCCACGAAAAGGGCCTGCCCATGCTCGCCGGCACGCCCTACGCAATCCACCTCGTCGTGCACTCCCGCACCGAACTGATGCCCCACGGCGAACCCACCCCGTACAGCGCGACGCTCTGCTTCGAGGAGGAATACTCGGAGGAAACCGCGATCCACACTGCAGCGGCGCTCGCCCAGTCCGCGGACGTGAGTCTCGTCTTTTGCGGACGCAGCGCACAGTACGAGTCAGAGGGGTTTGACCTGGAGGAGATGGCCATGCCGGCGAACCAGACGGCGCTGATCCGCGCTGTGGCGGCTGTGGCCAAGAGGACGGTGCTGGTGCTGTACTGCGGGAATCCGATTGATGTGAGCCCGTTTGTGGACGAGGTGGAGGCCGTTGTGCTGGCTCATTTTCCGGGCCAGGAAGGGGCGGCGGCGCTGGTGGATGTCTTGACTGGAAGGGTGAATCCCAGTGGACGGTTAGCGACGACGTGGTGGGTGCGGTTGAAGGAGGCGCCGAGTTTTGGGGCGTTTCCTGCCGCGGAGGGAGAGAATGGGGTTGAGATTCGGTACGAGGAGGGAGTGAGGATGGGGTACCGGTGTGAGGATTTGGCGAGGAGGGCAAGGTGGCCGTTTGGGTTCGGCTTGTCATACACAACGTTTAGGTACGGCGGGCTGTGTTTGGTTGTGGATGAGGAGGCGGAGCCGGCAAGGCTGATGTGCTCAGTCGAAGTGAGCAACACTGGGGGCAGGGAGGGACGAGAGGTTGTCCAGTTATATGTGCGGCCGTCAAAATCTCAGAGCGCTTGGAGGCCGGAGCGGGAACTGAAGTCCTTCGCCAAGGTCCAGCTACAGCCGGGAGAGAAGAAAGTAGTGAAATTGCAGGTGGACTTGAAGGTTGCCTGCAGTTATTGGGATGAGGCAGCACTCACATGGCGGCTGGAGGAGGGTACATACGGGGTCCAGGTTGGGAGCTGCCAACAAGAGTTCAATGTGATGAAGACGAGGGCGTGGAATCACCTGTAGAAAGGCAAATATTATTGTCTCATATTTCTGTTGTCCTACCAGTCAGTAGCCCCCGAATCCGCAGAGTGGGTTTCCCACACCAAGTTTACCTTACCTCAACCCATTCCTTCCTGTCTCTAGTCCCAAATGGACCGATTAGGAAGGGTATTGAAGTTTTGCCGGACACCTACTTGGGGGTTCATGGTCTCCTAGCGTTGATTACGAGGTAGAGTTCGGCCAGAGGAGGGGGGAATTTAACAAGCCACCTGTGCCCATATGCGGACATACCATCTTGCGCTAGGTGACACTGCTTGGTTCCTGAGCTTCGATGCTGCACCTGTGCGGTTCACCACGCTCAACTTTATTTACACTTCATGTTGCTAGCCGCTCATGCATCTAGCTGTACACACATCTCAACACACGCCGCTCGCAACCTCTCCTCATCCCACGGAGCAACGGCATCGGGCAGCACAAAGTTGGAATACGGCTGCCCGGCCGTGTGTACCAGGTCTTCAATGCCCGGCCCGTTGGTGAAGCTGATGGCCCGCACATACCGGCTCGCAAACTCCAGCATGAACGCTTGACCCGCCGAGATGACCAGCGTCTGGCCCTCCCTGACCTCGGCCGAGTCTTCCTCGCCCCTCAACCGCACCCTCAGCAACCCCTCCGTGACACAGAAGCAGTGATCGACCGTCGCAAAGCTAAGCCACCTGCACTTGAAGGGCGACTCGTCGGCATACTGATTGCTCGACTCAATACTCGAGATGGCGAACTTGCCCGCGCATTGAGAAGCCTTGATAAAGGGGCGCGACATGACGCCGCCGAGCATCCACCTCGGCCCGGTGTTGGCGCGCAGGAAGTAGGGCTCCAGCGGCGCCGGGAGGACGTTCTCAGTGTCCAGCCAGTCGCCGACTTCGGGCGGCCGGTAGTCACGCTCAAAGTGGACGTCGAACCGGTCCTTGGCCGCCATGACCTTGGGGATGATGGATGCCTTGAGGTTGCGGTCGTCGTTTTCGGGAACGATGACGCCGTTGTATGTCTCGGCGACGTAGCGGAAGAAATCGACCCAGTCGCCGGGCGCGACTAGACCCAGAGTTTCGGTGTGAGGCCCCAGGAGTTCGGGGTTGTGGATGACTTTCTGTGTATCAGATCAGTGCCGGTTCGCTGTATTTAGGGGGTTGCGGAGATGTGTCTTACGGGTGGCACGTATGCGAAATCACCGGGTCCCATGATCCTGCACTTGTCGCCATTCCATAGCTTCAGGAAACCCTTGGTGACAAGGAAGACGTCGTGCGCCTCGGCATGCCAGTGGAAGCCCGGGGCATCGGACAAGACGGCACCGCTGCTGAATACGGCGATGCCGCCGTTGGTCTGCTTGGAGGATGCAAGGATGCGGAACACGCCCTTGCTCCCCGGAATGGTGATGCGCTCGCCTTCGAGCTGGTCAATGATGTAGTTGGTTCGCGCATCGGGCGGCGCGGAGTGAACAGGAATTCCCATGTTGCCACTTGGTTTTGGTTTGGAAGCTTCGGAGATGGCATGTACAAGATTGTATGATCGTTCTCAAAGGCCAATAGAACAAAAGTCAGAAAAGAGACGATCGATGTCCTTTAACCTTCCCCGGAACTTATGATCTAGAGAAATACCCCTGATCCCCCGCAAACGCCATTGCCTGCCCACCGGCAACGAGTCAAGCCATCGACAAACTTGAGCACCTCGAAACACGGTACTTGGAACACATCGCTCTCCGACACTCCACACCGGAATTGCCGAAACTCTGGACCTCAAGTTCGGAATCTCCGGGTTATGGATCTCCCGCGATTCTAATTAGTCCACTGGGTGACGAAGCTTGACTCCACGGCCCCCCGCATTCGTTGGCAAAGTAGAGGGTTGCAATCTGACTATGGATATCTTCAGCCGTATTCTTGACGTATGCAGGTTTTGATGGTGTTGATGGACTGATTCTCACCATCATCTGTGCTACTTCGTCACAAGTCCCAGCGCCTAGATCATCTTCCGTGTCAGGACACGCCCGCGAATCACAATGGGTCCACCGTCTTCGTTCCGTGCGGTCTACAAAATGATAGACGACCAGGAGATTGACGTGGATGTTTATCTACCTCAACCGCAAGCTATTGCGACCAACGGAGGTTGCCCTATTAGTGCGTTTCTTTTTATTTCCCTCTAGTCAGTCATTCTTTTAATATCAGCGAGCTGACGGGCACCGGTCAGTCATCAACATCCATGGAGGCGCCTTCATGCTCGGTTCGTCGGACATGGTCAACAAAGACCAAGTTCAAGACTGTCTAGACCGAGGATGGATTGTCCTGGCTCCCAATCACCGCCTGTGTCCTCAGGTCGACTTGTATGACGGTCCGATGCGAGACTGCCGTGACCTCCTCAACTGGGTCTACAGCGGCGATCTGCAAGACGTTGTGTCATCCATCCCGGATGGTCCCTATCCTCTCGATCTCGATCATGTCTTTGCTTTCGGCACGTCATCTGGCGGGACATTGGCTCTGAGTCTTGTAAGGCATCCTCCCCCATTCCAGCTTGACACTCGGAGCTGATCACTCTGTCAGGGCTTCGGGGTCCCTCAGCCAGTTGCTGGCATCTTCGACATGTACGGGCCATGCAACTTCTCAAATGCCTTTTGGACAACTGAGCTGCCGCAGGTAGCTGCCAAACTACCGCCAGGACTCACCGAGAAATTCATTAACCAAGTCTATACTGAGAAGCCGGTGCCCACTCGCGGTGGCGTCTCGCTGGAAGGCCAGGCTCCCGGCGCGCCAAACTTCAGCGACCCGCGGCAAGCGTTTGCGTTTACGCAGATTGCCCGGGGCACAGTTCTCAAGGCGATCTATCCTAAGGGGGACCTGGATAGGATAGATCCCGTGAGGAACATCAGCGCTTCCTTCCCGCCTACCTTGATTGTGCATGGGACGGAGGATGATATGGTCCCGATTAGTCTGAGCAGGGACCTGTACCGGGAACTGCAGAAGTGCGGCGTCAAGTGTGGGATGGAGGAGGTCCCTGAAGAGGGGCATACGTTTGCTGCCAAGATGAAAGTAGGATCCCGGACTTGGGAGCTTCAGCGAAGGGGTTTTGACTTTCTGGAGGGACTGGTACGAGGAAAATAGTCGAACCTACATGTAAGTCAGTGGTCGTTGTGCTCATTGTCTTCGAATGTTGTGCCGATAATGAGTTTTGCCCCTGGCTGCGATTCATCATTCATGGCGCTTCAACTGCTCCCATCGTAGAGGCAGATACGGTTGAGTGTAAACGAGTCACTCCCGTCACCTGTGTGCTTGTTTCATGTCAAGTTCGGTGCTGAAACCCTTCAGTCCCCCCTGAACTACCGCTAATTGTTGCCGACTGGTCATGCGTGGACCCCTGACAGGGGTTCCCTACCTCGCGCAAGGAGTGCCGAACCAGATTCGTGGGAGAGACCCTAGTTACTGTAGGTAATCACTAGTTGCATTGCAGTGATGAATCTTGCCACGGGGGACCCGAATTGCGGGGTCCGGGCCCCTTCGGCCTCCCCACACGGTGACGGGGTCACGAGCTCTCCGCAAGGTGATCTCGATTTCATTGTACCTATGCTGAACCACTGGATGCACATGTGCCCATATCTAATGGAACGAGAACGGCGCCTTCGACGAGCGAGACTTGACAGCAGCCCGAGATGGAGCCAAGGAGAACGCCTTCCCAGCCCGCCGGCCAAAACACGGGTCACAACATGAAAGTCCGCCGGCCCCGAGCTGCCCGAGCCTGCGACCTGTGTCGGGTGAAGAAGAACAAATGTGACGAGCTGTACCCGTGCACCTACTGCAAAGACAGGAATGCAGAATGCGTCTACCGGGGCCAGCGCCGCTTCCTGCCTGAGTATGCCCTCCCCGCCAACAGTATCATTACCTTAATAGCAGAAGAGGTCCTAGAAAGGAAGCTGACGTCAAAACACAGATATGTCAGGCATCTGGAAGACCTTGTTCGGCAGCTTACTGCGTCTCAGGGCCAACAGCCCCACGAGGGAATGTTCATTAATCAAGACCGGCCGACGCCTCAGCCTGACCGCAGTCCAAACGAGGCTGGTCTGCTGCCAGGAGCAAGCATGCCACGCTCGGCTCTTGACAATCCGTCAACTACCAGCGCGGCATCTAGACAAGGTGCTGGCCACGAGGTGTCCGGAGTCAACCGCCACACCCAAAACGTCGAATTCTACGGCAGGTCATCGTCCGTTGCACTACTTTCGCAGGTACAGCGGTCTGGAGAGGAATCCGCCATCCCGGAAGAAGGAGAGCTTGATGCCGGCGTCATTCTCTCCAACCTTCATAACCCAGCATTTTCCCCAGCTGACGCACAGAACAATGGACACGAAGGACCCTCCTTGGTAACCCCGTCTCATTACCCGCAGTGCCGTAGTTTCTTGGACGGCTTTTTCGGCACCATCCACTTCATACATCCCATCATTGACAAAGGCGCGTTTCTTCGACGATGCGAGCTTCTGTGGTCTGGAGCTGCAGAGGCAACACAGCACTCGAGTTTCACTGCGCTTTACTACAGCATTCTCTCGCTTGGTGCGCTTGTGGGGCCCAGGGACGATGAGCCGATCGATGGCACTCCGAATATCCAATGGAGCCGAAAGTTCTTTGACGAGGCCCGATTTCGTTGCAATAAGCTTGGCATGGTCACGGACCTTGAGATGGTGCAATGCTACTTCTTTATGGTAACCGCTGTTTCCCGTATTCATTACACTCAGGTAGTGTTCTGGGCTAATGCCGTGACAAGGCCAAAGTTTGCCAGAACGAACTCAACGCCCATTGTGAGTGAGCCCGTGAGGAGCTAAGGGGAATGCAGAGATGAAGGCGGCTGACGTCTACAGGGTCATACATGTACATTGGCCTGGCCGTCAGGACGGCACTGGCCATGGGGATCAACAGAGAGCCTCCGTCCGACACGAAGAAGGATCCAGCTCAACTAAGGGCAGAATGTCGGACTTGGTGGTATGCATTTTTCCCATTTGCACATCAAGGACTGTCGAAGCTGACATGAGTGAATTACTTAGGGGGTTGTATTCTCTTGAAACGTAAGACTCCCCGACAACTCACGCATCATGACTGCTACTGACAAGGCACAAGAGAAATATCTTTTGCCATGGGGAGGCCAGACACGCTCGGAGCAGATTCATATCACAACCGCCGGTTTCCCCGTGTCAGAGACAGCGAAATCGCGAACACGCCAGACACAGAGTCTCTTGACCTTGGTGACCCGCCGTACTGTGGTATTATCGAACCAATGGTGGAGTTTGCGAGAATAACCAAAAGGGTTTGCCTTGCGATATACCTTCAGGACAACACCACACCACGCACCATTGCCGTTGCCAACCAGATAGAGCGGGAGCTGGATGAGTGGGTTGAGCGGGTACCTCCATCATTCCGACCTCAAATCAAGGATCCCACGCAGCCGGAGACACTGAAGAGCGCAAAGGAGCCGAAATGGGCGAAAAGGCAGAGGCTCGTGTTACTGATTCGTGAGTTCCTGCAACATTGCGTACTTTTCCCTTGTTGGCCAATGTGCTGAGACCCCCAGGGTACTTCAACCTCAAGATTTTGCTGTTTGGCTCCATACTCCTCACGTCCACGGCAGCGGAACGAGCTAGCCTGCCCTCATCAACTGTCTCCATTCAGAAGTGTCTTGAGGCGGCCAAGCAGACGATCCAGGTCATCTACCAGGTGTACCAGCACCACGACTTTTTCCACACGTGGTACGAATCCAGGCACTCAAAGAGACACAGGCTCTGGCTAATTTGGTCCAGGTTCTACAACACGACCTACACCGTATTCGCCGCCTCCATCATTCTTGTCTACGTCGCGCAAGAAGCTACCGAGAGCGAGATTCAGCCGCTGCTCAAGCTGGTGAGCATGGCCATTGAAATCCTCGAAACAATGGATGAGTGCGTCGTTGCCGCCAAGGCAGCTCAGTTGCTCCGTCGGGCGTCAGAAAACGCCCAGAAGAAATCCATCAGTGCATCTACCAGTGCAGGGGCCAATACAGCGGCTCCACATCCCGGTGGGCAGCCCCTGGCTCAGGGGCACGAGGCCATGCTGCATCTGAACCAGTACTGGGGCCCGCTCAGCTTCGTTGGCGGCGATATGGACCTCGACTTCAACTTCTTTCAGCTTGCCGACTTGGATGGCGGGAATCCATTGTTGATGTCGTTTGGGGAGCCTGCAGACCTATAAGGAAAGGCGAAAGGCCAGATACCAAGGTACTGTAGCAAGTTATCACTTGGTAAGGTACAATTTTGGCTCGGGCCATAGGGATTGTGTACTGCCGGGCTCAGCTACTCCCACGCTCAAGCGAAAACTCAAGAGAAAGGTGTGCGTGATGGCACCACTGGTCGATCATGCCCTTTGCCCCCTTCAAGACGTAGCTCTGCTACGACACATACCCACACAATATGTATCCACACGCTCATGTCCAAGGCACCCTGCCTAAGGTACACTCACCCGCAGACAGGACACCTACTCCTTCTTGCCCGGGTAGTTCCGGCAGCACTGGAAGTTGGAGCCGCCAGGACAATGGCCTACGATAGAGCACCAAACACAATGTCAGTTCGGAGACCTTGCATCTGAAACAGTAAACGGTCTTCAGAATGAAGCAGCCGTACCAGGGTCAAAGATGCCGCCAACAGACTGGCAGGCATTACCGGCGGACGTCCAATCGCACCACGAGACCGGGCCGCAGGGGTCGTTGGCCGCGTTGCCGCCGCGCCCGATGACGCAGCACCGGACGTCGTCCGCGTCGTAGGGACAGGCACCCTGCTTAGAGATGCCGCCGTAGGACCGACACGTCGACGTTCGGATGCAGATGCCGCTCTCTCCCCAGACGCCGTCGGCCGCGGAGCCGGTGCAACGGCCGTTGAGGGCGGCGTGGGCCATGAGGGGGAAGATGATGGTCAGAATGTTTGAGGCACGCATTGCGACGGCTTGTACGTCAAGAGTGGTGGCACTTCAGCTTAGATTATCACTAAGTGATGAGCATAAAATCGTTGTGGAAATGGTCATGATGGGTCCTTAAATAGATGGCACGACAGACGAGTACCTTATCTTTGAGCTCACGAAGGCTTCATGATGCAATGTATAGTGCGGCTGTCTTCGTCAATCTATCTCCCTGATCAACGATTTGTTCGGGCAATCTCCGAGGCCGTGCATGACTTGCCTAGAGTAAGATGGAAGAATGGTTGTCCCATGAAGTTCTCCGTCATGGACTTGTGTCACCCCATTTGTAAACAATCGAGGGTTTTTAGGGCTCAAGTCGAGTGGTTTTCAATTCAACCGCCCACTTTCGACGAATGAAAGTCCACTCGGAAAGCGGTCGGCTAGTGACTCGTGCCTTGTCAGTCTCCTCGGTCTCGTCGGCTTTTGCCTTGGCACGCGTACGTCTCTGGGCATCTTGAACAATGGGAGGAAGCTCTACATTAATCATGCAGTTGGCAGCCGAGTCTATGCAACGCAACCTCGGTGAGGCCCGGCTGTTTAGATTTGCTGCAGAACTTGGCGGGTGGCTTGAAGGACAATGTATGCCTGATAAAGGCTGATGTTGACGATTTCAAGTTGAAGATAGATGGAGTGAACGGGCTAACTGAATGCTCCGATACACTGGATCGGCCAGATGACCACCTCCACCATTCAACGGGCAACAACAACATATAGAGAGGCCTTGGCTTTCTTGGAAGATGCCACGCTACTAACATAACTGTGCCACAGCTCTACGTATTATCTGTACCCAGGATAACAGGGGCCGACCGCGAGCCTTTGGGCCGCAGGAGCCCACAGCGGTAGAAGAAGCCGCCAACACAATTGCAGTTTGGACGGGAGGGACTGCCGACACGGACAGAGTCATGGAGGAGGCCTGGAGAGAGAAGTGGCTCAAGAAACGAGACGGCCGGACAGCAACGAGGCCCGCAGATGACCCTAAGGAGACACGACGGCCTCAGCAGAGCGAAGAGTTCACAATTGATCCAGATTCGAACCGGGGCCATAGGCCTTCGGGCTTTCTTATTCGAAAGGAGAGTCCCAGAGGTTCTGAGGCCTATATGCGAGTGTGGAGAGGGGCGAGAGACTGTCGATCACCTTGTGATGTGGTGCTTGGCCCCACCATTGACTCGAAGATGGGAGAGGGGAAAGGTTAGAACGCGAAGGGACCTTTATTCTATTCTACAGGGAATCAGTCCCAAAGCTGCACGGCTAACGGGGAGGATCCTGGACTGGCTGATGGACTCGGGGAAACTGCCAATGTACAGTCTGGCTAGGAGGCTGGAGCTGGAGCTTGCGGTCTGATATTCCCTTTCCTTCGATGGCCATGAGGCCTTCTCACTTTGTAGTTGCAGGATCACACACTCATCGTTTCCTTGATTGTCGATATGGGATTTTCACCCGGCCTACGAGGGCGCGGTTTTCCTGTAAAGTAAGTTGTTGAAGGTCCAGCACGCCCTAGGGCACAACGGTGTAGGAATAATAATTAGGAGCGCCGGACGGTGTCTATGTCTCCTTTCTCCACATCGACTCCTTGGACTATACCGATTGGTCCTGAAAGGGTCGGGGAGGGGCAAAATCCATGGAGGACTAAGCAGCGCCAGTGTAAGCAACCGAGTTCTAGCGGTGGAAGGAGGCCATACAAACGTGCCGTAGCCTGCAAGTGTTAGCTTCACTTGGGGCTTTTGGAATGATGACAAGGCTCAGCTTGTCATTTGGCTCGCCAGTGTTTGGGGCCGCGTCTTGCGATACCGTTGTCGTCTCCATATCCGGAATCTATGGAGTGGAAAAGGTGGCTCCCATCACTGGCCGGCGAAAGTCGTGGTAGTCCCCGCTTTTTGACATACTGAGTACCCCGCTTCGTCTCGCGGCTTTGCTCCCTAAAACCCCAAGGCATGCTTCAATCGACAACGCCGTTCTCAACTCTCCAACACATCTTTACTCGCTCATCAACATGGCGCGCCGAGTCATAGTTATTGGTTCCGGTGTAGCAGGTGTCTCGGCTTGCCTTCGTATATTTGAGGAATGTCCTGGGACGCAAATCTCCCTCGTTTCCCACCAATCTCGAATGGCACCTTCCAATGATCAGTCCAAAATCGTGCGGGCCGATTACGCAAACCTCGAGAGGATGATGGAGGCCCAAAGGGCGCAAAAGGCATGGAAGAAGGGCTCTTTTGCTTCGCACTGCATCGAGCGCGGCCGTATCGTTGCGTACGCCGAACACGATAAAACGCTACAAAGCATCGACAAGAATCGCGAGGACCTCGGACTGAGGCCACGGCCACGTGGCAACAAAGCCTTTTTTGAGACGTTCTTCGGTCCCTCTCACGCGCCAGATGATTTTATCTATGTTCACAATTCGGACGATGCAGTCGTTGACTGGATGCCCTGTATGGTGAAGCACGAACAGAAGGCCAGGGACATATGCCACCAGACACAAGGGAGGGTATACGAGACGGAAGTAATGTCGCTCCAGCATGATGGGAATCGAGTGACTGCTGCTATTTTCGCCAATGGGGACAGGATAGACACGAGTGGCTGCGACATTGTCCTTGCTGTTGGGTCCTGGACCATGGAGGTGTTACAGAAATCCGAGATTGAACTTCCTCCTCAGCATCGAGTTCCTGTACCGACTGGGCTCTTTGCCTTCGAGCTAGAGCTAAATGATGAGCAGGTCGAGTTTTTCAAGGACAAGCCAGTATTTTCCCATGTTGGCCGAGGTGTGCAACCCGCTCTAGCAATATCATCTTAGCTAACTGTAACCAGCGGAGTTCGTCCCTCCGATACGGGAGGGTCGCACTGCTAAGCTTACCTGGGTTGAGCCGTTCACGGTTTCACAGATTCGTGACGTCTCCACCAGCGCCCTGGCTCACCGTGTACTTGAGAACGCAGCTGGATGGGCACGCCAGATGCTTCCACGACTCCAAGGAGCGAGGGTTAGAGCGATACGCTTTTATTGGTAAGACGGAAACCATCAATGAATAGGCGACACTGCTAACCAGTGCAGTGATGGTGTGACGGAAACACAAGCTCCCCTGATCACAAGGCATCCAGGCATTGAGAACCTTATATTGGCCTGTGGAGGTTCATACACCCGGGCAAAAGATCTGCCGACAGACGGAGGATATGTTGCTCGTCTTCTTAATGAAGAGGGTGGCCCTGAGCGATTTACTTGGAAGGGTGCGACCTCCACCGAGCAAGATCAACCACTTCTTGTTGGCCGAACCAATTTCGAGTGCTTGGAAGAACAGGCCCAGAAGGAGCTAGGCGATCGGTTCCCGCTGTGTATTGTTATCTAAGGAAACATGCTTCTGCGGCAGACCGCGGTGGACCGGTTTTGATCTTAAGTCGCCCGCACCTGATTCATACCTCATGGTTCTACGATTCCCTCTTTGTCTTGCCGTCGTTGAGGCCGTTGTTGTTGCCCATCAAGAAAAGCTCTCTATTTGAGGCATCGTCACCAAGAAAAGCCCTCCACTTTGCAAGGCATTGAGAAATCCTTCACGATGAGGCACCAAGGAAAGGCCTCACAACGAGACACCCATCTGGTCAAGGCGACCACCCATCTTCAGCATCGCTGGCCAGACTTGCCATCCTTAACGCCCTTTTTTCGATATCAGTTCAGGAGGATCAACACCACAGTTTTCGGGTCTGACGGAAAACGACGTTAGAAAGAAGTATGGGGCGAACTGAGGCCATCTTTGCGCCCCTGAGAACTCGGAGAACAAGCGAAATATAGACGCCTGCGCGGAAACTCGAACTCGGCAAACAAGCAGGAGACGATCTGAACCCAGCGGAACTCAGCCTCCCACTCCCTATGCGTTCCGGCAATCGCGACAGATCCTAAGCAACGTGCTGGGGTGTGAAGGGCCTCGTTGCAAGCCTAACATCGGGCACTCAGCCGGCTCGGCCGCTGTGACATCAGCATGAACCGAGCTCTTTCCTCTTCGACGTCCATGCGGCCGGAATCACCAATTGCGAGGCAGAGGACCCATCACCGAGTTGCCGCACACGTCTACGCTAACCTCGCGCCGTCGGCGTTCCCGAGGGCCGCGTCTGCCTCGCTATCAATGCGACAACGACAAGGATCGCCCATCATACGGAGTCTTGGAGGTTTCTGTTAGGGGGGCCGCAGAGGTTCTCAGCTTGAGTTTGGTTGGGTCCTGCTTCCTTAGAAATTCTAGCAGCATTAGTAGTTGTCCTATATAAGCCCGGAAAGCCGATCGAGCAACAAATGGAAGCTAATGCCTAAAGACCTATCTCGCTACTTAACTAAGGCCGAGTCGCCCCGTTAATCCTGACCCTCCAGACGTGGCTGTCCAAGTCTTTCTCAGAGTTGACGAGTTTTTAGATGAACTCAATGTAGGCATAAGGTGTGGCTGTGTGGTCCCAGTTTTGGACCGGGGACTCGCGGAAGAGGTTTGGGCATAATTAATAGATTGATAACGTTATGGGTTTTTCACCCGGCTCACGAGGGCGCGGTTTTCCTGTATAGTAAGTTGTTGAAAGTCCGGCACACCCTAGGGCACAGCGGTGTAGGAATAATAATTAATAGATTGGTGCAAGTCGTCGCCTGCCTCCGCCCAAATGGTTCATACCAGCTAGACGCGGTAGGTGCCAGGTAATCCGAAAACTAGATGAAATCAGGTATAGCAGAAGAACAGCAGGGGGGGGCACCGGATATTCCCCCAGTCTCATGATGAAAAGCAGAGCCGCTAGCTTCGACTAAGTTGGGTTGGGTGCGTTACGGTGCTTCGCCTATCCAAGTCGCGAACAGCTGGACCTCTGTTGACGCTGTGGTAGGGCGGGCCTGGCGTGGCTGGCAACCGGGGTCGCAGATAGGCGCAGCTGATTGGTCGTTTGCCGAATCCACATCTGGTAGGTGTTGGGCAGCCAACAGTTACATGCTCAAGTAAGCTTAGATCAACCAAATGGTATTGAACAGATTGAGGTATGAAACGAAGCTTGAATTGGAGTCACGATTCCAGAGTGACCACACAAAATGAAGGATCAAGATAGTGGGTTAGGGTGCCTCAGAATGTCCCTTTCTTGTTGGAACAGAAAATTGTCCTCTCTAATCCTCCCAAGGGAATTACCCCCTTATATAGAGACATTGTGCCATGGTATGACGCTATGTCAGGGACTGTGTCATTGTGATGGATCTGTGCTGACTGAGAGTCTCACATTGAACATCAGTGCTCAGTCCGTGAATCTTGGTGCCAAGGAACCCACTCAGTTCAACAGTAGGCCTGCACCAAGCGGAGCCCCAGTTCCACGGGTTGGCACCGCCATGTTTCAAGCGCGAACAGAACACAACGCCCAACTCCATGAACAGCTGACTTTAGGGGCAAATCTCAGTCTGCCCCTGGCCTGTAATGCATAGAGACAAAGACAGTCGAGACCTTACCCGGTCGACCGACAGAGCAACCAAGAGGGAGTAAGTCTCAGGCTTCCAACATCCACTCTGAGACTTGCTGCCATGGCCGGATTCTCGTCGCACGTTCGCGCCGGTGTAGGTGCTGCTCACCCCGTGTCTCACTCGGCGCCATTGAGGGGTACCTAGGCGCGTCCAGTTGTTCAGGTCACGTTAGCTTGCCCTGCCCAGTCGTCAGGCAGAGCCGGCACTGGCTGTGGCAGCTTGTCTGGACATGACGCGAGACATTCACTCCGCCAAAGGGCAGCCCCCGGGGCGAGCACACAGTCTTATCGGCCTCCATCAACACCTCCGGCGTCGCATATACCTCCACACGGACGTGGCGCGTTTTGACGGCCACCCGTACACCTACTTCCTGAATGGCCGCAGAAAGCCCCGGTCGACCATTCCCACAGAGGCACTATTCGGGACTCCTTACACTCGTTACCGGCGCAGAGAAAGAAGACCACCCAGTAGCCTCATACAAATGGAAATCTGTGATAGTGTTGGTAGGCAAATAAGTGGGATGCTAAACAAGCGCTGTGACCGAGAAATCGGGACTACAGCGACAAGGTTACATTATATCTCATTGCTTCCACCTAGTGCTGCTTAAGGTTTCTTTCCTAGCGAGGCGTCCTCGAGTTTCATACACGCTCCCGTCTCCCATTTCGAGGTGTTCACACAATGCTTGGTGGTGTGCAACCTCCACTGCACGGTTCTGCAGTTGGCCGGGCGCCAACACGCCCAACCTTCAGCCACATGCAGGGTAACGGCCTTCATCCGCCACACCTGGATTAGGAGAGACCCAGATAGGGGTCTAGAAGCAGCTTAAAATAAAAACTGAAACCGTAAACCTGTAGTGTATGCCTTCTCCAGCCACTTACCGCAGCTAGGTTATTCTGCACTTTAACTATCTGCTCCCACCCTTGAACCCCCTGGCAGTCTCGTCTTCTCGTAACGTTGCACACACTCACGCCACATCCGCGATCCCTATTGGGTTGAACGGGTATAGCGCACGGGTGAGTCAAGAGGACATGATGCGACGATGCGTCGCGGGAATAGAAGGGCTCCCTGGGATGCCCTTCGGAGGGACAGGGCGCCACCTGTCCGCTGCCCCAGGTCAGTATAAAAACGTATAGGTCCAGGCCTTCTCATCTTCCAACGTTTTCCCGTGATCTGTTGCAAACCACTCTTTCCCATCCGGGCCGCCACCTATCAGCGTATAAGCCATGGCATCCGATATCAACTCGTGCCAGGGAATCAGCAGGCCGAGGGCCGTCGCCATCATGTCGCATCGTATGAGCAGCTGCCAGCAGTACTTCACGTACTTTGCTAGCTCTTTCTCGTTGAATCGATGGAAGGGGTGGTGCTGTAGCTCAAGCCTTGCTGTTGTCGGGCCATACTCGGCCGTATCCATGATTTCCGAGACCAGCTCCGCCGGCACGCCCTCTGTCATGCAGGATTTGCTCCAACCTGGAGGGATACTGACCTCGGTCCCTTTGGTCTTCAGGTTGATCATGAAGCTTGACGACATAACCATCCTTCTGGTTAATGCCGAAGAACTGCCAGTGCGGGTATGCAGCGATTTCCGAAATTATCCATCCGTCTCTCAGCTGGGTCAACGCCTTAAGCATGACAAGATAGGCCCTCATCTGGCGGTAGTCTTTCTGGCCGGTCCTGCCTGATCTTAAGTCCCAGGTGTCAGGGAAGAAGTGGATCAGATTGAGGGCGATGTACGGCAGCAATGCCATCCGGTAGATGAGATCCCAGCCAGCGTTATCTTGCTTCGGCAGGCAGTTAGTACCTTATTTCCACATCGCAAGCCTACACGGCAAGGTACAGGAAAAGAAAGGTGCGGTTCTTACGACGCAAGTCCACGAACCCATCGAGTGCCATGTCCGCAGATCCACCTCGGGAGACGCACACACGCGTAGGATGATGTCCATCTCGCCATAGAGAAGCAACGTCTTGACAAGTTCGAGGTTGTAAAATGACCATCCATTCAACTCGTCAACATCGAAGCAATCGTTATGGACATACTCCCGGTAAAACGCATGTGTCTCGCTCTTCATGCGGGATGGAGCATCGGCATTGGCCCAAGCTTCCATGTGCGTTGTTTGGGTAGACGCCGCCGGGAGGAACGGTGACTTGCCCAGGTTGCCCGTAATCCCGTTTTCCCTTCCAGAACGACATTCCGGAGTACCAGCGGGACACCATCGGAGTGATTTCGCGGACAGTGGCATCATCGAGGATGATCTCGTCGGAACACGCTGGTTCGTACCGCTCGGGGTATCGCTTGCGGTAGCTTGTGGAATGCTCGCGGATGGTCCTCGCCATGGCGTCAACGAAGGAGTGAAGCTGCTCGCCCTGGCCGGGCTGGCAACGCAGCTGCAGATCTCCATTGAATCCCAGCTCAGTTTCGTCTCTACGTCTGGAGACTTGCTTTGCTGGGACCCATTGAAAGTCTGAGGCCAATGCCCAACAGAGAATTTTTGTGGCGAGGTGAGGTATGCGAGTCATGAACCTGGGAACCTGAAGCTTTAGATAGGGTTCTATAACATAAAATTGATGACGGGAAGTAGGGAAGTAACCTACGGTAAGTATGTCGTAAGAAACACGAGGAGTGTTGCTCTTCAATGATGTTGAGAACTGTTTGAGGGTAATTTTTTCGAGGTTAAGGTAACATCGGAGCTTCCAACAGTTTGCTAAGCCGCTAGTCCAGATCATCAGACTTAGACAAGCAAGCACGCAACCTTTCATGTAATGATCTGGCCCCCAACATCACATGTGCAGGTACAATCACGTATGGCATCCAACCCGCACATAACCCGGCAGTGTATTACTGGAGCTAGCTCGCTGCTCTGGGATGCGATCAGGTCCTCGAAACCATGCTCCCGGAAATGGATTGTCAATGCCAAGCTCGTGTCACTGGATCCTCAGGTCAGGTGCTCTTTTGCTTTGTGCGCGTTGAGTCTCGTCGCCGGAAGCGATAGAATGGAATCATCATCACTGCGTCCCATCGCCCGGACGTGGGAAGAACCATCTCCAGTAGGTAGGGATACCATGGTTTGATTACAGAATTATAGCAAGAAGCCCGGGGGCTTCGGGTGTCCTCTGTTGAACTGAGTGGGTTCCTTGGCACCAAGATTCACGGACTGAGCACTGATGTTCAATGCGAGACTCTCAGTCAACACAGATCCATCACAATGACGCAGTTCCTGACATAAACGCCATATCATAGCACACTGTCTCTATATAAGGGGGGTAATTCCCCTGGGAGGATTAGAGAGGACAATTCTGTTCCAAGAAGAAAGGGACATTCTGAGACACCCTAACCCACTATCTTGATCCTTCATTTGTGTGGTCACTCTGGAATCGTGACTCCAATTCAAGCTTCATTTCATACCTCAATCTGTTCAATACCATTTGGTTGATCTAAGCTTACTTGAGCAAGTAACTGTTGGCTGCCCAACATCCTCTCCTTCTATCTTTAAGAGCCGCGGACCCTACTTATTAAGGTAGTAATCTTCACTCTTCCTGACAGACCCTAGCTATTCGCCATGTACCAGGCTTTGGTCCTTGCCCGGCGGGTCACCGGGACCGTTGGAGATGAATAGACCGCCCGTAACTCTCTCCGTCTGGCCAGATGACTCTTGGCTGACATGCCTCGGTAGTTCTCGAGGACTTGGTGTTTCTCATTCTCTCGGTGTCCGGGGACAAGCTGGTACGAGGAAAGCAATACCAGGTAGGTATGTACTGTACTTATAGAGGTTGCAGGGCTTGGAGGTTGGGTTCAGTGTTCGCGACAAATGCTGCAGCGGGACACTAGGTACAAGTACCTCACAGTATCAAACCATAATAACCGCTGGCATCCCACTGTTGAAACATATATGAGTTCACGTTACAGACAGTAAACATTGTTCCACCAATAGTCGCTGCTCCACCAGCTCCACCAGCTTGAAGCCTATCGCAGCCGAGACCAGTGCCGACAGCGGAGCTTCCCCGCGGACCGAACTCCACATACTCGGCCTGCATTGCCCCGCGTCTCGGGTCTCGACTGCCAGGGGCACTTTATCAGTACCTCCCGTCCTCAGAACCTCACCGCCGCCAACGTCCTCTTTCACCGTAACAACCCCCAAATCACCGCCGCCATGAAGCTCCTCTATCCCACCACGCTCAAGCTCGACCCAGCCCTCCTCGCGGGCTTCCCGACATTAACCCTGCACCCGTACGACGCCAAAGCGCCCATGATCCCCACCGACCTCCTCGACGCTCAAATCCTCGTCACCTGGTGCAACTCCCCCGCGAACCTCTCCTTCGCCGCGCAGAACCTGCCCCAGCTGAAATGGATCCAATCTCTTGCGGCTGGCCCCAACGACGTCCTCGCGGCAGGCTTCGACACCTCCCGGGTTGCCGTGACGACGGGCTCGGGCCTGCACGACCGCACCGTCGCCGAGCACGCCCTGGGCCTCCTGCTCAACGCGGCGCGCCGCTTCTATGAGATGCGCGATTTCCAGAACGAGGGGAAGTGGCCGGGCCACCTGGGCGGGCCGCAGCCTGACCGCGAGCCGGGCACGTTCCGCACGCTGCGGGATGCGCGGGTACTTATTTGGGGTTACGGAAATATTGCCAAGTGTCTGACGCCGCATCTTGTTGGGCTCGGCGCGACGGTGCGTGGCGTGGCGCGCCGTGCTGGGGTGAGGGGCGGGGTGGAGGTGTTTGCCGAGGATAAGCTGGCGGAGCTGTTGCCCGAGACGGATGCGCTGGTTATGATCTTGCCTGGGGATGCCTCAACGCGGCATGCGCTGAATAAGGAGCGGTTGAGGCTGCTTCCGAAGCATGCGTGGGTGGTCAATGTTGGGAGGGGGTCGTCGGTGGATGAGGACGCGCTGTTTGAGGCGCTGGAGAAGGAGGAGATTGGGGGCGCCGCGCTGGATGTGTTTGAGCAAGAGCCACTGCCCGAGGGGCACAAACTGTACAGGGCCAAGAATTTGATCCTTTCGCCCCATGCGGCCGGAGGGAGACCGCAGGGCTCTGAGGCCCTGATCGTGGACAACATGCGGCGGTTCCTGGCTGGGCAGCAGATGCGGAATATCATATCGAAGCTGTAGGGGGTATTGCTCATTTCACATGAAATTGAGCCAAAGGTAGCTTAGCAAATAGACATAGAGGCATGCACACGTCGATGTCTGTGTTAACCTCCCTCTCTTTGCCTTTCCTCTTTCTTTTACCCCTCCCCTTTTTTCATCTTTCCTCTTTCCTCTCTCGATCCTTTTCCTTTAACATTTCCTCTTTTTTGTTCAGGTTCAGTACCTAGGTTTCCTCGTTTCATGTTCAAATATTATTCTGTAAACGTGCCCTTACTAGATGACTAGGCTCTCGATGCAACTCTTAGAGTATGAACTACTGTACCAATCGACGTCGTCTGCTTGTAAAATTGGCTCCTAGCTTACTCTATAATGAGCCGGTTTTGGCGCCTAGGCTCCGTGCAAGGCATCTCTTGCTGAACCGGAAGCTTGGCTCTGAAAAATACCTTGCAATTCCAGTCAAGCGTACGGAGTATTAAGTAGCTCTATGTCCAGCCTTTGCCCTATAACATAGCTGTCACTCTAGCTACCTAGGGTTAGGGTTACACCCCTATCTGGCGCATGCTCACTGTGTTAGCAAAGGTCTGTGGTAAGGATAATATGCATCTATGACCTCAACATTGCAGCTGCTATAGAGATAAACTGACTCCTGCCGGAGGATGCAAAATAATCAACTGTAGGGCCAATGCCGATTTAATCGCGTGGCGATGCTGATCTCCCTATGGACACCACTCTAACCTTAGAAACTGCCCTCTAGGCTTAAGTCCCCAGCCCACGTAAACCCCAGCCCACGTAAACCCGTTCCACTGCTCATTGCACCTACCGTTAGTTAATCCACCCACTAGGACGCTCCTGCGTTCTTACAACATGCAGTTCAGGCCCTGTGTTGTGTGAGCCAGCTGGCGGCGAAACGCCCCGCTGAGCGTTGCCCATACCTGCCTATCCCTCGCTGAACCCGCTGGCTGGTGGGGCTTATCTCCCTACTAGTCAATCGGCGCAGGAGCCTGAAAAGGCAATGGCCCTGCAACTGTCCTTTGAACAACTTGACAACTCCTTTTTGGCCCCTCGCCACCGCAATGACCAAAAGCGGTTCGGATCCTTGAAAGTCCTTGTTGTCCGGGTCATGTCGACCATAGCGTTGACGTCTGCTACAATAAACTTGGAGACTGCCGTGATGGCGCCGCGTCTGATGCTGTAAACGAGGCCAACCAACCTTTCCTGGTTGACCTTCTGTTTGTACAAAATATCATTCGGGTGGGCGTAGAGAAAGCCGGCGGCACGGATGAGACGCGATAGACCGCAGCGGTCGAGAAACCCCTGCGATGTGCAGGGTCATCTCAAGGGGAAGTAATGCAAAAATGTGATGCCGTCGTGGTTGTGGAATAACGACTTGGAGATGCGGAACCGACAGCTTGGACCCGAACACCAATCTCCACAACCAATGATGGCGGCAGGGCCAGATGGCCAGATATACCGTCTTGGAGATGACCACAAGGTGGAGGGGTGCTTTCGTCCGAACGCTTCTTTGTCGAGGGGCATGCCAACCAACGTTATCCTTGTTTTACCTCGTCTGTTGCGTGTCCGAGTCCCTCTGTTTCTCGGTCGAATGCTCCGCCCTCCACAGCTCCTTTTCCCGCCGCAGGGACCGCCGTACCCATGAGACAGAAATGGTGGTCCAGATGATCGTGAATACAAGGGGACTTCCCCAACCTAGAAATTCCGAAACTGTCAGTTTGTTGGCCCCAAAATCGGCCACCGCAGCGGCGCTGACAATGAACGAAACACACGTACCAACACCGTATGCCACCCTTTCGGGAACAGTCCAGACCACCACCATCGTCCCAATGCCATCAATCAACGCACCAATCGCCCAGAACCAATTCTGCTGCGCAATCATCTTTCTGAAGCGCGGACTCGCCTCGTACCGAGCCATCACAGTGTTGCGGTACTCCCTGCCGGCACCCCCGTCCACAGCAACGATATCCTCGACCAGGGTGAGCACCAACGGCGGCACCCGCCCTCCCTTGGGGACCGAGCTGATCTTGAACGGCGCAGGCCGCTTCGCCGCATTCATGCACCCGGCCCAGGTTAGCTGCAGGCCGGCCTGAATAAAAAACACCGAGACGGGAATAGCGAGCGGCCGCACGAGCGGGTCGTGGGGCACCGAGAAGATGATCAGAATGATCGTCATGACGGTGTAGCCAAACGACAGGGACCAGTGGGTGAAGTCGGCCGAAAACTTAGTGCCGCCGACGGGGCGGTACGTGTCGCCCTTGAAGATGAGCTTCCAACTGCGCAGGCCGAACTCGATGCCCGTAACGATGCCAAAGAAGGACGTGATGATGGCGAAGACGATGCCTTGCCGTAGTGTGGTTGCTAGCACGAGGCCGTAGTAGAGCGAGATGGGCAGCAGGCTAGACTCGAGCACTAGCAGCGCCACGACGATGAACAACTTGAGCTTGTAGTCGAGGATGCGGTAGCGTAGACGGGGGAGGCCGGGCAAATCAGAGAAGTCGACCGAGCCTGTTTCGACCGAGGCGGTGGTCTGGGCTGTCGAGACGCCGGCGGAGGGGGGCCTGTCGGGACTCGAGGCGGGCGATGGGCTCTTCTCTTTTGCCATTATGGGAAGAATCTTGGTCAAGTTCATGATGCGTAGATGCGGAACAAGCAGGAGTAGACCCTGCGACAATCGAGATTATCCTAGGAAGAGAGCAATGGCTGCTAGTTAAATCCGAGGAATGTCCTTTACAGAATCAGCAGGCTTGCATTCCCATGATGTGTGCCACGCCGATCGGCAAAAGAAAGAGCTGCTAAGAAAGTTCCTGTGCAAACTCCCGGTATGACGTGAAGTACTGTCCTTGCAGTCCATGCAACAGCATTGGCATCCTGGGCTTGCGTCAAGGAATGATGTCATATGTCCAAGCCAAGCCGCCAAGCATCCAACCAACACCGAAGCAAGATGCGCTGGAAGGTGGCAGAGGCAACCCTAACCCGCTGATCACCGAGAACCCCTAACTCAACTCATACTCTGCAATCCATCTAACCATTGTTCAAGAAGATAGGTTATGGCCTTGACTTCCGGTACAGGCTGTATGCGCATTGGAAACCAGCCGAACAATACCGACTCCAAGACAGAACATAACGTCTCATATGGAAAGGTGAGGTATCCTCTGTACTCTGTAGGTAGTCATGAACAGCCACTGATGCGGTCGTAATTGCAGTAATCCTGCATTCAGAAAACGAACTGGTCGTCGAAATTATATTGGGAAAGTCAGAGTTATCAATCTGTATGTTACTACAGTATCAATCTGTGTTTTGCAAAACAGACTAAATCAGGTACTGCTTACAGGGATTCCATGGATGCCTGATACTACTGACTCGGGGCAGGTCATATCAGAGCTCCCTTGGGCTCCCTCACATAGTAAAGGGATCTGGTCCTCGAGGCTCAGTGAAACCGCTCCCCGGAGCTCATGCGAGAGAGCCGCTCCCTGAATTCCTAATGCAGTTTCTGGTCGACGAGTTGCTGCTGTTGCTGCTCGAAGGAAAGGGTCTGGTCCTCAAGGCTCAATGAAGCCAGCTCCTCGTACGGGATGCTGATCTCAGCTGGGCCGAGTCACTACCCGCGGCGAGCTGCCTCACACGCCGAGGCAAGATCTGATCTACGCCAGATCTCATACTCTTGCTGCCAAACAACGTCCGGGGCGCGGCATGACACACAGACACACTCCTCGCCTCATCAACCTCAATCTTCCTCCGCCCGCAGAAGACAACATCCTCAAATATACTACGATCAAACTGTACCACCACCCTATTGTGCGGGTCGATATCGGCCGCAAAGAGGGAATAAACACCGCCACCTGGTCCGCTGCGACGGCATATATGACCGGAATCTCCTGAACACCCTGGGGATGAAGTAGATATTGACAATGCGCGACTCGACAAGGAGCAACTTCTCTGTGATTCTCGCCCCCTCGCTCTATACTATGGTATTCGCCGTCGACTCGTCCCGGCTGATGATGAGGTGGTGGGCTTGAGCGTTAACGACCACGTTGTCGGGGTCGACCTCTTCGAAGAGAACGGTTACAGTGCGCTGGGCGTAGGAGGGGGTGAAGCTGGTGTATTACCTCTGGGAGCTGGACATTTTGGTAGATATGTCGGGCTGTAGTCGTGAGTTGCAGTCAGTGGCTGTAAGTCTTGCGTGAACGTGTCTTCGATGTGCTAGATGCAGATGCTGCTGAAAATTTGGATCTTACAAGGCGATTTCGTCTTACTTTATATCCATCGGTCTCAACTCCAGTAAAATGTGGACAATGTATTGTCCCACAATGCTTCGCTATACCGGAGATACAATGGCAACGATAGATACTGACCGTCCCGTCGTGAACTTGATCACCTTAGATACAGGCAGGGTATTCTTGGTCCAACTGTCAGCCATCATCCCCTGATTCCCCTTCACCTAACATTTCTGGTGGTTCCCGCCTTTGCATACAACCTCGGCAACAAAGAAACCTAATACAACGCCCTTCGCTGACTAAACAACGTAACACATTCCCGAAACATCAACTTGCATTTCTCAACATGGCTGTTCCACTCCTTTAGACGCACCATATCGAATCAAATCCGCAGCCTGCACAATCGCTCAGTCAGTCATCATCACCCAAGTTAGGGAAGTGATCTCCACAATCCGAAGTTCAGTCAAAGCCCTCACCTTTTCCGCCACAGCGTACACAGGCTGGCAGGTATTCCCGCCCGGCAGCGTAGGAAACACGCTCGCATCCACCACCCGCAGCCTCTCGACGCCGTACACCCTCAATTGCTGATCCACCACGCCGCCCAACTCCCTCGGCATCATGGCGCACGTGCCGGCCGGGTGGAACTCGCTCGGGCTCAGCGTCTCAGCAAGATACGCCGCAAACTGCTCGTCCGTCTGCGTCTCGAGCCCTGGAGCCATTTCCATTGCCGCCCAGCTCGTCGTCAGCGGATTTTCCAAGTGATAGCGCCTCGTGAACCGCACCAGGTCGGCCATGATGGCCGCGTCGAGCGGGTTCGACAGGGCGCGGTAGTCGACGCGCGGCTCTCTGTTATAGGGGTCGGCAGTGTCGATGGCGACGGTCCTGCGGCTCAGCGGGTGCAGGTCGACGAGGATGCCGTTGGTCGGGCCGCCCGTGAGGACGAGGTTATAGAAGGCTGTGTGGTTGCTGTTGAGCGCGGCCGCGTGCAGGAGCATCTGGGCGCGGTAGCCGGCCGCCACGGTCTGATCGGTGCCCGGGGGCAGGTAGAGGGTGTTATTTTGGCTGGCCAAGGCCGAGGAGAGGTCGGCTGCGCGAGGCGAGACGACCGGGAACGGGAGCCAGGCGGCTGCGTTGCCGGTTGCGATCGAGTTGGGCCCGGTGCGGTTGGAGGCCCAGACTTCTTCGCTCCAGGCGGCGAACGAGGCGTTGAGGAAGAGATCGTTGGGGGACGGTCGGAAATTGAACCTCCTGTCTGAAATTTTGTTGGTGGGTTTGAGTTGCCTTGGCTCGAGAGAGACAGAGACAGAGACAGAGTGAGAGAGAGAAGTGATGGCACGGACTTACACGTGTAACTCGCTTGAATCATGGGATGATCCTGGAAGTTCTGTCCCACGCCAGGGAGGTCGACAATAGTGGTGATGTTGGCCGAGCTGAGAAGCTTGCGCGGCCCAATGCCGCTAAGCTGGAGCACTTGCGGACTGTGGATGCCGCCGGCCGCCAGGATTACCTCCTTCTCGCTGTCACAACGGTTTGCAGAGCGGTGTGGTTCGCTGCCCGGGGTCCTGCCGTCACTGGTACAAAGGCAACCCCCGTCGCTGTGGTACCGTTCAGGGCGATCCTGGTAACCTTTGAACCAGTCACCAAGTGGTAGTTCCACCTGCTGATGGCCCTATCGTGGTGTCCAGTCCTGGCATAAGACCGCTCCACCGAGCTTAGGATCCATAAAGGTTGGATACCAATAGACGCCCGGCTCGCCAGATCCGCTATCCTTGACAAAAGGGGCCCCGGGCATGCCCCTGAAGGCTTCCATCTGCGCAGTCGTGCCTGGGTACTGGAAAGACGGCCACCCGGCATACACACTCGAAGTATCTCCCCAGAAGTTAGTGTCGTACGTGATATTTGCCAACTTGGTCACGGCCTCGTCGGGAGGCGCGAAGTTGAGCGCCCGCTTGAAGTATGGGAGCAGCTGATTCCAGCTCCAGTGAGATCCTTCACCGAAGAAGCTTCCCCAACCATCATAGTCGGCCGCCGCCGCCCTGACTGTCATCATGGCGTTCACGGCAGAACTGCCGCCGACGACCTTGCCCGCCAGAACCGCGATGGTCCTGTTCAGAAGGTTGCTCTGTGGGACCGACTGAATGTCGTACAGGAACTGGGTATCCGACATGCCCGAAAACCCTCCCTGGACGGTTGTGATTGAGGGGGAGTTGCCTCCGAAGCAATTAGAAATTGTGAACTGAATTGGAAGGCCGGGGACCACAAACTAAGTTGACCGTATTCGACTACGAGCACCGTGGCTTTTCCATTCTCGGTCAGCCGGTCAGCCACGGTCAGCCCGGCCGTGCCACCTCCGACAACGATGTAGTCGTACTCTTTCTCTACCTCGCGGCCGTCAAGCAAAACTCTTGATGCCTGGAGCGCTCGAGAATGCGCTAGACATATGCAGGGGGTAAGCGCCAGGACTGCGACAAGCAATGAGATGAGGCGAGCCATCTTGATGCACGAAGAACACGTATGCTAGTGTCTTGGAATCTTTATCAATTGGAGTGGTTCGTTCGTCTTAAACGGGCCATCGATATGGGCCTCGCAACAATTGCCGAAGGGGCTCGCCATCCAGCACACTCCCGAATAGCCTAAGACTGCTTGTGATTTAGGCTTGCCGTCAACATCGCTAATAGCAGAGCCGGGATCAATGAACTATACAAGTTCGCAAGGTAGTATGAGTCTGAACTGGTTGATGCAGGAGTTATTAAACAGATAGGCCGAAGGTTGTTCCGCCGTGCCCGTCATTAGCCGGACCCGAAGATGCCTGTCCTGACTGGCCACTACGTGCGGGGAAGCATATGAAGAGCTCAAAGAACTGCTCAGGCAGGTGCTGACCGTTCGGGCATGAGTCGAGTGGGCTGTTTGATCCTGAACCAGGCGAAGTCAAGAGGTCCCTAATGCCCCATCATCGCCGATGAGACCGATCAGTCCACTGCTTGAACCGCTATACGCCTTAACTACCCTTGGATAGACATTCAAATGTGTATTCTCGGTCTTGGAGTCTGTCGAATGTGACTTCCAGTCTTGTTACAGAAGCGCTTGAGGGAACAAGACAGGCAACCCGCGACTGCCATCATGGATGTCTGTGAGAAGCTCTGGTCGCACACCACCTCAGACCTCCAGGAAGGTAGACGCTTTCCGGTATTAACTCTGAACTGAACTGAAAGAAAACCACACAGGAGCGGGTATCCTCATGTAAAACACTAGAAGCACTGGTCTGAACATGAACATAAGAAAACCCAAAGCTGACCCAAGACAGAACCTATCCAGCAGAACCTCGCATTACCAAACCCGTCCAATCCAATCACATCTCATCCTCAAAGAACTTGATCAACGTCCTCGCGCCGCTGACCCCAAGCCCCATAAACGGATAGCAGATATACACCAGATCATTCTTTGTCCCAAACTTCTCCCGAAACTCGCTCTTGTTGATCAGCTTGAGCTGCTGCGCAATAGTCTTGTACGTTTTGGACAGAATCCGGGCCCTGATCCCGTCCAGGTTCCCGCCCGTGACCATCTCGGGCAACGCGCCAGCACCGAACGTGACATTCTGCACCCCGGCCTTGGCCAGCGCCTGGATGGCGGTTGAAATGAGAGCCTCAATGGTGCCGCTCGGCGAGCCGGGAAAGTCGAGCGCAAACTTGATCTGGTACCCGTTGGCGGGCGACAGGCGGTGCAGCACACACAGGGCCGCAATCTCGCCCTCCTTGGTCTCGGCCCACAGGTATCGGCGGTGCTCCATGTCGACCCACGGGCGCACCTCGGTGATGTGCACCTGCTTGCTGCCCTTGCGGTTGTTCTTCCAATCCTGAATCCTCTTGTCGCAGCGGTCGCGGAACTCTTGGGGCAGGGGCTGGTCGACGGGGTGTTCGTGGATGGTGACGCCGGCGTCTTCGGCCTGGCGCTCCTTCTTGCCCACCTTCTTGGCTGATTCGATGGGCACACGCTCTTCGGCAACGCAGCTGAGCGTCCGCCAGCCGAGTTTGGAGCCGAGGATCTCCTCAACCTCGGGCCCGACGAGCAACCAGAGGGGACGAAGGTCCTTGTGTGAGCGCATGTATTTGAGGAAGGCTCGGATCACGGGCTGGTACTGGCGAGAGTCACATAGCGGGTTACCCATGACAAGGGCATAACCGTTCTCCTCGGCGTAGCCAATCGCAGCACCGGTTGACTCGTGCCGCCACACCTTATAGCGGTCGTCAAGCCACGACGTGTTTGTAGCATCTCCATAATTGGCGATGAGCTTCTCCACCGGCGGCAGCTCAAGGTTGGGGACGCCGTGCTCGTAGTCGTAGTGATACCGGATCGTGTCGGCTTCAGGATGGGGCAACCGGATGACAACATCCTTGTTCTCCTGCAGGGACTTAGGGTCGCGCGGGAAGAGCGAGGCATTGCGGATGTCGCCCAGATTCAACATCAGGAACACGATGCGCTCCAGACCGATTCCGCATCCTGCGTGCGGCAGGACGCCGAACTCGAACCCGGACATGTATTCTTCGACGCCGCTGGGCTCAACACCTGCCTTCAGCATCCGCTCCTTCAACAGATCTGCCCGGTGGATACGCTGTCCGCCAGTTGTGATCTCTTGTCCGCGCAGGAAGATGTCGAACGAGTTGGTGAACCTAGAATCTTCTGGATCCAGATAGGTGTAAAAGGGGCGCGCAGAAGCGGGGAACTTGTCGATGATGTAGTAATCGGTCTTGTACTTTTCCTTCATAAGCTCGCCGATGCGAATCTCCGCGCGCGTGCTGAGGTCCTGGTGCTCCGAGGCCTTACGGCCATGGTCATCGGTCCAGCCTGACGAGTTAAGAAGGTCTACCGCCTCCTTGAAAGTCAGAATGGGTGTTCGGTCCAGCCACACCAGATCCTCGTGGGGAAAGCGCGTCTTGACCATGTCGATTTCTCTGCGGCAACGCGTGTAGACGGTCTTGAAGATGTTTTTCATCAGGTCGTCAATGATGTGCAGAGCCTCGTGATAATCGCTGTTGATGGCCATCTCCAGATCCATGCCGGTGTACTCTGTCAAGTGCCGATGCGTGTTGCTGTCTTCGGCGCGGAACACGGGACCGATCTCGAAGACTCGGCCAAAGTCGGCCGAGATGCTCATCTGCTTAGAGAGCTGGGGACTCTGTGCAAGGAAAGCCGTGCGCCCAAAGTAGTTAACCCTGAAAACCTCGGCCCCTGACTCGGTTGCCCCGGGCATGAGCTTGGGGGTGTGGATCTCGACAAAGTTATGGCCCTCCAGCACCGAGCGGAAGGCGCTACAGATGGCCGAGTTTATGCGGAAGATGGACTGCGCCGTCGGCGTCCGCAGGTAGGCGATGCGATTGGAAACACGAACCCTTGTGGATGCCATGGCCTCCTGCTGGTGCGTCTCCTGGTCCTCTTCGACGCGGTCCATGGTGAAGGGGTCGACGGGGAGATGTTCCTTGACCGGCACCACCACATGCATCTTGTCGATTTGGACCTCGAGCTCGCGAATCGAGCAGCCCTTGATCTCCTCTGGCGGCCTTTGTAGGCGCCCTTCGACGTGGACGAAGCTTTCAGTGATTATGTGCTCAGCCCAGCGAACAAAGTTCTCGGACACCTCGCCCTCCCTGTACGCCAGCACGCCCTGAACCAGCTCGATTTGGTCTCGAAATATGATGAAGGCCAGCTTGGAGCTCATGCTGCGCACGTGGTGCACGCGGGCAATGAAGCTGACGGCCATGCCGGCATTGTTGGGGTCTGCAGCCAGCTTCTGGATCGAGTCGGTCTTGGCGAGCACATCGCTTGTCTTGGTGCCGTACCGAGCAGCGATCTCGGGCGGGTCGTCCTGGTGTGCTCTCTCCTCCTCCTCCTTCCGGCGCTGCTGAAAGGATCGCCTTTCGTTTTCGCGCTCATCCTGCTTAACTCGCTCTTCTTGAGCCTTCTTCAGGTGCTTCTCGTGCCGGTCATCGTCGAGGGCGGCAATGTTGCCGATGTGGACCTTGGTAATGTGGTTCTTCGCCGACGTATGTCCGATAATGCGGTTGAGCGCCAGAAGTGGCTTTTTGAAGCTCCCTGGCGCCATGATCACCGGCGGGAGTCGAGTTTGGGCAGTCGGTGCCGGGGGTATCGGGTGCGCCGATCGCGAATTGGCAGCGGCTTTCGCGGGTGTGGAGGGTTGAGTATCTGCAACGTCTGGGAGAATGTCGAACCTTCTGATTATCTGACGTCAGTCAAGAAATTCTGGCGTCTTGGAGAGAGATCCTGAGGCAAGTGAGCCGACTCTTGTGGAACGAGAAGAGGAGGAAAGAGGGAGGATTAAATGCCAAGGGCAACTGAAGTTGTTTCCTTGGCCACACTGGCACTTGGACCCTGCTGAATGTGGAAAGAACCCGGCACTTACAACCAACCTTAGCTTCGCGGATCTTCCCATCGAGCCTGCCAGAATTCCCGAGATCAGCGCCGCGCCTAGAGCCTAACCGCCTCTGCTGACCCAATTTAGGACATGGAAAGAACCGGGCAGCTGGCACGTCCCGCAGCATTGGCAGGGCAGGCTGGCGAATTTCCGCTGCCGCCTGCCATAACCGGCCGGCAATGACCGTGACTGCCCGTTTTCCATCGGCATGTGTCATCAATCCGGTTCCTGTTGGCTTGCCCTCGTGGTTTGGAGATGCGACGTCATGTCCATGACGTCACAACCGGTGCAAAACCTCCGGCTGCTATTCTTGGTCAAACGCATTTCCCCGTTTCACGACAATTTGAACACCCCGCAAATGCGATTCTAACTTAACGGGGGTGTTTCCACTTAAGATATGACATCAGTCAGTTCTCTTGGCAGTCTGAAGCCTTGAATGAGTGCACGCTGAGGGCACTCCAATTTTCCCAAACCAATCAACCGCTCTTCCCCTGCTTTCGAGGTGCGTGTTTCTCATTCATGATGAGATGGTCATGTCTTGCTTGTTGCCGCAGATCCAACAGCATGCATGAGATTCCCACGGTAGACGGCATTCCCGTCGTCAATCTCGGGCCCTCGGAGCAACCGAGGGTATCGGACATCGACAAAAGGCACCTTGAGACTGCCGAGGATGCCGTTGGCCGCCCCGCTCCGTCCCGGTGGCGGCTCCGCCTATCGGCCGCCTGGTGGAGGTCGTTGCAGTACACGGGCATGGCTCTTCACTTCCTCGCTCACAAACGACCCCCTAATCCCACTTTCACCAAGTCAATTCCCTCGACAATATCCAAAGCAAAGGGCGAGTTCACATTGCAATTCTACACGCCCAAAGGCTACGAGCATGCAGCAAAAACGGGACGCAAATTCCCCGCCGTCGTCAATTTCCACGGGGGCGGTTTCACCATCGGCAGCGGCACCGACGACGCCCGCTTCGCCAGATTTGTGCTAGAAAAGTGCCACGCCGTCTTCGTGAGCGCCGACTACCGCATGAGCCCAGAGAATCCATTCCCCGTGGCAGTCGAAGACTCGGCCGATGCCATACTGTACCTGATCCACACCGGACCCAAGCTGCATATCGATCCCATGAAGCTCGCCGTATCTGGGTTCTCGGCCGGCGGCAACCTCGCCATCACATCCACGCTCTGCCTGGCAGACCACCTCAAAGCCCTCAAGGAATCCAGCACGCACGTCCCGGACCACCGTATCCGTGCTGTAGCCTCCTGGTATCCCGTCGTCGATTACACCCGACCCCGCACCCTCAAGCGCGCGACCTCGGTGCGGCCGGACAAGACACTCCCGGACACGCTGACGTCCCTCTTTGATGCATCATACTTGCACCCACCCAGCCTGGGACTCGCCAACCCGTACCTGTCGCCCATCAAGGCCACAGACGAGCAGCTCGCCCAGGCCCTGCCGGAGACGGTAATACTCTACACGTGCGAGTGGGACATGCTGATGCGAGAGGGCGAGGAATTCGCCACGCGGCTGGAGAAGCCGCCCATAGGCAGGGACGTGCGGTACAAGATGATCGCGGGCGTGCCGCATGCTTGGGACAAGGCACCCGACCCGACCAAGCCGGCCGAGTTTTCCGAGGAGTTGTACAGGGAGTGTTGTGCGCATTTGAGCGAGGCGTTCGAGCGGGCTTGAGCAATTCGTGCGTGATTGATGAGTCTATGAGAGTATTGATGGAGCGCCCGAACCGATGAATGAGACCAGGATTTATGATGAATGTACTTCGCATTTTCCTCAGCTCGCCGCTCGGGCTTCCAAGCAATGAGAGACCTGGGTGTTTGTACAATACGACACGCCAACCAGCTAATGCTCAGGTCATCTAGCCATAACCGATCCCACAATACGTAGGTCAAGTTCATGCTCGAGTTGTAGATACCCGGGCACAGAAGCTCATAGTTGTTCTTGGGCACACAAGCTATGTGCGTGCATAGCTCAGCATTCATGATCTGGCTGAGCAATTCGAAACATTAAATCCGACTTCTTGCCGCCAGCATCGGTTATCCCTTGTCTAGCTTTGATGAGAGGATGTAGCAGTTGACGTATGCATACCAGGGTCTTCGTCCTAGGACCAGGGGTGTGTGAAAGCCGAGGCGGCATGCTGCGTAAGAAGCGCCCCAATCGCGCCGATAGCATGCGATGGAAACCATATAGGTGGTAGTCGCATACCTCAATCACTGTGATAAAGGGACATTAGCACAGTATTTGCAATTCAGTGCCTCTTTTGGTGAGTTCGTAACGCGCCTCCATCTGCCAGTAGGATCCGTTCCCAGAGCATGTAAGATAATTATGTTTCACTGTAACTGAGGTGACCTGAGGCACAACGCAATGAAGGTTTGTCTGCCAGAAGAACCACAATCCCGGAGAAGGGACGAGGAGTATCGCCATCCCAACAGAGCTCGGACACTGGCAGCTTCGCTCCGTCGACATCACGGCCTTTTCCCCATAGAGGGCTAGCCTGCAGCCCCTGAAACCAGTTGTGGAACCTCTCGCACGTGGGTAGATGGAACGACGGAGACTAACCGGAGTCCACGAATCAAACAATGGCCTGTTCCACCACAATGGATTGCCGTTCGGAGATGGAACCCCCATCGATCATCCTCAGCTCCGGGATGTGGGTCGGACAACCCGGCATGTATCCCAGGGGCCTAGTCTACCGTCGTTCAACCGTGCGAAGCGGAGCCTGGTTGCAATGAAAGCTTAAACGGTGGAGACAGCTTTACAGCAACAGCCGCGGCTTTCGATCCGACGCAGGGTATAAGGAGCAAGGCATGATGCCTCGCCCTCGCCGGCTCAAGGAAGAGGGTTTGTTGGGTTGTTCACGGCCGGCCTTTCCTTCTTTTACCTCTATACTTACCTCTCGTTACCTTATTCATTCGTTTCAGCATTTCGCTGCCACCTCACGGCGTCATCATCATGAGGTCGTTCGCTCTTTTGTCATCGGCGCTGGTAGCGCTGGCCCAGACGGCAACCGCCGTCACGGGTGCCGCAGAGGGTTTTGCCAAGGGAGTCACCGGGGGCGGCAGCGCCACCCCTGTGTACCCCAAGACCACGGCCGAGCTGGTCTCGTACCTGGGCGACTCGCAGCCTCGCGTCATCATGCTCGACCGCACCTTTGACTTCACCGGAACCGAAGGCACTGCCACCGAGACGGGCTGCGCTCCCTGGGGCACCGGCTCGGGCTGCCAGCTGTCTCTGAACAAGAACAGCTGGTGCGACAACTACCAGCCCAACGCTCCCAAAGTGAAGGTCACGTACGACAAGGCCGGCGTTCTCGGCATCACGGTCGGGTCCAACAAGTCCCTCATCGGTGTCGGCAGCAAGGGCATCATCAAGGGCAAGGGCATCCGCATCGTCAACGGCGCCAAGAACGTCATCGTCCAGAACATCCATATTACCAACCTCAACCCAAAGTACGTCTGGGGCGGTGACGCCATCACCCTCGACAACACCGACATGGTGTGGATCGACCATGTCACCACCTCCCTGATCGGCCGCCAGCACATTGTTTTGGGCAACAACGCCTGCGGCCGCGTCACCATCTCCAACTGCAAGTTTGACGGTCAGAGCACCTACTCTGCCACCTGCGACACCTACCACTACTGGGGCATGTACTTCACCGGTTCCAACGACGTAAGCACTCTGTCTTAACCCTCATCCGCCTGGGGCTCATGTCTAACTCGCTTCGGCTCCTCCAGATGATCACCTTCAAGAACAACCTCATCTCGCACATGTCGGGGCGCTCCCCCAAGGTCGCCGGCAACACGCTGCTACACGCCGTCAACAACTACTGGTACGACAGCACCGGCCACAACTTCGAGGCCGACACTGGCGCCAAGATCCTGGTCGAGGGCAGCGTTTTCCAGAACACCAAGACGCCGCTCGAGGCGGGCGGCGCCGGCAAGGTCCTCGCCATCAGCTCCAACGGCGCCGTCTGCTCCCAATACCTCGGCCGTGTCTGCCAGGCTAACGGCTTCGGCTCTTCGGGTACCCTCTCGGGCTCTGATACTACGTTCTTGTCGTATTTCAATGGCAAGAACATTGCTAGCGCCACCAGCTACGCTACGGCTAAGAATGTCGTCAACACGGCTGGCTTTGGCAAGATCTAGTTTAGTGGTCATCTTGGGCGGGATGAGAAGGCCATGGTGAAGAAGTGAGAGGGGTTGGTATAGCGATCTTAAAAGGGTTGATGTTCTTTTTTCGGTACCTATTATCGGGGCTGCGTGCGGCTCAAGCAAGTACATACCATACTTTACGTACATATTCCATCGTTGTCAATGCGTATTCCAGGCGCGCGCAACACATTGTCCGCCGAGTTTAATGCCTCCAGTGGAGATCTCAACTGTCTATCTGCCGTCCAGGAAGAATGCGAGCCGTCCTAACCCACCACCACATGACCAACACTCGAAGTAATAAATCCACAACGTCCTGATCCCATTCCTGATACCGCGCCCTGAGCTCCGTCGCTGGAACGCATTTTTTGAGTGATTAACGTGAGGGTCTGGTGTTAGAAGGCAATGCGCCAGAGTATGTCACAGAACGTCAAACAAATCCTGGGAAGACAACCGAAAATCCAAGGGTCACAAATAACTTACTTGGGAAAAACTCCAGCTGTTTTCGCACGTGCTTCCAGTCTGGCCATGAATATCACCCAGAAAACGCCAATGTGCCTCCTGGCTCTCCATCTTCCCAGTAACAAAGGAGGGATCACGAGCGTCCACACATCCCGTTGTCAAGCTGAGGCGCTGCTGTCCTGCTGACCATTCGCTGAGCGCCGTTCTCCTTCTCCTGCGGCTCGCGCTTGGAAAACTCGGCGTCGACCCAGGCCTTGCGATTCCTCTACAAACAGCCTTTGCGGTCCTCCTTCTGCTGCTTGCCATCTTCCCCTTCTTCTCCCCATGTCTGAGAAGGACCGCCTCCAGCCAGACGTTACCCATGACGCGCCAGGTACCATCGTCTCTATATACGGGGGGCCCATTCCAGACCCGGATACCACGCCTAGCCGTGACCAACACCTTGCTCTGCAGGTAGAACCCCTCGTAGGACTGCGTATCGGCCGGCGGAGTATTGACATGGGAGATGTCAATGGTGATGTGCTCGAGCTTGCCAAACCTGCTCCAGCCCTCGCTTGGCGCCGAAGGCGAGCAGCTCCCCGGGGATGAAGGCGCTGTCCATGCACAGCCACTTGTCCTGCGCCGTAATGCGGCGGAGATTCCCGTAGGCGCGCTTCCAGAGGGCGGCTAGGGCCGGCCGCCGCCGCTGACGAGGATGAGCTTCGTGATGAGGCTCGCGTTCTTTTTGCCGATGCGGTTGACTCAGTCGCCGTGGTAGGGGAACGTCAGGCGGAAGCAGTTGTTGCTGTAGATGAAGGGGATGACTTACCGGAGATCTTTTTGTTGACGAGGGTCATGGACGGGACGAGACCCTTGGGAAAGCCGGACCTAGCCCGCTTGTTGGCAGAGGCGATGTCCACCTGTGGGTAGGCGGGCTTGTTGACCTTGAAGAGATGTGCGTAGATCCGGAGCCGGATCTCGGCGGGCAGCCGTAGTAATGTAGAGATTGTCATGTCTATGACAGCGTCGGCCGGGGCGAGACTGGCAGAGGCGGAAACCAAACACGGTCATGGCGGTGTCGGTGTTGCCACAATTGTCGGCGTTCTTGGCGCACTTGATGGAAGGGATCTCATCGTCGATGCCGTGGCCACCCTTGCGTTTGAGCGAGGCGCAAGGGCGAGAATCTCCGAAGATTGAAGCAGTCGGTTTCGCTATGTTTAGGCCATCGGCGGTACTCACTGCCTTGAGGCGGGTATTAGAGTGACTGGAGTCGGCGTTGCGTATCGAGAAATGTCGGCGATATCGGACTTTTCGTCGCAGCGACACTGCCATTGACAGTCTCGGCCGCGGACTCGGTCATTTGACGCTTCAAAGCGACGTGTTCATCGTCAAAGTCATCGGGGGCTTTGCGCTTCAGGTCTGTATCGGTCGTGGCTATCTCAGGCGCCGCAACCTCAATGCGCTCGGTCTGCTCGTCTGCGCCCTCATTCTGTCACTTATCGGTTGTCTTTGCCATGTTGTCGGGCACGTTGCGTCACTCGGAATCGGTGGAGAAGACGGGAACAACCTGCATGGCCGCTGAATGAACAATGTTGCGATACAGGTGGGGGGCGAGAATAGGTTTCGCACGACGAGGGAAAGTTCCGAGTCTGGCTGGCGGGTTCAAAGCGAGCACAACAGCAATCTAAAATGGTTGGAGGCGAAATACCAAGTTCTGTGTTTGATATGGGATGAACGCCGGACTTCCTATTGACCATGATTGTTCAGTTCAAGTTGGCCTTAGCAACACCGCCGGACCCAAATTCTTTGACAAGCTTATCTCAAACTACCTCCGCTAGAAAGGTTGATGATTGGATACGGGTATGTACAAACACTATCTGATTGGACCTTTAAGACATTGCTGAGTTCTCCCTGAATCAGGGGATACCAACCGTCGTCGAGCCAGTGAGTGACGATGCACGTTGCCCCGGAAGATTCCGTTTCGTCAACATCGAGATATCGGTGTCCTTCCAGCGAGGACCGCGTTCACCAAATGGGTTGTATTTTTTGTGCATGGTGATCGGTAGAGACCCGAAGTGATATATGAGGGACCATTTTTGATTGCGGGAACCACGTGGATGCGATGGGACGTGCCTTGGAGTGTTACTAGAGGAAGACGTCCCAGCCAACATCGATGTATTCCACCAATCTCCAAACGCAAGAGGCCGGAAGAGCGTCTAACCCTCTTAGTTCAATATTAGCGTCGGGAATTGGTATAATATCGACATAGCAAACTTAGGCCAATGATCCGATCAACAAGAAAAGACCAAAGCCAAACCAACTACCCTGTTCAATTCCAGAATCGATGCTGGAAGACTGAGCCAGGTCGCGGGATGGTAGTTGAAGAGTAACCACTGCAGCGCTCGGATAAAAGTGCCTAGTTACTCTACACCGCCTGGGTTATGGAAACAATAGCATACTTTTCCCTCGGACTGTTCTTCACCGGTTGGTACCTGAACAAGAACAATTCTCAACAGGCTCTGAAACTTCCAGATCTCGTTGACGTGCCCAAGTGAGCGCAAGCCAGGTTCCAGCTTCTGACCCATATTTACTGAAATTTGACCGTAAGACGTCATGCGTCTCACTGCCTTCATCCCAGGCTAAACTTCAAGCGAGTGACCCCCTTATGCGGCCAAGTTCTTTCCCACCGATCACCCGTTGGGCAACAGGCTAGGTAAATGTTGAAGTATTATGCTATATCAGACTGGTGATGATGCGTCCATGATGAGGCGTTACTCGTATAGTCTTCTTCCAGACTGGACTCCTGACTCAATCGGGGCTAGCCGGTGGTGACAGAAGAAGATGCCGTAGACCGCTCCCGGGCTGGTTTGGGGTCTGGTACGGCTGGAGGGCGTCAGATACCAGGGTCAGTCCTCGGAAGGTGTCTGGCACCACTGAATAACTTACCCAAGGATATCCAGTAACATATATGAGGATAAGAAAATGAAGGCCAATGGCGGAAGTAAAATAAAAACTCGCAATGTAAAATTGAGCATGAAATAGAACTTGGAAGATAGAAGCCTAAAACCAAGACATCAAAAAAACGAGAAGCTAAGAAGTGTTGCAATAAGAGAAAAGATGAGCTTAAGCGAATAAACAAAGCCTCATACAAAACAAGCGATAGCTATTATTAGAGGGAGATGCTTACAATTCGAGTTGAGTATCACGGTTTAGATGATGACAATAGCGGAATAGCCATGGCGCGTATTGACTAATTCGGAAAAACAGTCTGAGGCTCTGTTCCAGCTGGCAATTATCATCATTGACAGCATGACAAATCCACCTCCGGTCCCGCACGCCACATGATGGCGAGACTGCCCACCCAGCAAATGTATATTTTGATTTATAATGATAGATGGCGCCATCGTCGGTTCGGAGCAATATCCCCTCATTATCTCATAATCCCCGGAAACTAACTTCTAGAAAACATGATGGTCTCCAGCACCGGTCGTTCGCTATATCAAGCACCCATTCCCAAACCAGCTCAGGATCCATACCAGACGCAGCCAAGTCAGTCCAATTTCCCACTTATCACTAGTAACTACATCACGTCCTCACACCCCATTGAAGCGTATACACTCCACTGACTCCCACCATGTCTTCCCATCCCACCTCCAGCCCCCGCATCCGCGTCGCCCTAATCGGCCTCTCCTCCTCGGCCAAAACAGCCTGGGCTTCGCGCGCCCACCTCCCCTACCTGCTCTCCCCGCGCGGCTCCTCCAAATACGAGATTGTCGCCCTCCTCAACTCGTCCGTCTCGGCCGCGCAGGACGCCATCAGGGCCTACGATCTGCCGGCCTCGACGCGCGCCTACGGCGATCCGGCCGCGCTGGCGGCGGACCGGGACGTCGATCTTGTCGTGTGCAATACGCGCGTGGATAAGCATTTTGAGACGGTCGTGGATAGTGTCAAGAATGGGAAGGATGTCTATGTGGAATGGCCTCTGGCGCAGGATGCAAAGCATGCGAGGGAGTTGGTGGGGTTGAGTCGGGAGGCCGGCGGCAGGTCGGTGGTTGGGTTGCAGGGGGTGGTGGCGCCTGTTGTGTTGAAGTTGAGAGGCTTGTTGGAGGAGGGCCGAATTGGGAAGGTACTGAGTTCGGAGTTGAGGGTGTTTGGCGGGCTCGGTGATCGGGCTACTGTGCCTGAGGGGTTGGCGTATTTCACGCAAAGGGAGGTTGGGGGGAATGTTTACACTATTGGCTTTGCTCATGGTAAGTTATCCGTTCTTGCCATCCTGAAGGTTTCGAGTGCTGACAGACTACAGTCTTCGACATGGTCCAGCGGGTTCTGGGGGAGCTCGCCTCGGTCAAGGGCGACTTCCACCTGCAGCGGCCCGAGGTGAAGATCACGGATCCGAGTGCCGGCGCGGTCAAGACGGTCCGGTCCAACGTTCCGGACTTGATCTTGGTCTCGGGCAAGTGGAACGAGTCGGCCATCACGCAGCAGAACGCCACGCTGCACTACCGCTTCCGCCGCGGCCAGCCCTTCCCCGGCGAGGCGGCCCTGGAGTGGACCATCCATGGCGAAAAGGGCGAGATTAGGATCGTCTCTCCGCAGAATACCTTCATCCAGGTCGGGGATGACACGTCGCCGCGCATCATCGAGGTGCATGACTTTGCGACGGACAAGGTAGACAAGGTCGAGTGGGATTGGGAGGAATGGCAAAAGGACCTGCCTGTCCAAGCTCGGGGTATCGGCGCTCTGTATGATGCCTTTGCCGAGGCCAAGGCGGCTGGGGCCAAGAAAGCCTATGTCACATTTGATCTGGCGGCCAAGAGACATGAGCAACTGGAGGAGTTGCTCTCCAAGTGGCAGGCTTGATGGAGACATTGTATGTGTCTGAATGACTTCTGGATGTTGTCTCGAAAACAAGTCTGCGAGTCTCACTTATATGTGGAAGCCTGCGCTTGAAACAGCGTCTGAATAGCTCTTGGGTATCTAGCGGTTATGACGCGACCGAATTTCTATGACCACTCCCCTTTGATGTGGAATCCCCCTTGGGCCGGGAACCGAAGAGACTCCTACTTCTGCTCTGCTTCTTACCTGCCGTGGACTCCTGACCTCGCAGGGTTTCCAGGTCAATGAACGACTGGGGAAATACGCCCGTCTTGCCTTTGCTGTTGGTGCCAGACCAACACCAGTAGTCTGCGTAGAGGCCTGTGAGGTAATCAGCAAATGTCGGGTTTGAGCCCTGGCTGGGAGAGGATACTCACACTGAACGTTGGTTATGACCTCACCCTTCCCGAAGGAGAGCCATGGTGCTCCCGGAGTAGGCGGCGGCTGCCACTTCCACCTCGTCGTCACGCTCATGCCGCTCTCCCCGCCCACGGGGATCTCGCTCTCCTGCGGCGGCCGTAGTTCAATGGCCTTGGCCGGGAACGCACCGAACTCGCCGTCATGGCGCCCCAAACAGTACTTGCCTCCCCACTTCTCGGGGAAGATGACGCCCACAATCCGGGCGCCCTCCATAAACTCGAGCATGTCGGCGTCGTACTTGGGCGGCTTCTCCAACTTGCTGCGCCCCAACCGGCGGTAGTGGTCTTTCACTGCTATGGCGGTAGCCAACCGGGCCACATTCTCCGGCATGGGCACCGGTGTCGGGGACTCGGGCAAATGCAGGTCAAAATCTTGGGGTGCCGAGTCTGGGAGCGGGCGGCCGTACACGACGGTGACGCCCGCGAGGGGCGCCAGAGGCTGCGGGTGCCGTGCAAGGTGGCGTAGGAGTTCCTCGGCGGACCGGAAGACCGTCGCGTCGCCCTCGCGCGAGACGGCACCTGCCTGGACACACCACAGACAGGCGTAGTACATTTGGGTACTGCTCCCTTGCCTGAGATGGGATTTAAAGAGGAGGCGGAGGCGATAGCGGGGTCCCGCCTCCGAGGCACGGACTGCTTCGGCTTGGATGGGCGTTAGTCATGGGCGTGGACAAGTGCGCCGAAGGTGGGAGCTTACGTCTGTTGCTCTTGTCAAGTTCCACTTCGTCCAAGTCGTGCGCATACCCGCAGTCGCCGCAAGCCCCAACCTTAGTCGTCTCATATTGGAACGGCACCGTGATGCCGTCAGATGCCCTCATCATATCCCCCGCTCCGATGGAACCGCCCCCAGCCCCGTACTCGTACTCATTGGTGAGCTTGATGCTGTCCCAGTGACCGTCTTTCCGGAATTTCGTGGCGCCTTTGCAAAGTCCCTTCAGTTTGTAATACGTGCTGTCCGCCCGTATGCCGAGATCCGGGATCCGCGGCGTCGTTGGTCTAGACTTCCGGTGCTCGCTAGGGTAGCATGACTCTCTAAGCATGTCTTCCATGCCCAACAGGTCCTGGCTTGCGGCATTGCTGGCCGGCGGCCGGGTGTCCTGCGTGCTGGAACGATCCAGCTCGGTGGAATCCTCGGGAATCACGAGCGAGTCGAGGCTTCCGAGCAAGGCTGATGAGGACGAGCTGCTGGCGTGTGACATGACTGATGTCCTAGTGTGAGTAGTGCTGGGGCTGGGAGCGGAGTCGATGGTTCTCGGGCGCACTGTGGTATTGAGCGTGAGGTCATTAAAGCGCAAGTTTACTGGGTCGGTGCCAGGGGACGCGGGAGGTGTGAACGCGTCTCTGGTGAGATCTGGGCGGAATGGTTGGGAAGACCCCTGGGACGCCACAGACTGACTCCGAAATGTTCGTTTGGCTGCCATAGTCGAGTTGTCTTCCGCTAAGAAATACATATGATCCGCGGCACCGACGGACGTCCGCGGCACGGTTCGAGGGCTCTGCGGCATCGAATCAATCCCTTCATGTTGCGGGACCGCATCGTCTTGGGGTTGCCTTGGCCTGGACAAGGCTCGGGAACGAATCGAGCGGGCTGATGGTGGACGGGAACCAGGACCCGCGCGAGGTGGGAGGGGTGGTAATGGAGGGAATCCGCCTTGTGGTATGGCGGGAATGTCGGGCACAGCAGCTTGAGGCTTTATGCGCCGTGCTGTCTCGATAATGTCGAGGGCAAGGGCCTTGGTAGCGGCTTGCAAGGCTCCGTATCGTGCTTGGTCGAAGTCGGCCGGCTGGGTGAAGTCGTCGAAGTCCCACAGAAGATCTTCTAGCTGCAGTCGCCGTTTCTCGATGGAGGCTGGACGAGCAGTTAGTGGGCGGATGCCGAGCGCAGATCTTGATTCACAGTCAAGGACACACCCTGCTGCACCATCATGTTCCCGAAGCTGTCTCCATGCTTACTGACTTGGTCGTTCCAGACCAGCTGCACCTTGTTGAGTGCGCGCTCTCCTTCGCGAACTATGGCCTGTGCGGCCCTGGCCATGCGATCGACATTGTCGCCGGGCGCGGGGCTCTGCTGGGCCGCGTGTGTGGAGGCGTTGGTCAAGGCAACGGTGCCCGCGGCGACCACGTCCCGGAATGGGCGGATGAGGAGGTCTTCGGCGTCGACGGCCATCACCAGGATGCCAGATTTATTATGTGAATGCTGTGTTGCGCAGACGCAGGAGGGGAGGACTGCAGGTGGAGAGACGGGGAGGATGGATATGCGAGAGACGTCAACGTCAGATGCACGGGAAAACACGAGGAGTCAGGGCCCGACTCCCGAGGAGCTCTCAGCTGTGAAACTGGACCGGGTTGCCTCCGAGATGTTGGGTAGGCAGCATGGGGCCGCGTTGCGGAGAGCTGCCAGGTGTGGGAGCGTTGCATTGTATCATTTGCAGGCCGAAATCGAAGGGCCTCCATGAATCCTTCACATCTGTGCCGAGTCCGCTCAAGACCAGACCCAAGACCCGATACATTGGGACGCTGCGACGCGATGGCGCATCCATCGAGTCTTGAAATGCTACACTACCGCCGTGGCGCGTGCATGACGGGAGAAATCGATCAATGATGCAGGAAGGGTGAGCCATGAGCAGCAATGGCTGCAGCACGAGACGCGATATCAACGGTGGGGGTCTCGGTGGAAGAATTGGGGTTCGAACATCCTGTCCGGGTGACACAAGGCGAGGCCAAGGGTTCAGCGGCGACGTGCCTCGATGCGCCTTCTTCATTCGTCGCCAGGAATCTCGGCGCGGCATGAATGGCCGGTTGATGCACGTGCCGTGCCAAGAAGGAGGTGCGAATTAAATGATGCACGGTACGAATGGTGCCCAGAAAAATCTCATAAGCGTTGCAAGCTTTCCCTTCACTGGTGATACTGTGCGACATAAAAAACTGCTCATTGATTCTCAGCATGCTCGGTCGACGATTCATATCCACCTGGATCGACTATTACATCGACCAGAACAGTGTTTTCCCTACACCCAGAGCCTTCCAGCCACTCACTCCCTTGACGGTGTGGCTGCCCAGTGCGACCTGACCAATGTTGCTATATCCGTAACGTTCTCACAATGGAGTCTATCCTCCACCAGACGTCAACTCTATCTGTGTTCAACAACAACCGCCTGTGTGGCAGGTCGCCTGGATTCTTGCGTGCAGGAAAACATGACTGCCTACACGGAGGGGTACGGACTATTGGATTTTATTTCTTTTTCGCGATTCTTCCCATTATGCATGCGCGCTGCCCTGATGCTTTATACTGTGCTGCAAGTTCTCCGGCTCTAACAATCGCATTCAATGCCAAGACCACGTGGGCAATTGTATGGCTCCGCGAGGCCAGACAAGCGCACACCATGCACCCCTGGATGCGAATGATGCAGCGGGACGATGCCGTGTCCTGTTCCATCGCAGAGAAAAGTCCCGCCCGACGAGCTGGAATCGGCAACACAACCGAGTCCAGCCTCTGAGATGGAACGATTTGCCCATGCGCTTCAAGCGAGCTCACCAGCGGCATCTTGGACGACGACGAGAGGATCACAGCAAGCGATCACGGGTGCCACTATGGCTCTCAGCCATGTCTCAACTCGCAAGACAGACAGCTGTTTCTTTCTGCTCATGACAGGATTTACATTGCCTAGTTAGGCCCATTGTGAGTCAGCCCACCTCAGAGGTCGCCCACGCAAAGCCAGCGTCGACTTGCCACAGCTTGAGACACCGGCAAAAAAAGATGCGCAACCCAGTGTCCCCACACGACGGGCAAGGCTGACCAGGGCCCCTACAACCCCCACCGCCGTTGCTTAGCGCCCCTGACCCGTGTGCCACCCTTTACCGAGCCCGATCGCGTAGGGGTCCCGCTTCGCACCCTGGACGACGAGATCGGAACCATGAGACCACACGTGCAACGACGCCAGATATGTATATCGCACGCGGCACCCCACCCCTATACCAGAACCCCGGAACTGTCGTCTGTTCCCCGTCGACGACCTCCCTTCACGGTCTGGACGCCGTCACAGCGTCATCATGGGACACTTTGCCGAGCTGGGACAGAGCCTGCGGGCTTTCACGCCCCAGGAGCGCCGCAACATTGCGATCTACATCATAGGCATCATGGTTTACAAGTTTGGCCTCGAAGCCTTCAACGGGTCCATCATCGCCCTCGCCAGCAACAGATACGACTATGAAGCGATCAGGGACGATACGCCCAGTCGGACCTTCGAGAGAGTCGGCCTGCTTACCGGTCTCAATCAGGCCTGTCAATGTATCGGATCTATTCTCATTGGCCCACTGGTATGCTTCTCTTGGAGAATTGCTCAAACTCTCTGGACACGGCCTCTGACAAGGCGTGGTGTAGGTGAAAAGATACCCGACCAAGAATGTCCTTTCCGTCGCCATCCTAATATTTGGGATGTGCTCGGCTCTCCTGCTCATCATTGACGCCGCCACGGGCGGCACGTTTATGCCTGCGGAATGTATGTCTCATGGCTGTCTATCTGCGCGAAGGTCGCTTCTCGACGCCGTCACTAACAACACTAAGTCCGGACCAATCACCCGGACCATGAGTGGCCTTACTACGGCACGTACAATACCGACGTCATGATCCCTGTGTACTGCGTGTGCGGCATCGTCTACGGCATGGTCGAGCTCATCCGTCGAGTCATTCCGCGGGATATTGTTGGGGGCAACATCCAGAAGTTAAAAAAAATGGATTCTTTGGTATGACATCACGGCCGTGGTCCTCGTCATGTTTCCATGCTGACGGTGACCAGGTCCATATCTTCTACGAAATTTCCGGCACCGCAGGCGCCTTCACGACGGGATTGGCTATAATCCCCCAGCTGGGGAACAACATGGCCTTCATCATTACGCCTGTATGCTTTACAATCAGCGCCATCGCCTGGTTCTTCGTTGGCGAGCTTGGCTTTCGACGTGCCCAGCCAGGCATCCGAGCCCGTGGTGACAAAACATCCTACTTCAAAGCCGCCTTCAGCGGCCTGTACCTCTTTGGCGAGTCTGTCTGGGTCGGCGCCAAGATCCTCTTCACCTCTCGCAAGTTCATCTGGCTGGTGCCGGGCTACTCGGTCGCGCTGTACGCCCACCGCTACCTCGAAAACGGCATCGCGCCCCAGGTGGCCCGCCGCTATTTAGGCAACTCGGCTTGGGCGCAGATCATGGTCGGCGGCTCCAACCTGGGCGAACTGCTCGGCGCCTTTTCCGTGCTGCTCTTCACCAACGCTGTCCAGACGCCCATGCCATGGCTGCGCCTGGACGCGCTGATGCTGCTGATTGTGTGGTACATTCCCTACTGGCACCCCCCGGCAGAGCAGGTCGGCCAGGCGTGGATCGTTGCTGCGACGTTTGCGCCCATCTCGTACGGGTGGGCTTCGGGCGACGTGTCGCTGGCTGCCTACATCCAGGCGTCGCTGGCCCGCCTCGAATCGCAGAACAAGAACGTGTCAGCCCTCGGCGCCGTCATGGCGTTTCTCTACTCTTTTTACATCGTCACGTACGCTGTTGCTGGCACGCTCCTCGGCCGCTACCTGGACGGCATTTACAACGCGACGGGCGGTATCGACGACGGCGGCGAAGTGCGCAGCGGATTGGTTTTCACGGCGGGCGTGCAGATGACCGTCATCTCGGTGCTCGTGCTTGCGTCGACATTCGTGCCCAAGGGCGCGTTTGCGTTTAACCCCAAGATGTTGTCCGACGAGACGTTGGAGGACGACCACATCGAGATTGAAGAGCAGCGGCCGGAGCGCGACGATGGGCCCGGGCTGGAGGGGGAGAGCCACAAGCTGGAGGAGGGGTACAAGAAGACAAGGAGTTATTGCAGCAGTGAAAACGGGTCAGAACCAAGGGTTGAGAAGAAGATAAGCGAGATCCTGTAGTCTGGTTTATATCTTAAGCTCGCATAACTACATGTACATAGATTAGAGTTTCATGGATACAAGTTGAAGCTAATGACTGAATGTTCTCTGCTTGCGTACGCCAGCGGACTGGACCGTAAGCAGTTCTGTTGCTATCCTGATATGCCGCTGTACTTGTGAAAACACGAAGCCTCAGACATCATAAGCCGAGCCATCACAGCCGCACTCATCCATGAGCCTCTCAGCATAGGTGCTTGTCGGTATGCGGACGAGCCTGTCCCACTTCGGTCGGCTTTCGGTTTCCTGAAAGCAGCTCGTCCACGGACTGCACCGTTCTCCGAGCAACCATCCGGATAGTGGGCACTATTCCCTCACCTCCCGAGTTTTCGAGAACACCCACCACCATGCCTTCTCTTAACCGAACTTTACGAAAGCCAACGGGCAGAGAGTCGTGAGAGCCATTGTGCGAGTCTTCCCACCAAATGTAACGGGTCTCGACTCGGTTCACATGCAATTCCTCCTCCCACATATCCCCCTCAGACTTCGAGTACCTTTCACCCGAATAACGCTAGAACCCGCTTGCTTTTACCACCAATACAATCCTGTCGGGAACGGTCAAACGGACGGAGTCATTTTGAAGCTTGGCTTTAACCGGGCGGTGTCTCGCAAGGTACTCTTTGTAAGCCGCCCAGCAATGAACTCGTTTGCTTATGGCTGCACGGTACACATCCGCAGCCTCTCGATGCCTCATGTGTCTCCGAGTTGCCTTTTGGCAGAAACAGTAGTTCCCCCACCTGGTCAAGCTGTTCGTCGAGCCAATCCTGAATCTTCTCAAGAACTGTAGCCAAAGGTGAGTGGATGCCACCAAAAATCCCGGCCATTCTCCCTTCAACTATACCGCTCGAGTAGTACCTTTCCAAGCGCTTGGAGCCAGGAGTTGGATGATATAGGCCGAGATCGAGGAGTCGGCTTTGCTCAAAGAGGTAAAGCGGAAGACGATCGACTCGCGTTCTGCCACGAGCTGAAAAGCGCACGGGGCAATGGTCGTGTCCGGTCGTAATATACAAAGTCGAGGCATAACCCGTCTCCAAAATGTGGTATGGTCCTTAAAGGCCCACAGAAACACAACGTCGTCGGGCTGTACGATGAGGTCGAGGCATGGCTCGCAACCAGCCGCTGACTGATTGCAACCCTGACCCCTGCCCCACTACCACCCGCTATATTGGCGAATATCCACATGCACCGGTGATCGAGGGATTCCTGGCCCTCTTATTGATCAGTTGAGCCACCGTCTTGGTGCTCCATATCGTCGATGCTGTCTGAATACCGTATGCATTGCGTGCAGCTTTCAATCCTACATGCAAACATACGCACAATATAAGATGGCTCGCCAAACGTTCCGTAAGCGAACGCCAGCGCGGGCCGCGAATCTAGCGCAGGCGTGGGCGACTCTGCCATCTATCACGGTACTTCCAGAGGCTTCAGAAACGGAAGAACCAGGGCCCAGCGAAGCAGTAACTACGCCAATGCGCTAATGCGACCCTACGGCGCTCAGCCGGAACATCATGAGGTTATATTTGGTCACTCATTCTGGTCAGAAATCACAAGTGGAAATGGATACGAAGAATAGAAAGCTATTATTATTACTCCTACACCGCTGTGCCCTAGGGCTCGCCGGACCCTCTACCACTAATTACAGAGGAGAACCATGCCTGCAAGGCTGGACTAAAAACCTCTGTCTCCCCTATACCAGTCTGAAGTCTTGAATCCACCCTCTACAGAAGAATAGAAAGCTAGGAGGTGGAGGAACAGGAGAGGTTGATTGGTATCATTGCCAGACGAAGATCCTTCTTCCTAAGCTCTTTCTTTTGCGAAAGAGTGTCAAAGGGATCGCTCTGGTATGAGAGTTCAAGAAGACAAGGGCCCATCGCCATGCTTACTATGTCTAAGGTAGAGTCTATGATCTTCATTAAGTTATACGATTACTTTGGCCAAGAAAATCATCGGGTCTTAATCCAATTGAGCCTTGTGTTGGCTATGGATGAAGAGGTATATAACAAAGAAAGGAGCACCGAAAAGCCGTCAGGAGGCAATCAGGGTATGGAAGGGTTGGAACCTGCAGAGCGACGACCGCTGAGATATGCGCTGGGAAAACTATTCCCAGTCAAAGCAGTGGATTGATTTTTTTAAGGTGGTAAAAGTGATTGATTGACCATGCTGTTGATGGGCATGGGAGAGGACTAAGTATGTAAGGAAGAGGGGTTGCAGTGCTGGCACCAATCAACCACCGAGGTCCGTTGAATGCAGCCATCAAGGCGGCTTCGTTCCGACAGGAAGGAGTGTTGGAAGAGCTTGCCGGAGGAGCAAATCCAGGCGTGGATTGAGTGGATTCCATTGCACATTGAGCGAATTATTCAGAAGGTGGGGATGAATATAAGGAGGGCCGGAAGAAGGACTAAATCAATCAACCGAGGGTGACGTCGTTAGCGCCTGGACAGAACTTTTGACGTGGACCTCCGTAGTGTAATCTACGATCCATTCGAGGTCGCTGAGAGCGCGTAGCTTGGCGCCCAGGAGAACAGGGGTTCTGCCGCGGTCGCGACACGTCGGCTCGCACTTTATCAGCCTCCAAAATGCCCTGAGATTTCCACCGCTCGAATCGCCAGCCTGGCACGGAACTCGCAGCGCCTGAACCGACTAAACCTAAACCTGATACTGAACATGAAAGTCACCCAAGATGTTCCTTAGTTATCGGGCGCCGAGTCCGCGTCTAGTTCGTGCCTGTCTTCCTCCGGCATGGCGCGCCTACACCTCTTTCCCACGCCGGCGCGTTCCACTCCAACCCATCACCTTCACGACAATGGCTCAACCAAATTTCCGTCCCTTCTCAACACACGTCCAAAAGGAGGTAGAAGACTTTCATGCTCTCCACCCCCGCACCGATCGCACCATTGAAGAAGCCCTCAAACACTACAGGCTGTGTCAATGCGGCTTCGTCATCTTTCGCTGTACCTACCGCTCCCAGTACAAGTGGGACAAGTTCGTCGCCCTCGTCAAGGGCCACGCCCGCGAGTACTGTGAGAAGTGGGAGGTGGAGAGCGCCCGTGACTGCCTGCGCTGGACAATTATCGAGGACGCTGCGGCCCTGGACGACGCCGACATTCTGGAGACCAGTCACCGGTTCAAGGACTGGGTGGAACGGGGCCCGGGAAGCCAGGAGATTCAGGGCAGTGCGTATTCACCCTTGTGGCATCCTGATTGTCCAAGGTATAACTGGTTTGTGCACGTGGATGAGGAGAGTTTGGAGAGTGTGGTGGACGATGTGAAGGCAAAGGAGAAGGATGGATATTTTTGCAAGGTTGTATATGCGGACCAGGTCTTGTTGCTGGAACGAGAGCGGGAAAAGCTTCATCCGTGGAAGGTGATTCAAGATGCGGAATGTGAGAAGCAGTGCAAGAATGAGTTAGCGGCCGCCCTCGCATCCGCCACCGGCGAGGAACGCGCTAGGCTGAGAATGAAGGCAACACTGCGGCAAGACAGGTTCTCTAGGGAGTCAGCCGACGACCCCGACGTCGTGGAGGAGAATTTGTCGGACCTAAGAAAGCGGGTAAGGATCGATATACTTGTTGATTTGTATGCGGAGCTGTAACGTTGCCTTGATTTGGGATGGTACCATTTTCCTTTAGATGGAGGAGAGATCGTGCGTGAAATTTGGTAGAAAAGGGAAAGTCTTATTTTTCGAGAAGAGTAAGTTACTTGGTATTCATACTATGACCTTTGCCCCAAAACCAACCTAGCGCCCGAGCTTGATATCATCCAGCAGTTCCATGCAGCATGAGCAGATTCTTAAGGTAAAGTAGAATATTCCACCGCGTGCAAGCTCACAACGAGAGACGCGAGTCTCAGCAAGGTCCAGCGTTGGGGTCAGCGCTAATGCATGTCAGTAACCAACGTCTTCCAAGGGCTTGGCATAGATCATTTGACACACCTGAACACCCAGTTATCATAAGTTCGGCGACCGCCCTGCGGGCAGGCATCTATCTCACGCCGCAAGTACTCAGAGCACTCATCTTTGGTGAGAACGCCCCGCGATCCGAGTCGCTGGATCTCGAGGTCCGCGTGAGCGCTGGAGCTTATCGCGATGCACACGCTCTTCAGCTCCCCAGCGTAATAGCTGCCCTTGAGTCCGCCTGTGTCGCGAAGCCAGTCATGGATTTGTCTCTTCAGGTCTTCCGTGTTCGCGGGCCAGTACTCGCCACTCCTGTGGCACACGGCGGAAAGCCCCGCTAGGAGGAAGGGAGAGACGAGGATGGACGAGAGCTGCATTGCGCTTGGAAGAGACCTCGGATGGGTAAAGCGGCACCGTAGGCTGAGGCTTGAGTATGAAGATACGTGATGACGGGATGAAGAGATGGAGATTGAGTTGAGGGTGTCCTTAGTGCCATTATATACTTAAGCATCTCACCTGGTCACCTTCCACTGCTATTAATGCGCGTCGCCTGGTTTGGGAATCAAAGGTCTGCAAGGGCCAGCCTGTATTGTAGTCTCCGGAGCTCGGGGCATCTATGCCATGCCGGCTTAGAGGATTGGTGATTTCGGACCCACGACAGATTGAACGCGCCTCGAAAGTCAGAACCATGCAATTCGGCTAGGAGCCGTCAGAGCGGGAAGTGGATTAATACCCATGACTGGTTACGGTACCATGGTTCATGGCCCGACTCGCAAGGGGCTTTGGATTGGCGATTTCGAAAACCCGACGAGTAGCCTTTGTGAAGCACCGCCGGTCATCCATCAGGGCAGCGTTACAGACCGGCCAAGCACCTCGCAAATATGCTGTGAAATGCATACCTGCGGCACTTGTGCGAAGCTCAAATTGCTGCTAAGGCTGCTTGTCATTCGCTACGCCACCAACATTCTAGTCCTAACTGTCTAGTTTAGGACTAGTTCTCCTTCTTAACCCGACCACACTGACAGCATCTTAACCGATCTTCAGGGGAAGCCAAAAGGCTGATATTTACTATGCGCTGAGAGTTCGAAAGGCACTTAGCAAAACTCGACATCACCCGTTACCGTATCATCACAGAACAGAGGAAAGACGGCTGCAGGCTCGGACCGGGACGATAGTTCTTGTGATATATTGACCAGTCCCAGGACAACGTCCTGTTCGACACTGTTACGCGCCGAACTTCGAACATCACGGATCGGTTCCATGAGTTCAGTGTTGTGCATCCCGCCCTCCCCTGAAATTAATCAAGCTGGAATGCCGCGTCGCAATTTCGCGAAAAAGAAATGGCCATTTTAGCCCATCCAGAAATCCGCAACACGTTTCTCTATAAGCTTTGGCGTGGAGTCCAGCGTGAGATATGAGCCATCTTGGGCCCCGAGGGCGCCTGTTCCGGCATCGACGCTGAAGTCGTCATACTCCGGAACAGAGGGTTCACCAATGCCGTTCTTCGGAAGCACCGGCGCGGCCAGTTCTTCTTCGAGCCATCTTCCATACCATTTTCCCATCCTGGGATGAGAGAGATGGTTTTTTCGATTATCTCCACTGATTTCCTCGTTGGCGGGCTGACGTCGGCCGTGAGAACGGGCCGCCATTTCCCCCATGTATTCCAATCCGGGACCCAGGAGGGGATTGAGGACGGTCCAGAATCTCCAGAGCCGTGCGCAAGGAGATCCCTGTGCTCAGGATTGATCGAGATGTGGGAAAAAGGACAAGACACACATGCTGAACAGAGACTGTGTGGTCCGGCGCCATCTGCTCGTTCGCGGCAATGCTCATGATGCCGAAGAGGCGGTCGCTTGGGTCGGCGCAAGCGGTAGAGAATGTGAGGTCCATCGGCACCGGCGACTGACATGCCCAGCTGGGTCCCTTTAGCGGTGTACCTAACCCAAGAAACACGGTCCCGAGCATTGTCCTCAACCGGCATTGGCGTCGATGGCGTCCTTACACGCATGTAAGCTCGGCGACCAGGTGGGCGTCATAGTTTTGAGTTTCGTCAGATTCTCGAACATTGGCGTGATCTTGAGCGTCGGCAAGCTTTGTCTTCGTGCCTCTCATCGCGTCGTCGAACAGAAAGTTGCTATTAGCGAACTTTGGCGCCCACAGGCTGCCACTCGTCTCGCCGTCAGACTGGAAGTCAATGTCCGCAATGCGCATGACCACTCTCAGGAAGAGAACCAGCTCCTGCACCACCCACAGTCGACTGGAGTACCTCAGTTTCAGCAGTTCGTACATGGTGTTGACCGGCCAATCGAAGGTATCTGCTCCTTATCGAACTCCTGCAGCCTCGCACGGCGGGGGCACCTTCCTGGCGGCAGCACTGGCGCAACATCAGGCCAGAGGTGGTCTGCATGCAGCCGGCGTAGACGTTATGCATCTGCGCGACATGCTCCGCTTTCTCCTCATTACTGTTGACGTGGCCCGTTAGCGTGACCCAAACCAGAGGACACATAACGTTAGAAAAATACATAAAAACAAAGGTGAAAAGAGATCAAGAGGAAAAGAACAACACAGATCAATCCTGTCGATACAAACAGCATCATCCAGCACAAGCCTCCCCCATCCCGCCCTGGCCCCGCTCCTCACAAATCGCAGCATATCCCTGCAGTTCCGCGTATGGAGCATCATGTCCCAGTGCTCGTCGACATGCACCAGATGCCTGCGGGATCCATTCCCGCCTTAGCCTGCCCAGCAATTTGACAAGATTTCGTAGGATGGACAATTGGAGAGCTCGCAGGTTTCAAGGGTGAGGTGGATTGGTGCGTCGTTCGGATCACAACCGTGGGTGATGCCAGCCGATGGTGGGCAACGGGAGACGCAGGCAAGACGGAACTGGGTGGGTGCGAGTTTGTATGGGTAGATCAAGGAGGTTGTGCGGGCTGAGGCCGGTTGGGCGGAGCTGTTGAGGCTCGGGAGGGTGGATGTGAGGGGTGGTTGTTGGCTGAACTGGAGTTGAGGTCGGAGGTAGGGAAGAGGCTGCGATAGGGGACTGTGCGAGTGCCACCAAAGATTTATTTGGCCTCGCTCGTGGCTCATCCGGCGGGGTTCGGGGATAGGGGGCTTGCGTGGGAGTGCTGGCGGAGTATCTCGTCGATATCGGGTGTGCTGTCGTAGGCTCGGCAGGGAGGCCGCTGGTGCCATCTACCCGGGCGTCCGGGGAAGGGCAGTCTAGTAGTGCCATCTTGACATGTTGACGGTTTCGAGAAATGAATAGGATGTAAATGCTTTGTCCCGTCCCATCCTGAGGGCCGAGTTGGGTTAAGATGAAGCCAGGCGTACACTCTGCCACGGGGAGAGCCTTGTGCACCCCGCTCGGCGTCACCAATGAAAGCCAGAATGTGGCACACCATACAGGCCCTACCACATGAACAAAAATTTTATCAGGTCACGGACTCGAAGAAATCTGGCGAATTTCAGTTGGTCTTCCAGGGGACATTAGCAGGATGCCGAACTAAACAGCAACTTCTAACTCCATACCCGTCCATACCCAAAATTGTCGTCCAACTCCAGTCTCCGGGGTATAATCTAAGTGTCACCATAGCAAACGCTCAAGCGGCATTGTTCCCTCAAACATCTTGTCTAGATCAACAAAGAGTCACTGCGTTATCACCAGAGCCATTTGCTTATAGCAATCAAGCATGAACTCGCTCGGCAGGCATGCAGATTTCAACTCATGCTATATCAGGCTGAATCTTGAAGACTATCTACCAGAGTTTGGTAAATACCTAGGCTTGCATCGCAACACTGCATGTGCTGCATGCCATATGGCGAACCAAGAATCAGAATCTTCATTGGCTTGCTCTTCAATAACCGTGGCTCCTACTCATGCATTTTTCTGCAAACTTCCTGCTTTCGTCAGCTCTACAAGCTCATGATCACCCGACCTCCTCAAAAGACCTAAAACGGTTTGTCTCTGCCCATCATACGCAAAATCAAGCTCCCTCCCTTGCGCCCTCCCTAGCAATACCTCCTCCTCCGCAGCCCACACTGCATCAACGTGCTCATCCGGGTTCAGCCGCACAACCGGCACCTCTCCCAAGTCCAAAACCACCAGAAATGTAACCGTTCTCCACAGTGTGTTCCCAACCCCCTCAAAGTCGCGGACATCGACGAAATTTGTGATGTGCCTCACTTCTAGCCCCGTTTCCTCGTGCACCTCGCGGCAGAGGGCATACAAGATGGTTGCGTCGGTCTGATCCACGCCGCCACCGGGGCATTCCCATTTCAGGGGGAAGCCGTCATGAGGTGCGCGCTGAATGAGGAGGACGCGGTTGGCGTGGAGGACGACGCCGCTCACGATGAGCCCTTTGAGGGTCGGGTGCGCGGTGAGGTACTCATCCGGCAGTATGTTGTACGGAGAGAGGGCCGGCGAGAAGGTAGAGACATTGAGAGCAGTGGTTGACATTATGTTAAATTTCTCGGGTCAACAGAGTTGTGAGATTGGTTTGCGTCCTGGCACCAATTTAAGTACTCCGGTCGTGTAAGGCCAAACCCTGAGTTTAGATCCCCCCGCCTTTACACAGACTTTTACTCAGGTCGGTCAATCTCGGTGCCTGGGCGCCGTTGCATTGCGGTTTACTGTTGCCACGTAATGATTAGGTAGGCAGCCCTCTTTTCCATGCATCTGCCTGTTCCAGGGATTCACACACGTGCTTCACCTAGCGTGACCTAGGTACCTAAGTAAGCGAGCTTGAAAAATGTCCGGTACCTACGCAATTTTTCGTTGCGAAAGAGCATAGATTGAAGCTATCAAGTGAGAGCCGAGAGTGAATTGTGCCTGGGGATATCTCAGTGTGCCCCGAGATTCGGCGACCAACAGTAACACGGGCCGACATCCTGGAGCTAGTTGAGCAGATGCCCTCAACCGAGATGGTGAGGCCGCTCAACTCTTCTTGTCCGATTCTGGGAAGATTCTCCTTTATTATCACTGTCACTTACATGTACGTACCCTAACTTCTGGCTTATGTTCAATTCTGTTCGAAACCTTTTCGCCCCCTATCCTTTCCTGGTCGTGCTGCACAGCCATTTGGAGCAATTGCACAGTAACAGTTTCAAGAACCTCCTTCGTAAAGGCTGGCTACTTAATGTCTGGTTGGGCGATTATCGGAGATGTTTTGGCTTGGGATACGCTGGAGCGGATTTGCAATTATCCTAGAAGTTCTCGGCGTGTTGGCCTGAATTACGGCCTCCCTGTTACGAAGTTGAGGTCTTGAACACAACCTAAACCGTAGGGCTGGACGTGCCAGGTTGGGACTTCCCTGACCTTATCTCAACATGAACCCGGAGTCTAGAATGCGGCTTAAAATGTCGTGTTCGACACGGACAGGAAGAAAGCCATCCGAAGGGCTGTTCTCGCACCGATATCCCGATTCGGAATTCGGGGCCCGGGGCTGAGCCGGAGGCGTGCAGAAGATTGCATGGCTGCGGCTTTTGGGCGGGGCTCGGTCGTCAATAGCGGGCTCAGCTAGCGCCTAATTCTCTGAAGCGACGAGCCCCAGCCCTATGGCGAGTGCATGCCAAGCGCATAGTGAGTGGCTCATCGAAAAGTCGAGAGATGCAGTGATTGGCGTCGGCGATGTAGGGCGAGCATGTTCAGGGCTCTGGTACCAAGGCAACCTTTAAGGCAAGGGACCCCGTCAATCGTAGGTTTTCAACCGGACTCGTTAGGGGAGCTTGCCAAACTTCAGTCGGCACACAATCATGGCTCAAATCAAGACCTTCTCGGTTCGACACCACTGGGACGACTCACCCACCATCACATCCTGGACCATCCAGGAAAAGCCCTCCAACAGAATATCATGGACTCCACATACAACAGCCCGTCCAAGACGACTCCGCAAAGCCGAATGCCGCGAGCTGTTCAACTCTGTCGACTCGCTACCCAGCATCCGGGTACACGGCGCCGCCTGTCGCTGCGTCGGCGAAGCCCTCGACGAGGACAGACTCGAAGACACCCACCTCGCCACCAAGATTTCAGCCCTCGCCAGATCCATCATTACCAACAATACCAGACCACCCCCGCAGTCCCACCCCGGCCTTAAACGCTCCCATTCAATAGCAGGAAAACCATCACCACCGATACAGAGAACAACCTCCCTCTTCTCGACCCTCTCCCGCCTCTTCTCCTCAGGCCCCTCACCCTCCACCACTTCCTCCAACTCCTCCTCCCTCGCGCTCCAAGCAGACCTCTGCATCGGTGCGTCCGAACTCGACCCAGACAAAGTCGCCCACTACCTGCTACACTCCACCCCGCCCCTCCCTGTCAACGCGCCCAACCACCTCGGCATGACGCCGCTCATGGCAGCTGTCCGTTCCCCAGCTGCCGCTTCCAGACCCAGAGCGCAATTGGAAATGGTGCGGTTCCTGGTCGAGGGTTGCGGTGCCGACATCGAGGCTACCCGCGTAGATCGTGTGACGGGGCTCGGGGAGAGCGTGCTCAGCTTGGCGTGCGCGGTGGGCGCGGAGGAGGTGGTGCGGTATTTGATAGAGAGGGGTGTGGTTGTTGATCGGAGGCTGCCTTCGGGGCCGGGAGGACATGTGTCTGGGAGGGGGGTTGCGGTCGTCGGCATGATGAGGGGCCAGACGGCGTTGCATGTTGCTGTGTTGGCCGATCGGGCCGAGTGTGTGGAGATACTGGTGAGGGACGGCAAGGCGGATGTGAATGCTACGCTTGATGCTTCTTCCGAGGGGGAGGAGTTGAGGAAAGATGGGGGGCTGAGGGGCCTGAGGGGGCGGACGAAGAGTGTGTCGAGGGAGGGGAGGCAGAAACGGCCTCAGCATCCAGTCTCAGCGCTGCATCTGGCCCACGCCAGTCCTGCTTGCACTCGGGTGCTGTTGGAGCTTGGTGCGAACGTCAGCGTGAAAGGGAGTATACCTCCTGGCGCTGGTATGGATGGTCCTCACAAGTGAGCGCGAACCACGTGCGTACCATTTTGAGTCCGTATGGCCATGTCCAACGCTAGAGCGAATGTCAGTCTGAGCGTAAAGAGACAGAATGAAGTGTCCGGGGTTCGAAAACGTGAATCTGTGAGTCGACACTGCTGCTGACCACCCGGTTCAGGTCGTACATCTGCTCTGCCGATGGCGCCGGATTACTCACGGAAGCCGTGCGATCAAGACAAATGCGGTGTCGAAATTCTTAAAGTAAACGTCTGTTGTCGTATGCTGCATAAGGTAAGGTATATATGATTCACCGCGAAGGGGGTGAGCCAGCAACGAGGCCCGCAGATGACCTTGACCACCAGCACGAGACTCTGTTCCAAGACAAAACCTAAGGAGACACGACGGCCTCAGCAGAGCGAAGAGTTCACTGTTGAACCAGATTCGAACCGGGGCCATAGGCCTTCGGGCTTTCTTATTCGAAAGGAGAGTCCCAGAGGTACTGACGCCTATATGCGAGTGTGGAGAGGGGCGAGAGACTGTCGAACACCTTGTGATGTGGTGCTTGGCCCCACCGTCGACTCCAAGATGGGAGAGAGCCGAGGTCAGAACGCGAAGGGACTTTTATTCTGTTCTACAGGGAATCAGTCCCAAAGCTGCACGGCTAACGGGGAGGATCCTGGACTGGCTGATGGACTCGGGGAAACTGCCGATGTACGGCCTGGCCAGGAGGCCGGAGCTGGAGCTCGCAGTCTGATACCCTTTCCTTCGAGGGCCAAGAGGCCTTCCCATTTGTATTTGCAGGATCGCACACTGATCGTTTCCTTGATTGTCGATATGGGTTTTTTACCCGGCCCACGAGGGCGCGGTTTTCCTGTATAGTAAGTTGTTGAGGGTCCGGCACGCCCTAGGGCACAGCGGTGTAGGAATAATAATAATATATGATCCACAATGATCGCATTACGAATAGGTATCTATGTTGAAAAGATCCCCGGTGTCGGTGCTACAAGGAAGGCGGTGTCAGGACCAAAGATACGCGGTGTATGTACGACGAGAAAGGCTATGTCGGAGATGAGAGACTCGAAGGGAGTTGGAGGAGATAAGGCGGTATGATATCTGTCGTTCTGGGTATTAAGAGTGGAAGGGAACTTGTGTCAGTTTATACATAGAACACCAGGAAGTTGGCCAGAGAAGACAAAAACATCGACTTATACCTACTAATATCAAATCCGGCCATCTCATTATGTCCTTTCCACTTCCTGGAAGGCGTCTGGCCTTCCTTGCATCGCTTGTCTTCCTGCTCCACTAATTACCTCTCCGCCTTCATCTCAGCCTACGTCCCCAGTGACGGTTGCATTTTCCCCCATTGCCACGGTCTTGTATTCCCATGGCAAAATCAACCTGTTATCCGCCGGCTCCGGCGGCGCGATCTACCACTGCTACTTCCTAGGGCCGCATACGGACGGCTACACAGACTGGGAGAAGCTGCCCATCGAGGTCGATCTTCCGCCATACGCCTCTATCTCCGCTGTCTCGTGCACCGAGGGGGCAGACCCATCTATTTTTCGCCGACATTAAGGGCCAGGTGTTTGGCGCAACATGGACGCGCGGCCCTGGCTGGACCACGAATCGCATGGGCGCTGTCATTCCGCCCGGAGCACTCATCGAAGCCGTCTCGCGTAGCAACACGACATTGACTTGTTCGCCACTGGACTGGTCGACATGGTCTGGCACGCCCAGATCACGGGGACCGTCGTCCCCCAATCGCCTTCCCCCAGCGAACCAGAATAGCGGCTATTTCATTTCGTGTTGAAACATCGACATCTCTGTCTCTTCCTCCGCCGGGACCATTTTGGCGATGTACTTCACCCTTGAAAGAGGCGAGTTCGGCTTCTGGACCGCCGTCAGGGGGGTTACTTGGTATCCAGGATAACAATTAGCGCGATCACACCAGCGCCCCATGAACACCGCATCTTCGTTCTGGGCGTCGACGCCAAGGCCTACTCCTCGGTAACCGTTGAACGTAACCTCGGCTACCTCCCTTGGGTACCAATTTCCTCCAAGACATTTGGAATGGACAATCCCCGCCCGCATGACTGGTATTATCGCCGGTTCTACTAGGGCTCGAGAATAATGGCTGCTCAAATGAGGCACAGGGCCTCGCTACCGACGGGGCAGACTGGTACATCTCTTCTAACGGCGAAAACCTCCGGGAGCAGCTCCGTCTGCCGGTCAGCACGACCAATAACGACTTCTCGGGACTGGCCATAAACCCGCTCAATCGCCGTCTCTACCCAACCCGCTTCGACATGGACGGCATGGTGGCCCCGACGCTGTTCGCCTACAACCGTGAAACCATGACACGGATACCAGAGGATGATATCCTCCTTCATCTTTCCGCCGATGTACCAAAGCATGTACAGGGCCTGCTTTTCACCAAGCGTGGGCGTGCAATTCTGATCTCTAGCTGGACGGAAGACGACGGCGACTCCAACTATCTGTTCACCTTCTTGGCTCGTACCGGCGCGTATTTTGGCTACACACATTTTCCCCCCGCAAGCGATGGCACCGAGGAAGATGACCGACAAGCGCAGGCCGTGGTGTAAAACAAAACTTTCGTACATTGATACTTCTGACGCGAGGATATTATGAAGCACGTGCAGCTTCTTGTCGTGGAGCTGCAGAAACGACGAATTGAGTGACGACGATGTCTTCGTGAGTGCGTATGCCGTGCCTCAGGGTTTCAAACTTCGATTTCTAGCAACGAGCGTGGAACTGAAAGCCAGGGCAATGCGTAGGGCAGAGAGATTCAACGAGGGCTGTGTTGGTACGGGCCTGGGTGTACCTTAATGTTGAGCAAATGGGCTAGTCGCCAGACGTCGTCCGCGTGACAGTACTACACTGAGTACCGCTACTTGATACGAAATATTTAGGCAATCTACGTGGTCACTCTGGGAAAACATCTCGCCATTCTAATTAATGAATGGGATACATTACATAATACCATGCCTTGGAGATGGTAGTGGCTCAACGCAAAGCCTTCTTCAATAGGTGGCACATTGAAGAGACTGTCACCCCTACCCCTGATCCCATCATACTCATATACGAACTGCGAGACAACATGAAGCCAAGCTCTAGCATTGGCCGGGCAACGAGAAACCGCGAGGTACGCGTGCGAATGGATTGCATGCATCCGCAACGAGTAGAAATTCGAAAGGGCATGGCCGGAAGGGCTTATGAGTTCGGTATTGCGAGGGTAGCAGCGACACTCATTGCATGTGCCCATTTTCGTCTCCATCGTAGCAGATTGTGGAAAGTGAGTCGCTCGATGCAGGCGTGCGGCATTTTGCGCAGATGAGGCCAGGGGTAACCCAGACGTCTTCTCCCCTCGCAGCGCATGTCGCACAGCGGACGCCGGGAATCTGGTGAGAAGTCAGTGGACCTTCCAAGCTTTTCTTGTAACGGGAGCTTACAGGGAGACTTCTGGTGCCCTCACTGCCGTCTAGGATGAGAGTGAAATGTTCAGCGGCAGAAGGGCCAAGGTCATGGCTGTTGAAGACCATGTTGATGGGGCTGCGCATCGGAGGTTGAATGACCAGGGTAGTGGTATACTGGAAGCGTCTTGTCGTCTTCGTCGTCTTACACTGATGGCTTTTGCCTACTGTACTCTGCCTTATACTCCTAGGCATGCTGGAGTGCCCTATATCCATTTCTCACCCTTCGCATGCTGCGTATCACGGTGAGGTAAAGACAAAGTCCAAGTACTAGCGGATGGTGATACCCGAGCAGCGGAATGGAATGCCGATGCAAAGCCGTCAAAACCAGGGCCTGAGGTATTATTCCCTTGTCCTGAGGGTCCTTGAGGTTTGAGATCCGATATCGAACCGTGACTCGGTGAGAGGATAATGACAGAGCTGCGACAAAACGGAGGGTAGGCTCCCGCGACCGACAACGGAGATAAGGCAAGCTATGGATAACATCAAAGGTATAGGATTCCGTGGCTCTCGAAGAGCCACGTTGAGGAGAGTACCGCACGTTCTATCTTTCAGTGGTCCCACTGCGGTGAATGTCGGCCCGCTGTCATGGAAAAGCTCGGCGTCCGTAGCAATCTTTGGCATGCAGAGTTTCTCACCGGTCTCGCTAGGCAACCGATCGAAAGGCCGGACCCCGGCGGAAGTTGCATCAAAAGCGCGCAAGCCGCCCGTCCGGCTTTTTCCGTCGATATGGCTCGCTAATTACTGGAGCACCAACGTCGATATGCACAAAGTCGCCCCTCCGGGCCCCCGCTTGATCCTGTACCGCTGTTGATCCACCTAGTTGCTCATCCCTAGAGTCGAAGCCTAAGACAAAAATATGAACCTGACCTCTAAAGGTACCTGGTACCTTAAGCAACCACGCCAGCGCGTTGTGGTGCTCTCTAGACGTTTTCGTAGTTCTATCCACGCCTTCCTTAGCTAAGGTAAGGTATGATGGCACCGTCGGGGAGGACTCCTGCGCCAAGCAAGTTGCCTACATGGCATACATGCGACCTGAGGGGCAGAAGAGCTCCCCAAGCGTATCAGATAGATCATGCATACCTAGGAACCTGAAGGACCGGTGCTCGGCTATGGCTGTAGATGGTGAAATCGAGTTCTTCTAGAATGAAGCTATGAAGCTACAAGACTGCATCTGAATCTCCCAATTCTCGCTCCATTGATTGTCGCTGCAATGCACCGTGATGCATCCCGACGTAACCTCGGTGAATGATGTGTCCCAGTCTTGGCGGCTCTCTCGCGCTCCGATGTTCGATGCCCAAGAATGCCTAGCTACCGTACCCAAGAAGATCGATTCCTCTGGCTGCCTGCAAAGCCCAAACAGACCATTGGACACCTATAGCGGCCAGTGCATGCGATGAATTGGCATAGCAATGCCCTTGTGGGTGGGTGGTCAGCGGATCTCGCCGGCCGAGGAGTCTCCCCTGATGCTCCTGCAGGAAAACATCCCGCAGGAAACCATCCCGCTTTTCCTTCTCTAAGAGGGGTTACTTCTAGCATTTTCGGCATTAACTAAAGTCTTCCTCGCAAGATACTTTACGCTGGTTATAGAAGTACATCGAAGTGACCTGTGACTCGGATAAGTGTTCCGCCTCGAATACCTGAGTCTCTCGGCCTTGTCAGACAACGCTCTATGTTGCTCCACACAAGGAATCACGGTGTGTAAGCAGGTGGCGGCTGCATCCCGTCTGCCACATGCTGTCCGTCATCAACCACCTCCTGCGACTCCTCCAATACCAACCTCTTGCCCACCGCCGGTTCATTTCCACCAGCAACCTCGTCAACATCGGTTTCCCTATCAACCACCGCAGTCCCACCCAACAACTCCTCATAAGCCCTCCTCACCCTCCCAAAATCTTCCCTCTCCCTCTTCACCGCCTCCCCGCCCCTCGCAGCCTCCCACTTCTCCCCACCGGCTGCTGAACCCCCCAAATCCTTCCACACCTTAACCGTTACCCTCACCTCGCCTTGCTTCACGTCCTCCTCAAAAACCATGCCCAAATCCGTATGGCACATCCCGCACGCCATGTCCAGCGGCTGTCTCCCCTCGTCGCTGCGCCACTCGTCCCTGAACTCCTGCCCCAACACGATGTTCTTGAGCGCGTACTCGATCCGGATCGACGCGACGCCCTTGGCGACCTTGAGTCTGAGCGTGCGCAGGTGTCGGGTCATGTGCGGGCAGGCGCGGAATGAGTAGATGTTGTGTACCGGCGAGAGGAGCGGAATTTTTTGATACGAGTAGTTGCTTGTGTCCGAGAGGGTTGCTGCTGCGCCGAAGGGGAGCGAGATGGGGAGGGTGTAGGTGTGGGCGAGGAGGAGGTCCCTCGTTGGGGTTAGGAGGGGGGTAATTTGCCATTTTAGGCTGTGGGAGTTCGTGACGCCGTGGCAGGTGATGAAGGGGAGTAAAGTCGCTGGCGAAGGAGAGGTCGTAATGGCGTGGAGGTGGTAGAAGGAAAGTGTGTAGGGGACTGAACCGTGGATTAGGGGCAGGGGTTCCTGCGTTGAAGGGGTTTGTGGGAGAGACAAGACGAAGGTCGGCTTGGGCTCGGGCTGCCCTTGCTTGGCGTCCTTTTTCGATAAGAAGGACTTGAAAAAGTTGTCGGTGACCGGCTTGACGGATGAAGGAAGAGACGGGTTCCAAAAGATCGGGACTCGATTCCAATTGTGTGCCGCGCAGCCGTCCTTCGGGCCGTGGCAGCAGGGCAAGTTCCCGGCCCAGGGCTCCTTAACTGAGGTCTGCTGAGTCTGCTCTGCCATGGCAAGAAGATCAAGGTAAGGTAGCGGCTTTGGCTGTGTGCAGTTCTGACCCTTGCCGCAGAAGGTAGTGAGAATGGTAGCTCTAGGAAAGAGCAATTCGAATGCGAGACAAATGTAGGTAGAGGACCTTTGGGTCCAAACAAGGGAATGTCATGACAGCCATGGTAGGGGAGGGCGTTGTGGGTCTCATATAACACATGCGACAAGTTGCCAAGGTGCGGCTGATGCCCTCTGCCGCGTCACCAGGGGCTATTGACTGCCCGGGGCACGCGACCTTTGGGCATCTCTCGGCAGTCTCAGAGCGACACCTCCTACCAGCATCTCATACGCTTCGGTAACTCAGTCGGTTAGCTTCGTGACTATGGAGACCGCAAAACGTCACCTTCTCAGTGCCATGCGATATATACTCTAGTCAGCAGGGGCTGGAGCAGCTAGGTGTGCCGGCTCTGCCCAGCCCTCTAGCGCGAGCCAGATGACGCGTTGGTTCTAGGCGAAAGCGAGATGCCAAACTCGGGACTTGTCGATGTATTAGTGCACCCCACAGGTGCTCCAAAGTTGGAAATACACTGGCCGGTAAGCCAGTAAAAAGCCCACGTGGTGCCCGAGTTAGGCATGCATCTCAGCAGCATGATTGCCCCAAGCAACACTCGCGCAGCCTTCCTTGCTCGAGTGATCCATAGGAGAAATTACAAGATGTAGCGTTCATCGCTTCCATTATCTCAACGTTGCCAATCTGCTTCCATACTCTTCTGTACTTGTACCTTAGGTGTGCTCCCTGGCCGCCACTCAGTTTAGCAAGGCGACGGACACGGTCTGCAACTCAGCGTCTTTCAATGCTTCCGCGTCACGCCCACGTCATTCCAGGCGTTGCGTACAATGTTAGCAGCCTCCTCGCCAAACAGCTCCTCAGCAACCTCGGTGGTCACATCAGCAAACTGAACGAATGTGCATCGTGCCGGCACGCGACCACTGGTCATAGTCTTCCACCAGATCTGGCCCGCCTTCTCCCACGAGTAGCCGCCGAAGGCCACGGAAGCGAGGTAGAATGCCCGGTTAGGAATGCCGCTGTAGAGATGCACGCCGCCGTTGTCCTCGGTTGTGGGCGTGTACTCGACCATACTAGCCGGCTGCGGATCTTTGCCCTGTCTTGATGTCAGTGGTCTTCTTGTTCATGTTCCTAATCTTTTTCTTCTTCTCCTCCTTTTTTCTTCCTCTTCATCTTCCTCCTCTTCTTCCTCTTCCTTCTCTTGTTCTTCTTCCTCTATTTCTCTGCCTTCTTTCTCTGTAAGACAGGCGAGGGAGAGGGGGGTACTTACAAACCGCGGATCGTTGTAAGCGGTGCCTGGAGCCTTCATGCTTCGGAGAGCCACGCCCTTGACGTCTGGCAGCAGACAACCTTCGCCGATCAGCCAGTCCGCCTCGTCGGCCGTCTCATTCTCGAACATCTGCTTGATCATGATGCCAAAGACATCCGAAATGTGCTCATTGAGGGCACCAGACTGTCCCTGGTACACCAGCGGGCTCGTGTGCTCCGTGACAGCGTGCTGGCCTGGTTAGCATTGATCTGTCAGGTTCATGGCAGTGCCTGGTGTCTGTTAGTAGGAACTTACAGTCAGTTCATGTCCAATGACGTCTAAGCAACTCGCAAATCGGTATAGGAACCTATTTCGCTAGTAAGTAGACAGACCTAAAGAGCAAAGAGGGAGGGGGTGAAGGAGAGCATGAACAAGAAGAACAGAGGACTAAAAGGAATAAAAATACGAGGAACAGGAAAATAAAGATGAAGAAGAGGGAGAAGAGATCGAAGAAGACGAAGATAATGAGGACGATGGAGAAGACTAGGAGAATAAAGAGGATGAAGGGGATCAAGAAAACAAAAGAGGATGAAGAGGATGAAGAGGATGAAGAGGATGAAGAGGATGAAGAGGATGAAGAGGATGAAGAGGATGAAGAGGATGAAGTGGATGAAGAGGAAGCAGGAAAATAATAGGATGAAGTTGGAGCATAGGAAGATGGGAATCAAGAAGACGACGTTGAAGAACAAAAAACCCTAGACTTAGATGTCGATGAAGGGCTTTGGCTTACTTGTCTCCATCTCCGAATACCATCTGCATCCGGGTCGGGTCCCAGAAGGCGTTTTCGTACTTCTTTCCGAAATGCACCGTGCTGATGACATGCATGTTTTTATTGTCGATGCTCTTCCAGTTGAATTGCTTGAGGTAGAACTCGAGGACCCTGCCAACGTTGTCATAGGCGTCGTTGGCCGTTTGGTCCTTGATAACCTTCTGCCCTTCGACACGGACGACTTTGCCAGGGAGGTCTTCTTCGTCAGGGTCATTCTTGGCGTCGTAGATGGCTCGGTAAAAGCCCGTGGAGGGCATTGGCTTAGCCCTTGCGGCGGAGGGTCCGGCGGAGTGTGCTCCCTCGCCGGTCTCTTCCGGGGCAACGGCTGCTTGGTACTGAGATATTACGCGTTGGGAGTGCTCGATCTCCGCTCTGGCACGCTGCCTGGTCTCCTCATCCACCTCCTCAGATTCGGCAATGTGGCGCAGGAGGACTTCAGGCACGATGGACTGCTGTCTGGAAGCCTCAGGGGCAGCATGCTCACGGGCTGCTCGAGGCTGGCTCAGCGCGTCAAACCGGTTGCATCGTTTGGCCACAAACTGGTCGCGGTGGTTCAATGAGCGGAGGGCGCACTCTCGGTCATTCTCTTCTATCTCCTGGCTCTCAACGATACTCCTAAGAAGGTACGGAGGGACGATGGAGCAAATTTGAGACGACATTTCACCCTTCGTTTCAGCCAAGTTTGTTAGTGAAAGAAACAAGACAGGAATTGAAGAAAGGTAGACCAGGCTGAGAAATAACGAGAATGAAAAGGAGATAACGTTAATGGAGTGGGAAAATAGAAAAGAGATAATACTTGACAGGGACAAACAACAAGAAAGAAAAAGTACCAACACAACTAAGGCAGTACTTCTTACTTACCCTTTCCAGACGTTTGTCAATCCGTCAAACGAATCTAAAGTAGGTTGGATTGTGTACGTTACTTGTTTTCTTCCCTTGCTGAAGTTTGTAGCTGATGATGAAACGAAATGCAGGAATTTTGGTGGTTGCTTGTCCGTTAAGTACTGTACTGATTTACTGCCTCCCATGCCGAGTCTGCTTCGTGAGAGGCGTGTATAATCACTATACTAAGCTTGTGGGCATCGCTGGCAAAATTCAGCTCCGTTCCCTGGCAGGATGCTGTTCCACTGGTGTTTGTGGTGGCATGATTGCTCACGATGATTGGGTAAGTCAGAGACAGTTGACATCACATGTGCCGGGCTTGCAGGTCAGGTCCACGAGCTGCCTTGTTGTTGCATCTTAAAGTTGGGCAGTAAGGTTCCAGATTGCCAGGCAATCCATGCTCCGCCTCATGGGATCCTATGAAACTCTTTGATTCCCAATCTCCTGCATGATGCCTGCATGCAAGATTCCCACTATTCCAGCCGGGCACTCAGCCGCGGTCTGCTGCCGAGACCCAGCGTACGCCCTATCAGAGCTCTGCAAATGTTTGTCGATCCTCAATGCCGTTGCCCATCCTTGACGCCCTCCATCGGGAATCTTGGAAAGGTCACTCAGTGTTGAGTTTCTGCCTACTCTGGCGCTCGACGCGTCTCCTCGATGTTGTCTCGTACAAATGTCAGGATTCCTCGATGAACATGTCAACTATATATCGGATAGCCCAAGCCACCTGAACTTTTATATGCAAGCAGTCACACTTGGGCGGGAAGATTGAAACGTGCAAGTCGATGCGCGTAAGGCACATGTAAGGCACTTTAGTGTGCTACACTCGCGGCAAATCTGACGGTGGAATCAATTGGTAGTAGGCCAAACAGTTGGCTTGTTGGTGCCTCTTATACCAAGAAGTCCATACTTAAGTGGGATTCTTGACATCAAGTCTTGTCGGCATGGCAGGGTTCAAGTGGCGCAGCCAACCAACGACGCGAGGGTGAGACAAAAATATCGCACACTTCTCTGTTTATTGTATGCCGGCGGTGGCACGTTTCTTGCCTTGATTAGAGATGCCGGTGGTCGATGGACGTTGAGACGGCCTCGGCCGGTCTGATGCACATGCTTTATGATTGCCGCCGTCCACACTTGCCTACCTTAAACCACTCAAATAAGGTTCAAGAAATCCAGGGCGGCACAGCGGTTTTGCATAAGATGTTTATCGGAGGAATTGTCTCTGTTTCAGATGAGATGGGTTACATTCGACGGAGGCTTGGACGCCTCGTCTCCCCTAGCTCGACCAACGCAACTGAGGGTGAGGCCCGTGAAGTGCGTTTAAAGGGGGCCACCAAGCTCCAAGGCAAATCCTTCAATGGCTAGGACACCCGATCCTTCAGACCAGTTATGGTTCAACGGGCCAACACTCTCAGGAGCTGGGCAAGGGCAAAGCTCACCTCTACCGACCGAGGTTAAATCTTTCGACACTGTATCCAGGCGCCTCTGGTTAGAAAGCGATATGAGAACCTCAAACACAGCCACGACAGTCCTCTGTTTGAGTCGTTGGCCGCGCTTCTCGCCGTTCTCTGCCGGGTGCCCTGGGTTGTCCTTATTGGATATGCTCGTGAGGTCCCAAGATTGGCCATGGTGACGCCTTTCAAGCTATCCAGATATCATATCATGGCCGGTCGTCTCACGGGAACCTGCCAGGCAATAAAAATAACCGGCCTGGCTCAGTGGTGCTTTGGGCCGGCTGTTCGGCGTTGAGCCCATCTCAGGATAGGATCTCAAATTCTATAAGAGGGCTGGCTGTTTGACCATCACAACGCCTTTCAGTTATTCATCACTCAGTTTCATTTCTTTCCGCTTCTACGTTCCAATACCCAGCAGTAATTCGACGTCTAGCGCTGGCTGCTAGTCTCTCCCTCCTCAATCAACGTTCTGTTTCTTCGCCATCAATTCAAGTCGGTAATGGCCCAACCCACATCTTATTGTACGCTACGGGCCTCTGATTGGACACTAACAGTCCTCTTAAACAGTTGCAGTCTCAACTTTAAACCCAAACCCAAATTCCAAAGCAAGCGAGCGGCTGCCAAAGACTCCGCAGCCAACCATGTGCACATATATCGTCAGGTCTTGGTCGTGCGGCTGCCAACAGACTGCATGCCTTCCTACCAGGGATCGCTCTGGCAGGGTCACATGCGATCGCGGGTGCACCATGACACAGAGAAACACCACGGTCGAACATTATGACTGGCCGTGCGAGGACCCGAACTGCCCACGCAGGCGGAGACGCCACGGAGGCCGCCGTTAAGCGCGGCCAGTTGAGATTGATGGTTCATGAGCGCTATGAGTTGAGGATTGGGTTTGCGGTTAGGAGCTTACTGAGTGCCCTGGAGGCATTTATCACTGAGTTCGGGGAAAAAGGTGCCGGTACTCCTTTTTAGGATTTGTATGTTTGGTGAAAAGCCTCAGCAGCAGGTCTGCAGAAATACAAGTCCCAATGTCTGAAACCATACTGAAGACAAGACGCTGCAAAACCTAAGAGCGCGATGCCAGCAACAGACAGGTCCTTAGTCAACCGCCTCAGCCACCTCCTCCCCCTCGGGCTGCTGCATCATAGACCTCCGCAGATTCGCCTCTTCCACTTCATGCCGGTAATTCAGCGTCTGCCGCAGCTCGCCCTCAACCTGCTCAACCCCAAACACCACCTTGTTCTCCGCCAGCTTGGCTCTGACAATCAGGTAGACAGGGTTGAGGCCATCATGGGCAATCTCGTGACTTAAAGTAAAGCAGACGGACTCGGCAGGGCCATCCTGATAACTTTTGAGCCAATGAATGAAGGGATCTGGTAATGACTTGGTCGACCCGAAGAGCGTCATGCTCAGCTTTTCGGCGATCACTCGGGCCACCGACTCCGTCTCGCGTGCGAGATGATGGACCTTTTTCCCGCTCAGGTCGACGATTGGGTCAAAATGCGCCAGGAGATCAAGGGGAATTTGAACTTTGACCCGGGTAGGTTTCACGAGGTCGAGGGATGGCATGGGCTCAAATGTGACGGACATGTTGGCAACGTGCTTTCTCTGTTAAACATCACGGGTTTAGGGAATTAGTTAGTGGCTGAGAAAGAGAGGGAGGTTGGGGGAACTGACATCCGAAAACTGAAGCTAATTGCGGAGAGGGACCGTGATCTGGTTCTTTGGACAGGGTACCTGACAGCTTCACGGGAATTCGTTATTTATATAGTCGGAACCTGTTACGGTTGACTTCTGCACTTACGCCCTTCGGGGATGGGATACGCGCCCTGCATCATGACTGACGCGCCCCCTCTGTGCATCAAAGCCATTCGCTACAGTACCTAACCAATCAGGGGAGGGATAGGCAGCCAACAAGACCATCCTTCAATCTCAGCATAGCAATCCTTCCAACACCAGTGCATGGCATGGCGACCGCCTTGCCGCTTGCGAATGTTCATCGTCAGGGCGGCACACCCTGTCTCAATAGTTCGACATGGGCTGTAAACCCAGGGCTTCCGCCAAGTCCAACAAACCACACCATAATCTCACAGCCAGCACTACCAGACATCCTTTTCAAGCAACGCCACCAGCTAACTCAGCGTTTAGACCTGAAGTAGCTGCCATGGCGATACATCATGCATGGCTTTCGAGCCCGAACCTTTGGCCACCAAGCCTAGGATGCGGTTTTCCGACCCTCCAGCGCGCCAAGGCCGGATAGTGGGGCGTCTTGTCCCGACCCCGGGTCAGCCGGCTCGGCCCCATTCACTTCGGAGCTCAAAGGGACAGACGCCGGGGGGGTAAGTGGGTTGGGACAGATCGGTCCGGCACCATAAGGATGGGGCGAGATGGAGACAGTTGCGAGCTGGAGCGTTTGGATAAAGCTGGCGAGACTACCTGAAGATAGACAAACACGACTCACGTAACACAATATAAATATAGAGTAGGTCTAAGTTATCCAGACTGTAGGAGCATTGGGGTTCCGAAGAAAGCTCGTATCCACCCGGTACGGGAGTCAAAGGTGACACAGTCTTAGAGAGATGACATGTAACTCGCCGAATAGAAACATAGAACGGGTTAATTAACGGCAGAGTGTGCTGCACCTTTTATTAGCCGCGAATTATATGCTTATTGCTGCCCGATTGAATATCCTTCTCGCGAATAGTGGCTATTCTGGGCCGCAGGTTGCACGATTAACCCGAGATGAGGTTTTGTCGTCCCGGTCACCAGTTTGGCGTGTAACATTTCTGGGGACCACTCAGCTGGTACCGACGTCCCTGAGTATTTAATACCGGCCTTCACCCTCAATATCACGGATGCAACATACCAAGCAACATCCCCAACCTGCAAAATGTACTTGTACAGCATCATCGTCTCCCTACTTGGGCTCACCCACCTGGCAGACGCTGCCAGACGGCCCAAGCCCTGGGAAATCACCCGCCTGACCACTTTCTCTCCCACGGGCCGGCCCGGCGACTCCCCATGGAGCGTCATCAACATCACCATCTCGGACCCCAACGATTCCACCGTCAGTCCAACCATCTGCGTCGGCAAATGGACGTGGGAGGAACTCCCTTACGGCAAAGTCAATGCTTGTTCCGAGGTTCCGGGGGGGCAGTGGGCCTTTTCCATGCTGGAGTCGGATTCGGAGAATCCCTCGCCCACAGTCAACTTCAGACTGCGGTTTGAGCTGCGGAAGACGGATCGACGGTACATGGGCACGGCGAAGTTCGATTGGGATAACCTTAGTGGATTGTGCTCGGCAAGTGGGTTCTGTTCGTTCGGGCTGAAGGAAGAGAAGACTCCGTTTCCTGTGAGCTGGTACCGGGTGCACAACTGAAGTACTGGGACGTACGGGTCAGGACTGGATGAGAAGGCGCAGTGGCATGTTGTGTGGCTCGAAGGGAAGGGAACAGCGTGGGGATGTAAGTCAGTGAACTATAGTAGGGCTATAGGACCTGACCTCATCCGATCCTGAATCCATCGAGGAGTTGCTTAGGCCTCAACAAGAATGAGATGGCCCATAACAAGGTTTGAGCTGGATATAACTAACAATGGCTGAGAAGAAGTAACTCAAAGATCCAAGCGCAAGGTAGCTCCTATTCTCGCAGCTTAATTGTTGTTACATACTCTATGCGCAGATAATGCCTTCGTCTGGGCTTGTCTGGCAGCTAGTCATGGCATTGAGCATCGGGTCTTTTTCTGGCCTCAGCCTTGGCTACGACTGAGTTGAGGCTAATCTGCATCCTCTGGATTAGTGCCAAACCAGGACAGTCCCAGCGCCAGTACCTAAGTCACGCCAACCACGTCGTCTAATGGTAATTTATGACCCTATACCATCAATATCAATGCCGGCAAATGAAATCGACATCGTTGCATCTGCCGGCATGCGCCACTGAAACCACAGGGGACGAGTGTAACGCGAGATTCAACTTTATAGACGATACTCCTGGCTGGAGCCGCTCAAGTGTTTGGCCGTCCTGCCCGGTGTCCTTGAACAACATTGTTGGAGCTATGATCCAGCAAGCTGCCATGACGGCCCCTATTATCGCGGCGTTCTTATGGCTGGCCACGGTGAAAGCGGCAGATCGGCCGAGGAGCCTGCTCGACCAGAATGCTGCTGCGCTTTCACCACTACGGGCAGAGGTCCGTGATGCCATTCCGACCCATGTCATTCCGATGCGAGAACACAAGCTGGCTCCTTCTACTACCAACCTAGCCTTACAGCGCCGAGCCAACTTTCCTGCCCGCTTGAAGAACATCTATGATGTTTACTACAGCATCGACCTTGTCGTCGGCAACCAAACTATCCCAGTCAGCGTCGACACGGGCTCTAGCGACACCTGGATGGTGCAGGAGCCATATGAGTGCGTCTCCTTCTGGTGGGACGAGGCTGGTGTAAGTCTAAGCATGCTTTCCGTCACGGGCTGCCGATCGGATTGCTGAAATTACCCTTTTGCACAAAAAGAAAGAAACCTGCGGCCTCGGATCTGGGTTTAAGGGGAATCTATCGGGAGGCATCATCCCCAACCTCCCACCCTTTGTCCGTTCCTACGTCGACGGTACGTTTGTCAGTGGCGTGTACGGGCGGGAGGACGTCAGCATTGGCGGAATTACGGCGCACAGCCAGCGGCTTGCGCTCGTCAACTACACCTACTGGCACGGCGATGGCCAAACCTCGGGTCTTTTGGGTTTGGCATACCCATACTTGACCAGCCTGGACGGACCCGATCAGAACCAGCCTCCGTATGATCCGGTGTTCACGACCATGTGGAAGAGCGGCGCCATTGATCCCGTCTTCAGCATCGCCCTGTCGAGGCATGAGGATCAGGGCAACAACAACAACACTGGTGCGGATCCCGGCACGTCTTCTAAGCAAGAGTCCTATCTCGCTCTGGGAGGATTGCCGCCGGTGGACGTGGACGAGACGACGTGGGCGAGGACAGAGATACACGGCATGAGGGCTATCCCGCAGTGGGGCTTTGAGACGGACGAACGGGGGATGTACATTGTCAAGCCGGACGCGTTCGTTCTGCAAAGGGGCGGAAATGGAACGGATGCCGGGGAGGAATTGGTCAGGAACACCACACAGGTCCCAGTCTTGGTCGACGTTGGGGCAACGCTGAGTTACCTACCCAAGGGTGAGTGTCTACCTTATTATCGCCTAATTCTGTGGCCGCCGAATGGGGATTAATACTGACACAATGGTTAGGCCTGGTCAACCAAATCTACGCCGCCTTTGATCCGCCGGCCAAGTACATAAGCACAGGCGGGCTCTTCTACGCCCGCTGCAACGCCACAGTACCGAGATTTGGCGTCCAGTTTGGGAATTCCACCTTCTATATAACCTCGGAGGACTTGCTGCGGCAAACGGCGCGTGATCCGACAGGCGAGTGGTGCCGCATTGGAGTGACAGACACGGACACGCCGCCGCACGTGCTGGGGGTCAGTTTCTTGACCAATGTCGTGGCTGTGTTTGACGTTGGGAAGTCGGAAATGAGGTTTGCGGCAAGAAAGAGGTATTAGGGGCAGTGGTGCTACATGCTCAAGTTCCGCCAGGGGTCGCCACGCTCGGGGTTGCGAAGAATATTAGCATGCGGATTCCAGGGATATGAAGCGAATGTTGGCCAACACATAATCGTTGAGAACGCTAGCTAGGAAGCCCACAACTTTGTTGCGTCGATGTCAGATCCGAGCATGCCATCAGTGATGGTTATGTCAATGATGCTGGGTGCCACGGAGAACAACCAGGCCAGGCTTGTAACGGGCTGAGCCCGTAAAGGCCTCGGCAAACTCTCGGCCAAGACTCGAGATTCGGTGGACTTCTATCTTATTCGATATCGGCGCACAGGCCAAGGATGTGGAATATAAGACGGCAGATATCTTGCATAGTCTTTCACTCTTTTTCTTCTTCTCTCTCCATTCGACACAAACTCGTAGAGTCGTCACCAGCTAGTTGCAATATACTCCTGGGACCGTTACAAGGCTTTCTACCCCTAATCATCTAAGGTGCCAAATTTGCCCAAGCGTCCGTCTTTGTTGAAGTGCTTGAAGACACTTAGTGGCCACCGCGAGCAACAAGGTAAGGCGCCTTAGCTATAGCAACCCAAAATGATCAACTCAAAGCCACCTCTACCTAGTCTCCAAATGGGGTGACTGAAACCTCCCCGACTATTTCGCCTCCAGTTTCCCTCCAATGACAAACCGTCACTCGTCTCTCGCAGGGGACTGGAGGAACAACTTAGCTCTAGGTCTATACCTTCTTTAATAACGTCTCAGTCTAGTCAAAGACTTAGTTACATCTAAGACCTACGCTCACAACCGGCGATAAAAAAGCCGGCGAAGACATAAGTAGTGCGGCTTATCATCGAAAGCTAGGCCGGCATAGTTGATATATATGGCAAAGAACGACCCGAAGCCGATTCTTGCACTACTTGCGTAAAGTCTTCAAAACCGGCGCCTTTCGAAAGCTCTGAGAAAACCTTATCTAACTACGCCGACTGCACGCCCGCGCACTTTGCTGCGTGGCCGCGGTGGGTGTGGAAAGTAGGGCGATTCGAGTTGCCCAGGCGACCACGCCCTAGTGCCCCTGAGCCCCTGAACCCCTGAGCCCTCGAGCCCTTGCATGGGACAG